TCCTCAAGTCCGTCACTAGTGTGCGTGAAGGAGAGAGTGATGAGAATAGGGAGTGAGGGGATGGGGGGTGCAGTGGCCTAGAGTTTGGCCGACCAAGAGTTCTGCTCCGGCGAGAAACTACACCACCAATACTTCACCGAAGTAGAGCAGTTCTTCCGGAGGAGATTCATACTTGAACGAAGAAGCAAGAACTAGAGAACTGTATACTTGAACAGACTAAGCGGACATTCCTCGAAATCAAAACACACACTTTCCGGCATAGGAAAAATCTTCATTTACATCAAAATCCCTATGATTAGCATTTCAAATTGCACATCCGTGACACCCCGAAGAACACGTCTTAGTCAATATCTCATTTCGGTTTCAATACATAAGACTCGTCCTACTACTGTACTTCATGCCATTGGGCAAAAAAAAAAGAAAATCAGACCCAATTATTACGCATGCGTCTTTGATTAAAAAGTCAGGACACTCCTGGGTCAATAAAAAAAGAGGAAATGCCAGGAATTCATCCTCAAAATCCCACCAGTTCTCCGTCAGTGTACACAAATGAGCCAGATATCTCCTTCTTGTGCTTCGCCACCAACTCAACGATGCCTTGCGCAGCTGCACAGCCCAAAGAATCCTGGCCTTCCGCTTCCTCATGATACCGCAGGTCCTGTTTGATTTCCCCAGCTTGTCGACCAAGTCCACCACAGTAGGAGCCATAGGACGCTAATGATATCGCGTCGCGAGGCACATGGTCCCACTGTCTGGGGGCGACAGCCAGAAAGATAACGGACGGCATTTCAGAGGCAAAGGTTTTAGTGAGCATGTTGAGGGCGGCTTTGGAGCACCGATACGGCGCCAAGTAGCCGCCTTGGTTGAGGCCAAGAGACCCCAATGGAGAGCTGATGTTGAGGATGGTCGGGTGGCGGTAGGAGGCTTGAACCAGAGGCATGAAGACTTGCGTCACATTCAAGCAACCGGCGACGTTGACTCTGTACACGTCCATCATTTCACTGGCGCTGATCTCCATGACGGGATCGTAGGGGGAGTGGTTGAAATTAAGAACACCTGGAACAGAACAATTTCGGAAGAGTTCAAGAGACATTCACGGCACTGGTTCGGGTATTAGCTCTTACGGTATTAAATTTTATTTACATCCCCCTTACAGTATCCCTTGATTATTTCCTCACTGAAACACTGTACAGTATATCATAACGATTTAGAGATTCTCATCTACACAGCAGCATGAGTAATACATAAAAGGGGGAGGGACTGAAAAAAATATTTAAAAGTGTAAAATAAAATCACTCGTGATTGCGTGTGGAATTACGAAAAAACCAACGTATATTTTCTAATGCAAAAAGAAGCCCACCATGCGGAATTAAAAGCATGCCAACATTTTCATTTTCAGCTGCGTAGAACTTCCTGAATGACTGCCCATTTAATAAAGAAAAAATAGTTTCACGAGAACGTCGACCCAACCGCAAAATTATTATTTTTAGACAAGTCTTGAGTTATGGAAAGAAACGGCACTGCACACAAGACTTCAAAATATTCCCTCGTCGTACCAAGAATAAAAACCACGTGGCAGAATGAGGGGATGCAAAGGGGACTCATTCTTTTTAGAATATCTCTGCGAACAATTAAAACGGGTAAACTACGCACCAAGAGCAATTAATATCGGTTTCCGTTAGAAATCCAGAACATGTCGATGTTCGCATCTCAGATTAACTACCACCAGCGCATGACTTCACTTGGTTCCAGCATTTCAACTGTATTCATATCTACACGAATGTCCATGAATGAAGGACCCTGCATACCGAAGTTCTTACGCAGTTAAAATCAATTACGTAAGTTTCGCAGCAAATCATTAGTTTTGGACCTCAAACAATTTAATTTCAACAACGGGGACGTTATTTTTTTATTCTCTTTCAGGAGTAAATGTATATGCTCAACCCTTGAGTCAGCTCAAGATCTCGCATTCGTTCACGGGTAGTCCTACACAATATTACAACCATAAAAATTCCAGTAAACCTATCCAACCACGTCTAAAAAGCTTCGAACGAGCACTTACCGGCATTGTTGATCAATATGTCAATAGATGAAGTGAGTTCTCTCGTAGCAAGATAAGCAGCTTTCACAGAATCCAGATCTCCTACACACATGGGAACTGCTGAATGCAATCCGTTCTCCTTCAAGAACTGCCCAAGAGCGGAAGAATCATCCGGATTACGACACGACGCTATCACCTGCAAATGAAAAAAAGGTAAGAGTTGATGGAAATAATACTGAAACGCGAAAAATAGATGTTCGGAATTGTACAGTGGACTTGAAGCTGTCCAAATGTCTACGGGAGCCAAGTTCGGAAAGGTCGGCTGAGCAATTAAAGGGAATCTTCATCATAGCGTCAACATCGTTGCGCCAATATCATTGCCTTCGAAAGTCACCGACGATATAATTTAAAAAATCACAACTTTCCAAGATGTTCTCAAGGCTTCTTTTCGTACGGGGCCCGTTGGCCGTGAAATGCACATTTATTTCTCATCTTCACAGAAAGTTTGACCGAGAGAAAAATTAGCTTCACCCCTTTTCAAATTCAAATCACCTTGAAATAACAGTGGAAAAGGTGAATTTACTCAGGAAACTCACCGTTGATTCGTAAAACTACTGATTTAAAAAATTGAATTAAATCCAAATTCAATCTTCAAAAATTGAATTATTGATCTGGGAAAACCGATTCAAAACTCCGAATGGATCGGTCAGTTTGCCGTCGGTATCATATACCCCATATCAATTCTGCGCATGGGGGACGTTAGAGCTGAAATACAGACAAACTCAGTTGAAAACAAAGACACGTGAAAACAGTCAATCGTAATCCTGAACCAAACATCCAATACAGCGCTGAATCGTTTTGGAATCAAGATTGAAGGATTTAAAGCGGCACAAATTTTTTTCTAAGAAGAACTTAGTCTACATTGAACTTCGGGAGGAAGTTCGAAAAATAAATTGTCCTCCCACTAATCATCGCTCTACTCATTCACACATAATGGGCAGCAACATTTTGAAGGAGGGAGCAAGTGGAGAAAAGGAATTCTTGAACTAGACTTGAAGATGTCTAAGCTACTGAGATGCTGATACATTTTATGCTCATCCTTCAGCTTCTCCAGGGAATCTTCGTCTCACAGACCACGCCAATCGCCGCGCTTCACTTTTTTCACCGGACACCACCGCCAGGACATACACACACATACAAGTAACATAATAAATCAGAATAATCTTAATTCTCCGTGACCCTGACAGTTGAGCGCGTGAAAAAACAGCGCGATCAGAAAACTGAAGTCACGCAGAAAATTTAATTGCTATGCTAGACACTACAGTAATGAACTTGGGTTAGGTTACAAAAGTCTGCCGAGAAATTTCTCAGACCTCATTTTATCGAACTTCATATAAATAATTAAATAAAACTCTTCGATTAACTCAAGAGGTCTCATTTCCCCGGAAAATCGAAAATCATAAATAATACAGTACAGTAGTATTCAAAAATTAATTTAATCAATTTGATACAAATCTGACTGTAGTTAAATTCATACAAATTTTGAAATGAATCGGGCCAGAGAATCAAATTCTCGAAGTACTGTGTCACAAAGAAAAAAATACTGAGTTTAAAATACAGTATTATTGAATAAGAAAATCGAAGGATTCATACACAAAACTTGAGAAGGAGGAAATGAAAATGCTCTAATTAAAATTTAAATTCTGTTTTACATTTCGCATGTTAAATATGCAGAATTTTCTGTTCTCGGACATGAGATCTTCTGGAACACGCTCAACTATCCTGGCACCAACATTCCAATCAAGAATCTCAAGCAATACCTTATAACCCGCTTCAAAGAACTTCTGAACAAGAGCAAGTCCGAGTCCGGACGAAGCTCCAGTGATGAAGACAACTTTTGGTGCACTCGTGGCCCCAGAGAGCCATTGTGGTGGTAGAGTGATTGACGTCCTTCGCCGGAGCTGCGACTCTTGTCCTGCTTCTTCACTCATTGTTTATGGTCAAAGCATCACAGAAATATCACAAGAATAGTCACATGTAACTTTTTCTATAAAATAAACGCACATTCTTTCGGTTCGCATGCGTGAGCTTGAAAGTTCACGAGTTCATGATCAATCATCCGCCTTGAAATCAAATTTTCTTCCACAAAATCCAGTTACAAAACATTACGAATCCTTCAAACCAATTCGAAGTTCAAAGCATGAGTCCTTTTTTTTTGAATGAAACCGTGTAAATTTAAAAGAATCGGGTTTCAGTTCATCCACTATAGTTCTGACGGTGGATCCACGGAGTCCGTGTTCAGGTTCAAATTGCGCAAGAAGTTGTTAGTTCTCAACTGTAAAACCTATTCAGAACTTAGCAGTCTTATCTAAAGGCTTCTGTGGACATTTTCCAGCATTTCCTTTCGGAAGAACTGAAATACGGCATTATGCAGTTCCACGAATTTTACGAATGGTTGTTAACCTCGCCAGAAAACGCAGGACTTTCAAGACACCGTTCAGAGTTAATTAGAAATGAAGCTCGCGGCTTCAGGAACACCGATTCTAAATTTTGAGACACGGCCAAATAATTCAATTCACACCATCACTTTGCACAAAAAAACAAGGATTATAATTTGGAAGATGGCTTTCAAGATGAAGGCGTGTGACTGATGGAATTAAAAATTCAGCAATATTGACAAGAATTTCAACAAGACAAACAAAAACTCGCGTAGATTCGACGTATGTTCCTCGCTTTCAAACTTCATTACCAAAATCAGGGACATTAGCAGCAGCCTCTACGCTTTTAAGGCACTGCATATAATACAAAGCTCCGTAAGGAAAACCGAATGCCTACGAGGAGTATATGCCTAAGAACAATTTGTTCGCGTCCGACACCTGTTATCCTCAGAGGATACTTCTAAAAAAACTTTTTTGCTTGCTGCAGAAAAAACGGGCCTCAGGCACTCAAGCACCCACGTCACTAGGGCAAACCTAGGTCGCCCGAAATTTGGTTCACTCCGAAAAACGAAGACTTGAATAACCAACCAGGTTCCATCCCTCAACGAATGCACTTTCCAATTTTTCCCGAAGCGGGAAATAAACAATCCTTCTCTCCAGATGCCATCTTCATAAAGATTTTTCCATTAAAAAACAAATCCAACAATCACTCCCCTCACTCATTGTACAGGCCTCACTTACGAAAAAAAGCATTGTTTCAACTGGCACTGAACATACAAGGGGAATATGCATAGGGATATTTGGAAAATAAAACAAAAAGCCTCAGTCTCACGATTATGCACAACGAGTTTTTGTTCCAGATACAGTTCAAAGATTGAACTGCATTTGTTGCTGCTGTTGCTGTTGCTGCTGTCCTTGCTGGAAATATCCATCGGAATGCTGCTGCTGTCCATGCTGCTGCTGTTGCTGCTGCTGATGATGTTGCTAAAAAATTGAATTTATTTTTTAATGGCGTTGTCAAACTAGTAATTGCTCAATTTTCAATGAACTTTCGTGATATCACACGATGAATCACCCCACTTGAACCACCAATACAGGAAAGGTTTCAAGTTCATGCAAGGAGCGGAAACTACGAAATGCTTCATACAAAAATTAAACTCAGCTTCACGAATGCTCCAGTAAAAAAAGGAAATAATGAATGACAAGAAACAATAGAAAATCAGGCACAACCGGATGAAACATGAAAACACAAAATTCGAGAAGTGGGGCATACGAAACTTAGAAAATCTGTAAATCACAAGGTACAAAATTAAATCTTGTTTTTTCGGTATTTCCAACAGTTCGCTTTACAAAAAGGTTAAAACCCACAGAAGTGAAGTACTGTACTGAAAAACGCTTACTTGTCCATGAGACGGCCCAGGGCCGCCACTACCGCCAACAAGCGCCGCTGGCGGCGGCCCCAAGGCGGAAGCCGCGTTCTGCAACTGCGCAATAGCGGCATTCGCCACCTTGTCACGACACACCTTCTTGCGGTGCTGGATCAAAGGTCCGGCCTTCTCGAACTTCTCTCCACAGGAGTTGCAGACGAAGCCCTTGTCCTCCATGTGCACACGCTTGTGCACGATCAGCGCCGCTTGCTCGCTGAATGTCTTGCCGCAATACTGACAGGAGAATTCCCCACCCTGCGGGTGCTCCTTCTTGTGCTTGATGAGTTCCGCGATGTGAGTGAACCCCATTCCGCACGAACACCTAAAAGGGCATCATGTACGACGGATTCCTTACAAGTTTCGCGAAACATCCACAACTCGACGGAAGCCTACTTGCGATACCTGCATTACTCAAATTTCAGTGGTTGGTATGAAATACTGTAGCCTAAAAATGAACACGTCAAAAGCTGCCAGTTTAGCAAAAGAACCGAAGATCGAACTAACGAGAAATGTGACCAAGCATTTGTTCACGTGAATTATAGACCTTCTTAGCTGGAAGACAGCATCGGCCAGAAAAAAATAAACGAAGATGCCCACAAAATATAAGCCAAAATAAAATACACCAGGCTCTTATTTTATTTTCATCTAAAAAGTTAATTCCATGACCAAGTGAATAAGGGGCTGCAGTCTTTAGTTACAGTCGGGAAAATAATAGAGGAACACCAGACGAACTTGTAATGTGGAGTGCCGTGCATAAGTTCCTTGTGCGAACGGAGATGGCCCATCTCCGTGAAACCTTGGCCACACATGTTGCACACGTGTGGCTTCAGTCCGGAATGCAGCAGTCTATGATTCATGAGATCCGTGCAGCTGGAGAAGGACTTGGCACACAGGTTGCAAATGTACGGCCTCACTCCGGAGTGCGAAATCTCGTGCTCAATCAAGTTCGCCTTCTTGGCAAACGATTTTTTGCACACCCGACATTCAAATGGCTTCTCGCCTATGAATCATCAAAATAAATTTAGAATCACCAATCTTGGCGATTCGTTTAGAAAATATGAACTACGGTAATTTTTAAACACGAATACGATGAAGACATGGGTATCATATGCCGAAGTACAGTATTATTTTTTTTAATCTGCCAACCTCTCTTGAAATGTTTTCCGAACAGATGAAATATGAACAGTCCATGCTCTAGATCAAGAAGGTACTGTACACCAATTGTGTCATCAAGTTTTAAAGCAATCGCTTTGCATGCATCAGATTAGACTCAGTTGAAAGTCTTGAAACGTCGCTCAAATGACATGCACTGTGTAACTTAAAACGAAGAAAAATGCCCGCCATCTTCGTCGCAAGAAACGGGATTTTCCTTACATTCTCGAGCAAAATAAGCATACAAGATATCTCAGAAGAAAAACAACTCACCAGCGTGCATCATCACGTGTACGCGAAGTTCTTCGCGCTTCTCGAACACCTCGTTGCAGCGCTCGCACGGGAACTCCTTGCGGTGCTTGGCGCCGGTCCTGTAGGAACCCGGCAGGACGGGCAACGGAATATTCGGCGGCTTCTTTTTGCGTCCTGGGCCGTGATGCGGTGTGGCATGATACTGTGCATTCGTCAACACATAGTCACTCAGGCCTGGATAGGACTGCATGAACCCAGACACCATGGACACGTCCGAGAAGTTGAAGAACGGTGTGCCGCGTTCCTGCAGAGGCTCACTCGCCTCCTCCGTCACCTCCAACTTCACCTGTTGGTAATTTGAAATCAACGGAAGATTAGACACTGATTCGAATACAATACAGAAGAACGCGAATGAGGGACTGGAACCTTCGATGATTTCATGAAACCAATTTACAAATGTGTAAAGAACGTCGTGAGTTCTCTCCAAGTAAAATATGAACAAGAGTGATATATACATGAAAAAAATTAATATGCCCAAAATACCTGTAACATGGTCATTTATCGTGAATTACATGTACAGTAGTTGTAGACATCACAGATTATGCATCAATATATTTTTTTTCGTCTTCTTGCCACGTAATACGAAAGTCCAAGTCCCAGAGTTTTCTACCAATTTTCCTTGATCTTCCCACCTCCTGTTTGAAAAAGTGGGAAGGATTACAATCCTTTTTCAGGCTTGTGGAATACAAATACAAATGTTTGCCTCTTGAAGCTTTCGGAACTATTTTTTAATTTGAAATTGGATCTGTCCTGAAAATAGGCAGTCTTTCTTTTTTCGCGTGGAAAAGAAATGCATTCAAGTACCAAAAACTCCAAAATTAAGCATGGTTGGAACTTGGAAGGAATACTATTTCATGCATGGGTTAACCGTATTTTTGTCATCACTCAATCTAGGATGAAGAACAATTTCGAAAAAATGTAAGAAAAATAAATGATCCATAAAATTATTCGATCACTATTACAGTACCATGAAGTATGGATCATTATTCGAGATTATCTGAATAGCCCTGAATTTGCAAAAAATAATCCGTAAAAAAGAGGAAAATCAGAATCCACATCCGAATCGTCAAGTGCAGAGTTCAAGAAACAGTTTCTTACCTGAACAGGAAAATCAGATCCAGTTTCTGCAGAAGATCCATCACGAGATTCATCTTTCGATTTTCCATTGTCTCGTGGCGCTGAGCCACTACCCCCTGGTTTGTCACTCATACTTGGCGAAATACACCGTTATTTGTCTGCGAAGATTAAAAATATATCCGTTGAACGGCGTAACGAACGGCACGTCGATTTCAAAGAAATATGTTCCACATTCGCCAATGCGAATCGGGGTAATGATGCCTTTCTTCTTCAACCACACAAAAAAACGCCGGAATGTCGCGAGGAAAAAATAAAAATAAAACGGCAATCTAGTTTGAAGAACAACTTTCCTTGCATCATATCCCCAATCGACGGATTGGTCTCGTTGAAGCGACTGACTTCACACAACTGCTCTGAACAGCTTCGACTTAGTTTTTCATCAGTCGCTCACTGTTTCTTCGGATTCCTCGTCGAACAGTAACTTTTCAAACAGAGCAACAAATGGATTTCATACCGTTGATATAAAAACCCTCGGCATCAAAACTGAGTCGCTCTGTGAATGAAGCTATTCGAACTTACTGTCGCGAATGAACTTGAGAGATTACCACAGATTCCGTGAATTTTCGAAAAAAATTCTTACAATTTCATCCCGAATGCAGATCCATCAGCATAATGACCACCCCATCCGAATAGCAGAACACAGGCTTTCGAAGTGTTATTTCCATAACTCCTAGCTTTCTATTAATGATCTAGAGACGTATCCAAGCCAAACAGCAACATTCACGCGAAAGGAAAATTTTGCGGAAGATTTCGTTGAAAAGATGCAGATTGACTTTGCTCGAAAAATAATCTGAATGAATAATTTCCCCGTAAGTAGCGCATCAGCTCTGTTGGAGAAAATCATACAGGAGTCGCTTGCGTCGTTGAACTAATTAAACGTAACATACTTGACGGGAAAAAAACATCTATCACAATTAACAAAAGTAAACTTGATCTAAACTCTTCTAATGGAAAAATCTCGAATTCGTCAGCAAAATACGATCTAGGATTTTCGGTTACTATGATTAAAAGCTAGGCGATTTTAACTAGAACTGAACTCATTGGATTCAGCTTACTTCCTCAACGAAATTATTGCATAACTGATATAAATGCTAAAAAAATAAAAGCTTCAGGGAAGGTCGGGAGTTCCGGAAAGAATCATACCGCCATACACAGTATTTTTTTTCCATTGAATTGCGATTTATTGGAGTGGTGGACTCACGTTATTGGGGGCACTAACTAGATTCCACCTTGATTTAAACCTTCTCTGAATTCACAATTCCTTTTACAGTATTTTGCTAGTTTGAAAATCTAACGATTTCACAACTCACACCACGGAACATGACCATGGAATCAAGCGAAGATGCATTTTGAAAATAAAAAAATTATCACAAGACGTGCATCATTCCAGGAGTAGTCCAGCATAAATACCTCTCTGATCCTCGAATGTTAAGATTTCCTTCTTTTCTGGTCGTGAAAAGTTTTAACAGGTACGTTTCATTTTTCCTAGCGAGAGAACGACTTATAAGTGCACTTTGAAAGCTATGATAGCATTCCTCGCCGAAAAATTGCAACACACATCAGAGCGCGTCGTCATCCTACTTCCATTTTCGCGGAGTGCTTCTAATAAATTCACTCGACAATCACAATATTCCGGGTCGAAAGACAGCGACATTCACGGGGAGAACATTTCACAGGAAGACGGAACGCGGTGAAACCCGGGGAATATGTATATCTTCGGGATCAGGTAAGCCATGGATTTAATCTCATCACGCGAAATCGAACGCAGTCGGCGACACGTTCGCTTTTTTTCCTACGATCCGCTCGCGACATTAGACTTACAAATTTAGGAAACAGAACCACAGGAAGGGTAATCCAAGCGACGGGCTGTCGGAAAAACGAGATTCAGTCAGCATTCTGTAACGCTTGTGCTTTCAGTGAAGCCGCAGTCTCGATGTCTTCGTCCAACAGGCAGCCTTCATCTTCCTCGTCGTTGTAGTTGCCTCCCCAGCCTCCTCCGCCAGGCGTGTGAATTTCCAGGACATCCTTGAAATAAAAAAGTCAACCCATGTATTCAGGAATACAATATTTCGTAAATATTATACTGTATATTATTAGAAACACTGGGACATACAGTATTAACAAATTATCCTTAAGCCATCGGATACGCACGAAAATGGATCCCAGACTCTGAACTTTTGAAGCCAGTCTCTGAAAACCACGGTTTAAAGCAATACGGTAACATGTTGAGATCTTCTGTACACTTGAAAATTTGGACGTCTGGCAAATATAAGTTGAATATTGAGTTTCCCAGAACGCGGTGACAAATTTAGAAATCGGATCAAAATGCCATGGAACTTACCGACGGAGCGACCCTAACGTATGCTTTCGAGCCCAAATTGATGTAATCTCCGTCCATCCGGTGCAACAAGTTCAAACCAGATTGTCCGTCACATCCCCCGAACATGCCGTAGGGCTGGAAGACTCTCCTCTCCGTCAACAGCGAGACGTCCATCGGGCGCCGGAACCGCAAGAAACGTTGCACTCCGTCGCCTCCATTGTATCGTCCCTTACCGCCGCTGCCTTCTCGCAAATAAAACGCCTCCAGGATCACCGGGTAACGACGTTCTAAAATCTCGGGATCCGTGATTCGCGTGTTGGTCATGTGGGTATGGACCCCGCTTCGTCCGTGCCAATGCGGGCCCTGCATTTTTGTGAAATTACATCAAATGTGATTCCGTAATTAAACATCACGCTACCCATATTTACTAATGCGCCCAAATCTTTGCACGGAAATCTAGGTTTTAGGATATAAATATTTCAGTGAGACACGCCTTTTTCTTAAAAAAAAAAATCCTGGTAATATATACGCGTGGTATGAGTTGATATTCAAATTGGAGGGGTAAGTTTCAGAGGTAGTGAGGCAATTCTAGTGGAACTAGTTTACTTTATAAACCACTGGCGAAATATTTTTTCAGAGACATTACAAGAGTTCATGAAGAAATGAAGAACTGAAATGAGTCACAAAATGTTAAATGCCGACGAGCTTGTAAAAAAAAAAAAAAAACTCACAGCCCCAGATCCTCCGGCAATGGTCTCATAGTAGCCGAACGTTTCGTCTCCAAACGTGAGATTATTCGTACAGCCCTGACTAGCGGCACATGCGCCAAAGGCCTTGAAGATCACATCCACGAGTCTCTGCGACGTCAGAACATTGCCTCCGACAACAGCAGCGTCTTCACGGGGCTTCAAAATGCTGCCTGCGGGCAATATTACCCGAACCGAGTTCAAACAACCTTGGTTCAACGGGATATCTCGAGCCACCATGCAACGCAAACAATAGATTATTGCCGAGTATGTGATGGCCGGTGGGGCATTGCAGTTGCCCCATACCTGATGCCCAGTTCCACTGAAAAAATAATAAAAAACAGACCATAGAAATGAATCAGTTGCAAATAAACGCAGACAGGTACTTGTAATATGATAGGCAGATAATAATGTGCCTCTTAAAATGGACAGCGTTTTACATTTGATTAACGTATTCACTCGAGGACCACATGCTTTCAAGTAAGACACTCACCCCATTTTTCAGCCTGGAATTTAAATAAAAACGTATACCCGAGTAATCGGTAATACCCTGCAAATAGGCGCTACTCTTTCAGACTGAGAGTTGCAATATTTTCAAAATGAAATAAATTAGATTTTGACTCTAATTGTAGTCAAATTCAATTTTCCATTCTTTCTATTTTAATTGTCTGCTTAAATTATGCAGAAATTTTCACGCGGAATCAAGTTTGACGCGCAACAAAGATTTAAATATTAAACCCGTTCATGACGCGCACCCTCAATTTTCTTCCATTTTATTTCTAAAAAGAAATGTGCGCGTACTACTCGAGTAAATACGGGTTTTGGCGATTTGAATTGTCAACTATCTTGAAGATACTCACGTGAAATCGAACACAGCGTCGCCGCTTTTGGGCGAAATGCTCACACACAACCTGATCTTGGTGCCGTCGTCCATGGAGTCAACCGCAGTCAGCTGCACGGGTCGATCCACCACTCCTCCGCGATGCACCACAGCTCCAGCTCCTTCGTCTCCCAACTCTCCGTCCAAGAAACTCGCCGACGCCGACTGCATCGTTTTCGCTCTAGCCTTCAGCAGATCTCTAACAGCCAGCTCCGCATTCTTCTGAATATGCCGCATGTACGACTGTACCATCGGTAGTCCGTAATGGTCGATGAGTTCGTTAACCAAGAGGATACCTGCAGAAAAATATTTGCGAGTATAGTGTGCATTTTCGTTTAGTTCGTGAGGAAATAATAGGGAACTGATAGCATCTAAATTCAGTTGACATACAGCCGGGGGAAAATAAAACTCAGAAAACATCAGGGCAAATCCCCGCGGGATTCATTTACTACAGATTTAAAAAGAATAGAGGTGCGGATAATTCTTCATGGCATGCCGTTGTTTTTTGAAGTCAGATTTTAAAGGACAGCATTTATCTTCTGGATGCCACTGACATCTCGAAGTTTTAAAAACGCTACGAGTTACAGCAGTGTGCTCAACAAGTATGCTTGTAAATATGAGGCCAGGTATTTCAGCCTCACCCCACCTTCCTCAAACACAAATTTCATGATCATAACTTCACGGGATATTCATGATTTGGCAGATCGGGTAGCGCTTTAATAACACTGGTTGAGAGCAGGGAATTAACGCACAGTTGGACTATATGCGTACAACGATTGCTTCTGAAGCCAAGAATAATCGACGCAATGCATTTCTGTACTTCCGAAAGACCGAAAGACATCCTTTCCGCATTGAGGTAGCTTTTCAGCAGCAAAATTTTCATCAAATCGACTATTCAACATAAAAATACCTTTCCGGTTCGCCGCAATCTGTGCTTTCAGATCCGCCAGATTGTCAACGATGTTGCGAGTTCCAGAACACCCAGGATGTTCTCCCGGCTTCGCGAACTCTTTCCGCAACTCGTCCTCATTGAACTTGCCACTAGACACGATTTTGAATGCTTTGAAGGAAGCACCTTCTTCGTGGATTGTCCGCGAGTCGGGAGGCATGGATCCTGGCCGTGATCCGCCAATGTCGGCGTGATGACCTCGACTGGCGACGTAGAACACGGGCTTTTCCGTAGACGTAGATGCGTTGGGACGGAATACAGGCGTGATGACGGTTAAATCCGGAAGATGCGTGCCTCCTGCACTTGGATGGTTGGAAAGAATCACGTCACCATCCAGCAACGGGGTACCAGATTGCAGTTGGTACTGAACTGCGTGTTGCATCGAGCCCAAGTGTACTGGAATGTGCGGTGCGTTGGATACAAGTCCTCCGTCGGGGCCGAAAAGCGCGCAGGAGAAATCCAATCTGCAAAGAAACAACACAATATACTAGATTAATTTGAGGTAAAAGATTTCTTTAGAACAAATAAAATTTATTTCTGTAGTTGGATAGTTAAATATGTGAAAAAAGCCATCCATGTATCGATGAAGTGTTACTCCGACATCAGAACCTAAATCTTAGCATTCGTTCATCACCTTTCTTTGATGTTTGTTGATATTGCAGTTCGCTGTAAGACACGACCCATCTGCTCTGCTATGCTCATGAACCGATGAGAGAAAATCGACAACTGGATCGGATCTACACTGTCCTGTGCAATTTTCTTCGAGTCCACAGGCTCTCGCGAACCAACGTCAATTTGAATATCGCCGGAAGATGTTATGTTCGCAACACTGTCCGGATCCACCAAAATCGTGCATAAATCGTCGATCACAATGGCAGGGCCCTGAATTGTGTGTTCGGGGCTGAGGTCTTTCATCAGGTAAACTTTAGTAGAACGGTATCCCCCAACGAAATAAACCTGAAAAATAAATATTGTTTTTTTTTACTTATCGCCAAGAAATAACTGTACATATACAGTATTAGTAGTGTCACGGTATACTGGTTGACTCTATAACGTAAAAAATGCGTTGTAGAGAACGGAAAATAATGTGGCTTCGATATTTGATCTCATAGAACTTGTCGAAGACGTAAAAGCTTTGGCATCAGTGTTGCTTCAGAGAGCATCAAGGCTTAAGTTATTACAGTATTGTCTTCATTTTTGAGTGAGCGATTCTGATCTAAATGCAGAACCTGGTGCAGGAATAAATTCAAACGAAAAAGTTTTAGAATACCGAACGAACCTGTACAACACTGTCCGCCTTGGGAGCATCGGCGACACGAGGGCCAGGTTTAGCCTCTTGCACATACACATGTCCAGTGCCACGAACCCGGATGTCGTCAACGATCACCCTTCTTTCCGACATGATGAACCCAAATTCTTGAAGGTACTTTCGTTCGAACTCCTTTCGAAACCCGGCCGCGTCGACACTGTCTCGTTTCTCCTGCTGGCACATCAGTCCGTAGTCCGTGCCTTCATACCGTAGGTGCAGGTAACGCACGAACTTGATGCTGTCGGCATCTCGGAACCCATGCTGCTTCAACTTCTCGCCGGCGTTTGATTCTAGATACTAAGGACGAAAAATATACATTGTCGGATATGTAATTCTGAAGACACTTGAAAAAAATATACGATACCAAAAGATATTTCACGTTTGAAGTTTGAAAACTTCAGAAATGCGGAGTTATAGTCATACTTTTCAAAATGTGTTCGCACCTCGAAACGCCTCAAGATGTACTCTTCGCTGCCAGAGTCCAAGTCGCGGCCACAGAACTCTTGCGCCTCCTCGACCACATCTGCAAGTGCCATGCCGAATGCCGAAAGAATTCCGGCATATTTGTGGACATGCACCCGACTCATTCCCAGCGCTCTGGCCACCGAACACGCATGCTGGGCCCCGGCGCCACCAAAGCACGCCAATTCGTGGTCGCGCGTGTCGTAACCACGTGCTTGCGTGAGGTTGCGAATCGGGCGACTCATGGTTTCGTTGGCTACCCGAACGAACCCCATGGCGACTTCTTCCACGGTCATGGGCTCGAACGGTCGGCCTTCACGGGCAGCTTCGCCACGACGGAATTCGTTGACGGCGTTCATAGCTTCGGTCATTTTGTAGCGCGAAGCTTCGATGTTCAATGACTCGTTTTCTTCGGGGCCAAAGATACACGGGAAATACTGCGGCAGCAATCTGAACATGGTACAGTACAAGTGTTCAATGGCCGAAGAAAGAGGGACACTTGAGACTAATTTTTTCGAAGGCGAGGAATGATTTCACACTACAATACAGTACTTAAAATAAACAACAATATCACAATGATTCATAAGCCACAATACGACACCATTCATCTCAATCAAGAAGATCTTTCAGGATTCATAAGGCAATGTTCCCCAAACCATGGTCCATGGACCGGCACCCGTCCGCGGGAAATTTTCTCAAGCATAACAAATGTATCAAAACTATCAATGAAGGACGTGAAAGTATTTTTAAAAGAAATTTTGGCAAGGCAATTGCAGTTGAAATTATCTCTTGAAAAGGTGGCTTTTCGCCTAATAGCACTTCAGACAAATTTTCACACAAACAAAATGAATCATTTCACTTCTTCATTCTGAGGGATTGTTGTTCAAGCCCACCTTTCTCATTGCTTGAAGACATTCCACTATACAGTACTTGCTTCATTGGTTCTCAACTTGAATTTTTTTTGCAAAAAAGCAGAAACTTATTCAATATAATACCTGCCATAAAATATTTCAGTCAAAACTATTTTAAGTGTGCAAACATTTTTTTTTACAAAACTTTGCAGGACTGCAAAAGATTTTATGGAAATTTGCCGGTCCGCGGGCCCAAAAAGGTTGGGGAACACTGCCCTAAGGCATTGCTTTCCTAGAGATACCGCCTGAATAAAACTTTAAAAAACATCAAAATTAATATACATCAAAATTGTAGTACTGAACAGTAAGTTCACATGAAATAAGATGCATAGATTGTGTACAAGATTCAACATAAGCAAACTAACCCCAACTGGCCAAGCTAACCATAATAAACAAATGCCAACTAAGATGAGGTGTTTAATAGAACGATTAAATAGACAAAAGCCCGGTTTAGTGGATAGTATAGTGGTCATCAAATTCTGCAACTCACCTCCCAAGTACTAAATTGGCATCCGTAATTGTCAAAGGACCACCTTTCCTGTAACACGCAGGTCCCGGATGAGCTCCAGCACTTTCGGGACCCACATGAAACAGCCCAGCAACGAAAGACAACACTGATCCGCCACCGGCAGCCACAGTCACAATGTCCAATTGTGGCGCCTGTATTGTTACTCCCCCGGTTACAGACTCGAAGATATGGTCAAGCTGTCCTGCATATCGACTGACATCTGTTGATGTGCCACCCATGTCGAAGCCAATGATGGGACGATTTGAGGTGGCATGCGTGGTGTACGCATATCCCACAACACCACCTGCAGGCCCTGAAAGAATGGCTCGAGACCCAGTGAACTCAGATACCGGTGTTAGGCCTCCGTCGCTTTGCATGAATAAGATGCTGGTGTTCTCCAAGTTCTTGAATCCTGATATGAAGTTGCTCACATATCTTGAAAAATCAATTTTAAAATGTGTCATAGAGCAAACATGCAAACTTGATCAATTTCATTATTCTCTCTAACATAAAATTAAATGAGGCTTGAGCAAGCAAAGATTTTCAACACTTGCAGATACAGTTTGAAAGCAAGCGCATGAACCTTCAGCTTTAATCTGAAATAAAATGCTCAATTAGATCATTTATTCAACTTATGCATTCCCAATCATGCAAAATGTTTCAACTATCCATTACAATCGCGCAAAATTTTTTTTTTTTAATATTGCAGCTCTCACAAAATGGTGAAATCTGTCAGATGATTGCATATCTTCAGTTTCTCCCAAATTCAGTAAATTTTGGAAAATCTCTGACCTGCTCAAGGAAAAGTCCCACAAATACTTTTTGCAACTCTCCTAATAAAATCTTATACAAAGATCTAAAAACCAAGCATAAATTCACCAGGAATAATAAAATTCTGAAATACTGTACTGCATATGTACTATAAAATAAAAAAAGATATTCATAAATGCTCAATATTATATTTATTCGTTTGTATATATCTACTAATTTTATAACAACGAATATACAGAAATACAGCGTTAGATTATAAGTGCTACATATGTTGCAGACAGAAAAATACAAATCTAAACACTTCACGGCAATGTAAATAATATGGTACATTAGATCAAGTAGTAGCAGTACTTCGGGAGGACCAGAGCGTTGCAAGCATTGGGCATTTATTGGCCCACTTTTCAACACTTGCTATCAGGACAAGAAAATCACCAAGAGATTCAGTCAAATCAAACAGACTAATATTGAGCCAAAACTATCTTCACCTGGTAATGAGTGGTGTGAGGTATGCGTCCACACAAGCGGTGTATGCCCTTGGGACGATACGGACCATTGCCATGACTTCGGAAGACAAGGAAATGCTTTCGAAACCTACTTCAACCGCTATCCGCTTCACCAACTGCTCATGTGCTTTGTACATATACGAATGCATCAAGGCAACGGCTAAACTGTTGATACCTCGCCTTTTCAACTCTTCTAGCCTTTTCCGCAGTGTATCTACGTCCACTGGCTTTCTGACGTAGCATAACTCACCGTTGTTTCCTGGTGAAAAATAAGAATACTAATATTTGCAGGCGAACAGCTCGGAAATTTTATTTGTCGAAAACGGGGAGGTTAAATCTGATCGCGGTCCAGTTTAAAATTTCATACAGGCCGACGTCCTCAATCAAAACCTGAGGACGTCAGTGCCCGTGAACATGCCGTTTTTTCCCCCAATCCACGGCTCAACATCAAAATTGTTACAGGGGCGAAGATTAGATAAAACTCAAGTGAGACAGATTCATTCAAGAAAATCAATTTTATTTTGAAGATCGTGACCAAGATGACACTGGCCCGGCATTTCGGAGGTAAACGATTCATGTAAGAGAAAAGATCCATGTTCACATCAAATGATGTTTACATCTATTCTCAAATTAAAATTGAACTACAGGAAGTTACGCATTACCGAACGGAATCAATAAAATGATCATTAGATGGTTTAAAATTTTAAAAATTGTCATCGACACTTGGTCCTTGATTTCCAGGACATTGAAAATGAAGTACAGTACAAGATTCTGCTTTTGTGAATCATTTGTTTCCAAAAATAAAAAGAACGGAAAAGTTGGTGGATTGCATCATGGCTATTTTCGATAAATAGGCAAACTGGAATCAAGATTAAATCTCGTTATCGAACAGACGATTGAAGCTCATCTTGGAATGATAATTTATTTCGGAGTGACACTTTTCTGTACTAACCGGTTTCTTCTGACCACGACCGCTTGTCCAAACAGCAACGGTCATCTTGTAACACGACCCGTTCATCCACTTCCACGACAGCGTCGTACAAAACACCAGGAATTTTGATTTCCAAGTCGAAAATTTTTGGCCTCGCCTGGTTTCCTATGTGTAAGAGGTCTTTGAAGCCCTTCGTTATAACTAGTGCGCATCTTTCGCCTTTCCTTTCCAGCAATGCGTTCGTCGCTACAGTTGTTCCCATGCGGATCCATTCTATTAAAGACCCGTTCACCGGGGAATCTTGCGAGTTGGGTCCACCAGCTTCCTGCGTTCAACGATCGTCAATTGAATAAAATATTTAGCATTTGACCTGCTAAAGGCTAGTTAAAGGGGTAGTTAAAAACAAGATCCGAACGAAACAAAGTAGAAATCAGATTAATCGATAAAATAATGGACAGGTTCATTTTTCCCATGACACGGACTGTTATCGTGTTCAAGGATTTATAGGAAGATTTATGCACAAAGGACAATTGTCAAGATACGTTCTCGTTCTTTTTAATGGGCTGTGGGCATTAATTTGATCCATTTTAGATAGCTGAACAGTTTTGTGCAAAAAAGCGTTGTCTGCAAGTGAGAAATGTGTGCGCATCAGTAGAAACGAACATCTGCTAGATAAAAAAAACTATGTTGTCAGATATTCTGCGATTTAAAAAACTGACAGCTCGCAAGGAATATTTGCGAGAGTTAAATACATTAGTAATTTTTTCAAGTGACAGGTGTAACACCCTAGCTTTTTCAATTAGAGAACACGTGTTCGAGACTTGTAAATTCAGTTTGAAAATAAATCAGCATTCGAAATATTCAAAGTGTGCATTCTATTTGATTCACCCTGAAAAATAGGGAAAGGAATTCTTCGAAGAAAAAGACACGGCATCTTATTTGGCCAGCTAACTTTTTTTAATTCGAGAAGCTGAAAATTGTGGCTAGTCTTTAAATCGATTACGCATTTATTCGCTTCAATAAGATACATTAGTCATAATTGGAGTCAGAAAATCCTGGAATACAGTATAAAAATTAGGACATAACTTGAAGAATAAATCTGCGCCCTCAACAAAAAAATAATACATGAACAAATTTCACCAGTAACAAAAATGAAATAGAATGCGAACATAAGAAGAAGAAACCCCGGGAAAAAGATAATAAAAATTCTGATCACAAACCTGGTGCAAAATTCGACGAATTCCTTCCGTGGGCGCATCTTTGTAATTTGTTGGATCAACCGAGAGAAGCTTTAAAGTGCGAACTTTGCCTCCAGGACAAATGCAATAAACATCCGTAAAAGTTCCACCCCGATCAATCGCGAAACAAAACTTTCCTTTCATTCTATCTCATACCACTCACTGTTGCTGACCTGGGTAACAAAATTCCGAAGACATAACAGAATTAGAATATTGCTACCAATGAAAAAAAAAATTGAGAAATGTTGACGACTAGTATTCAAATCTCACACGTTCTTCGTTCATATAAAACAACGAACATCAACCCCGGAGAAGGAAACTTTCAAACAAGGCGAAGTCCTGAGAAAACGATTTCAATGGACTCGTCTTTTATTTTTCTACCATGAAAAAATCCGAAAGGAGAAACACAAATATTTCAGGTGCCGAATACACTGGCGGAAATGCCTGTCGCTCATTCGCTCGGCGGCGAATCTGAGTGATGGCGAGTTCGTTTCCGTGAAGATCTGCAAAAACGAGAAAGCGTGGAAGTTATCAAAATTGGCCCCACCCATAATTCCGCTATCGTACACCACGTCACGCTCTCGTGCAAAACGAACCGCTTTAGAAAAATGGTACAACGTGTCTTCGAAAGATTTGCATCAACTTGTGAATACTGGATCCATTTCGTTACCCTGCCTTCAAAAAACCAGCAGGTACACTCATGAAAAAAATAACGAATAACTGCCACCTCAGTAAACCATAACCATGGTGATGTTGGAATTACAGCTGTTGGGACATAAAGAGTTTTCAAGCGAAAGTGTCAAATCTTGATTCAGGCGCACTAAATTATGGACCATTGATTCTTGCTTCGAAAAGCAATAATCGTTGCCCTAAAACGATTCGATAAATTCATAAGTCCTCGTATGACATCTTCACTTCCCTATAACGTCGTTTCCCATGAGCCCGAAATTACAGAAAATATCCGCTATCTTTCAAAAAACAAAGAAACAAGCTGACTAAATTAAACGGAAAAAATTGCACGGGTTACCATCACACTGTGGGTAGCGTCACTGAAACCCCTAGTCCTGCAACCCATACGATTGCTTCAACGGATAAGAGGAGCGTCGCGATTTCCACAAGAAATTTCGGACACCAACAAAAATATATTTCTGAACAGTAATAGATTAAATTATAGAAAAAGATTAAGGGAATACTGTACTAAAGTATGGCCCGCAATTCGAAGAGAGAATCGAAAATTTTTCAAGGATGTTCCATAAAAGGTTTCGCGTGACCGCCAGTCGCCAGGTCATGAACATCTGCAAGGAGTATAATGTGCAGCAATGGTAAAGCTTCGTAAAGAGAAAGAGATTTTGACGAAATTTCTGCTTTGATCCAAAACACCTTTGTCCTTCAGCGCATGGAAGCAATTTCTGAGTCAAGGTCAGAGAATTAAAAGTATATACGGTATATACATTCTTAATACAATACATTACGAATACTGTACTGTAGTTCTTCATCTAAAATCCACGGATGCATCATTTAACGGCACATAACCATTCCAGCAAGATGCTGTTATCCAAAAAGCCCACCAATATAAACCCACAAAAATGGGTAAACTGTTGTGAGTTTTCAACAAGAAATTCAATAAATTCCAAAAATGAAAATCAAATGCGCTAACAAAACATTAAAAATACAGAAAAGCTGCTACCTGAGGCAGTCATTACCTATACCTCCTCCGTGGAAAAATCCTTCCTTCTAAAAATACTGTCAGCCAGCCCATAATTGATTACCGCAATTGGGAGGTTACCATAAGCGGGGCGGCTATAAGTGTGAAAAGTACTTCAACATTATTTCTGAAAATAAAAAGTTCCCATGCGAGGCGACCGTAGTTCGTTAAAGTAAATACTGTACAGTGCATTCCTTCAGAAGTATACCCGTTGCTCAGCCTGTAGAAATCGGCCCTTTTTCCTAAGCAGGCTGCTGATTCGAGATTTTTTTTATATGCCACAGAGCTTAAACATTGTGAAAGAAGCCGCTATCCAAGACAACAGTTGACTTGTGCTCATTTTGGGAGCACCTTTTTTCAGAATAAGGCGTGCGCTTGCCAGCCAGTACCAGAAACAAATTTTGTGATAAACTTCACATTCGTTCGCAACGACTATCCCCGGAATCCCAACCAAAATTGTTCTTGAAGAAACCCTGAATACCAGAATCCAGAAATGGTGAAAAAAGACTCGACTGGGACGAAAAGCTCAAGGAAGAGGTGAGAAGTAGTCACTGACTCACAGGACGCTGCAGTGCTGTCACAGCTGCGACGAATAATATTTCTTACACAAGGTATCCTAAATTCATCAAAGCTGAATACCTACTTGAAAGCTAACCCAACTTGATACTTGACTCAATAAAAGTCAACTAACCTATAGTTGTTCAAAGTTAGGCTAAGACATTTAGCAAAACAAAACTGACGACCAAAAATGTACTGTACCTAAATAATTAACCTACACTGATTGTCGGTCCATCATCAGCAAGTGGAAAAAAATGTAAATAAAAAAGGCAAGGACATTGTATCGTCCACTAAGACACCCGCAGGTACCCCACGGAGCATCAAAAACAGACAACGTCTGGGCATTTCCCAAAATGCGGCCAGGGAAACATTCGTCCGCGGCGCGGTGAACAAGCAAAAAATAATAATTGGAACTTTTGCCGAATAGGACCGTACGCTTCAACGGTCAGTCCAAAGCGACAGAATTTAGCGGCTGCAAGCAAATGGCAAACGAGGTCATAACTCACCGGTGACGAGTTTCCCTATCCCTTTCTCGCTCTCGGTCTCGTTCGCGTTCCCTCTCCCTTTCCCGCTCGCGGTCACGCTCTCTCTCTCGTTCGCGGTCCCGGTCTCGATCCCGACGAGACGAGTCTCTTTCCCGTTCTCTCTCGCGTTCCCTGTACCGACTGGACTCACTCGGCGACGGGCTTCTGCTTCTCCGCTTCGATCTCCTGCGAAACAAAAACGGGTTTACCGATTCCATCATTAACAGTACAGTATTCAATTCCGGCGAAGCTTTACAATGATGACACGAGGATTTTCGCTTTTGTGCCTATTCCGGGAATGAGAAAAGTGCGACTATTTCTCCACTTCTTAAATGTTAACCGCGATACTGTACTTTACAATTGATGAGAAAAACTAGGTGTACTGGTATAACTGTATAATCTATCGGTAATTTATCTATCTATCAAGTAGAACAATGATCGCACGTTTCAAGATAGAGAATTAAGTTTATTTCTATATCCCTCTTTGTCTATTCAAAAGTTCGTTTCTTGTTCACTGCCGTAAAGATGCCGTCAACATTATCTAAAGCACTACATTAATTAAGAAAACGAACCTATTAAGATCTTGTATCTAGTAAGATGTTACGTTAGTGGGGTATTTTGTCTGGTTAGGCAACATTAGAAAAAAAAAATTAGTTTGAATATCTCAAATCGTGCAGTTTATAGGTAGGCGCTCGTTCGCTGCTGGATTAGTATAGTCATCTAATCAGTTCCGTAATTCATCGGCTAGGTAAATTAGGCAACAGGTCGAAGAAATTTCGAGAACATTGTGTCTGTGTCACTCACGGCATTCGTCAAAATGAGAAGTGAACTCGGACTTGACTTCAAATCAAATTATATGTGAAGGCGATGTAGGAAATTTGTCCGAAAAAAAGGGAAAGACAGCAGCAATAGTTTGACTGACTCAAGATTTACGAGAACTACAGAAGTTCATTGAACTAGTCGAACTTCAAGGAGTCAGCAAAAAAAATTAAACTTTCGGAAAAAAGTATTTTTGTTGGGGAAAACGAAGAAAAATTACAGAAAATTGTCATTTATGGTTTCTGGGCCTTAAATTGCTTTCAGAACAAGTTAACTTAATGCTGAGGTTGATGGCAAGGCTTTACTTGCATAATTGGCATCTCACTTCCTTTCAAACCACAACAAGTTACATTTTCATTGCTTTCCTCTTTCCGGCGTCAATAAAATAAATCAGAAGGGCTCCAGAAAATTCGAGGCTCGAGACTTGGGGAGGTTCGAGTTATCGAAGCTCACCTGAATAAATTCTAAATGACAGTGAATATAAAATCTCGAGAGCTTTCTCACTTTTCCTCCTTCTCCCTCCGCGAAGATCGTCGTGAACCGTAGGCATCGTCATCTCTGGTAGGAGATCGTGAGGGCTCCGCATCTTCGCGAGGAGAATCCCCTGCTCCGGGCGGAGGCGTTGTTTCTTCGCGCTTAGGCAGCAAACGTCCATCTTCTCCAGGAGGCAATGGAGGAGGGACATTCGGCGGAGGTGCTATTTGTGGCGGAGGCTGCTGCGGAGCGATTCCTGGTGGAAGCGGAGGAGGGATCCCCATCGGCGGAGGAATCCATTCCTTCCACAAAAAAAGCGATTCAATTATTTTTCCAATCACACCAACACAGAAAACTTGGTGGGGACACAGGACTGAGACCTTTCGTTTCGAAGTTGTTAATGATGATACAAAACAAAAAAAATTGCAGCATTCGACACAAGAGGCTTCCTTTTTCAGAGAAATATACTATAATTTTAAAAAGGCCTTCTTTTCAATGGTTGATACGAGGGTGATTGAAAGGTTAATTAGTTTTCAAATTCAACTATGAGCTCTAAGCGGATTCTTCACAAAGGTAACTCACCGGGCCCGACTTGAAGTCTGGCATTGGCCCACCGCCGAGCATTACCTTTTTACCTAGTCGAAGTCGGTACATGTATAGAGGCATACCCAGGTAAGACGCTTTTTTAGTTAGTTATACTTTATGATGGGGTTACCGTACCTAGTGAAGCTTTTGAAACCCGGGCGGCGGTAATGGATAGTCGAAATCCATTCTCGGAGGTCCTCTGAAAAAAAAAGCAAATTTGAACCTTCAATCCTGACTGATCATTGGTTAGACAAATTTGAGATAAACAAGAGCAGATTATTTTAATGCTTAGTTTATACACAAGAAAAGCTAGATGCTGACCTCGGCGGAGGCATTCCCGGTGGAGGAACACCAGGAAATACGGGAGGAGGTCTAGACATATCTGGGGGCGGCATTGACATATCAAGCATGCGAAAATCATCCGGCTCGTACTTCATATCTTCCTTTAATGACTCCAAAACCTGGAAACGAAATCAAGGAAGAGATGATACATTTATTTCTGAAGTCAAAAAAGATACGAATTATCGTACACAGAGATATCCACGCACCATGTGAATGGATAAAAAAGCACAACTTCCAAAATCAAGGAATAGACGTGTGCCTTGAAAATGAGAAAAGAAAAAAAAAGGTAGCAAGCAGAACGCTAGTCGGTGGAGTAAAATATGGAAACCATAAAACATCGGAATATCTTAGCGACATAAGAATACGTATCCCTAAATTTCTGAAGAATAACTTAATTTTTGAAATTATTTTGTACACAAACCTGAATAGCTTTCGATTCGTCCATCTCCAAGCTACGCCGAGAAGTACCGGAAGAACCTCCGATCACGTCAATGGTCTTTTTCGGTGCTGGACCGGAGAACGATGGTCCGTTGGATTCGACACGATCACGATGGTGATCTCTGTGTCGGGACTGAGGGTTCAGATTTGGCTGCAGTGCAAAGGCGTGTATCGCATGTCCTTGCTGCAAAATTAAATTAATAAAAAGCATCAGGTGAATCAAATTCAAGAAAACTTCCACTTTCATATTTTTGTCTCACCTTAAAAGACAACGCTCCGGATTCAACCCGAAGTCTGCGTTGACGATCGCAATACGCTCTCCAGCTCTCCTCGGTAAATCCGTAATTGAAATAATCTAAAACGCGCATTCAAATTTGCTGGAAACTTTTCCAAGACCAAAAACAATTGTGTTTCACCTGTAATGTCAGCTCCTGGTTTACGCCACGGGTATTCTTCCGCATTATCCCAGGTGTACTCATAAGCCGGCTTCCCATTGATGAAACCGGGTCCTTCGATTTCAGCTACAGGAATTGCACTAGCCGATTTTCCAATTGCTATGTGGCTTCCGATGCCAACGCGTTTCCCGTGCAGAAGTCCTCCAAGACCATAACTATAATTAAGTGCGAATTCATGAAAAATGCTGTACTCGGAAAATATCCACCGGGGATCAGATTTAACTTGAATATCAGAAGCAATTGATTCCCAAAAATCGGCTGAAAGAAATCTAGATTTCTTGATGTTGTTGATTGAGAGAGGCCGAAATGCGCGATGCTTTACGGTACACAATCTTCAAAATAATAGGCAGGCCTACGATTCAATGCATCACATTTTCATCAAAATTCTGGGTTCAAGAATACAGGAATCGATAGCTTCATTTAAGTTGAAAGCGAGTAATCTGGCAACGGATGCATGGACCGACTCAACATAAAATTTAGATATTACGAATGTACTGAAAATCTGTCTCACGGGCATCCAGGTACTGTACAGTATGATTTCTTATTTATCCATCATCGAAAGCGTCTAGTCTTCGAGTGACCGCGGTTGAACCGACTATATTACCTGTATCCGGCAGCTCCTGCCGCAGATTTGTTCTCTCCAATGGTAATGTTGACATTATCGTCCGAGGAGTCTGAATCGGAATCTCCTTCCTTCTCTTCAGTGGCTGGAAACGAAATAATGAACCAAGATGTTAGTGAAGAATCATGCGGTTGGTAGCGACAACACTGATCGCTTATCAAATAATGAAACACACCTTTCCCTTCTTCCTCTGCCGGTTCCTCGAACGGCTCCTTTTCGACGTCTTCTTCGAACGGTTCTTTTTCAGCATCATCTTCAGGAGCGGCATCATCGGCGTCAGTTTGTTTCGGTAGCGGTTCGTCGCCATCTCCCTCATCCGCACTTGCTTCGGGAACCGGTTCCGAGGGTTCAGGGGATCCATCAAAATGTGGATCTTCTATGGGTTCTGGTAAAGATGGCTCGATTCTGGCCGGATCGGGTTCAGGAGGAGCTTCCGGTAACGGTATATCGTTCTCGCCCGGAACAGAATCATCTTCCGGTTCATCGCCGTAAAGCCAGCGATCATCATCAGGTGCCGGCTCAGCAGTCGACATCCTTATCGAAATTGAAACACGTCAAGAAGAACGAGCAACAATCGTTCGATACTCTGTTCTGAAAGAAGGACAATCACGATTGCGTGAAAAATTTGAATGCTTCACACGTTCTCGCAATAGAGCTTAGCTCACTCTCAGACATGCACGAAATCCCAAAAACCGATCAATTCACCGAAACGAAGTACAATTATTTTCCCCAAGGGCGCACAACAACAACGCACGAGGCGGTTTTCTTACCATCTTCGGTTTATTTCCATAACAAAATAGAACACTCGATCATCCGCCCGTGGGAATCAGAAGGGCGACTTGGAAAGCAATAAAAGGTATTTCTGAAATTAATATAGATGTCACTCCTATACATTTCACTCCAGGATAATTTTATTTTCAGGGTCACATGTCGGCATGGTTTCATAACAATCAACCCATACTATCCACTCATATTTCTGACTTGTAATTTGATACTGTATGTAGTAAATGATGCATACTATATAGTACCATGTCGAACTTCAGAAAAATGTTCAAATAATAGCCATTCATATTACGAAAAATAAATTTTGCGTAACTCTGTACCCTATTTGACTATTATACATAACAACGCTGCCCATTTTCAAAAGTGCAGTATACAGCATTGTAAAAAAAGTTTTGAACTAATGGAAATTATATTTCACAGCACGTGATTATCTCATCATTGAAAAGATTATCTTACTATTGTACCTCATTCTGTATCTGAACGAGGGTTCATATTTTTTTTTACGTTTCAGAGCAGTGTAGCTCTTTTTCTAGAACATATTGCGCTTCTGACGACGAGTACACCGTATGGGGCAGGCGATTTTTTACCCTACCCTTCTGATTTTCGGAACAATCCTCTTCATAAAGTCAATCACCAGCAGAGCTTTCTTGAATGAAAGACCTCAAACTATATTTCATTACTAAATAATAATATATGAACTATCCTTGATGAATATTGCATTCCATTTCTCGAATTAGGCGCATTATAGATGTGTCCCTGATAGCAGGTGCATTAATTTGAGCTCTGTAGCTCTTCATAAATTTGTATCAAGCGATTCAAGCCACAATTCGAACTTCACGGGAAAATCGATTTGATTGTTGCATACCTTCTGACTCCCAAACATCACTGGTGGGAGAAATGACTCCAGAATTCTGGATAAAAATTCCAAAAATACTTGCATGAAAAGAAGGGATTTTCCCCTAATGGTGAATCCAATTTTCCCTAGCGCCTCAAATACAATTTGAAACAGGAAACAAACACAATCCAGCAGTATGTTCCGAAAATAAATATATAAAAAACAGCAAATGTAGAGAAAAACTGGACTAATTATCAAATAAACATGTGAATTCATTTCGAATCAAATAACCACCAATTCAACTAATTTCAACTCTTTCATTGAAAATCATGGTACATTCGCTTCTTTCGACGAAACAACTGCGTTCTTCTCCTGCCATTTCTCAACAATCTTCTGCATCACATCCAGGCGATGAGTCAAAGGAGGTTGTTGCTGTCGCACCAAGGCCACTTCGTTTCCAGTCGGCGTGTACTTTTTCACTCCATCGTCTCCCAACAACTCCCGAAGCATTTTATTCCTCTCCAGACACTTCGTTAAATATTCCTTTCCTCCAGCAGCGAAATCCGGACCTAATTCCGAAGCGAACTTGTCCGCCTTCATCTTGGAATAAACACAGAATTGATGAGAAGAAAAAACCCAATCGGGATTAAGCGAATTCATACTTCTAAACGATTCCTGTAAGAATCACCGAGGAGCATTCGAATTGTCAGCGCAATGGCGGTTAGAATAGTATACAAAGTTGCTCGCCATTTCCAGGATCTCGAGAACAAATTCAAATGCTTGTTGAACTTGTGAGACCAGAGATAGACGAGGAATATGATTCCTGCGGTGCTGAATGCAGAGATCCAGACGCGGTAAGAATGCGCGATCTCTAGCTCCCGAGCGATCAAAAACTTCTGCGCATCCTTCGAGAGTATCAGCGTCTCTAGAACTTTCTTCCCCTCAGCTGACGACGAAGGGAACAATTTCTCGTTCAACTAAGGAAATCAAAAGAAATATTATGATCTATGTCAGCATAAAATAAATTTTCATGAAACAATCATTTCTTTTTTCGAAGGACTGGATCCCTTCGTACCCAGGATTTTGAAACCAAAAATCAATTGAAAAGTTAAGTTAAATCAAAAGTAGAGAAGCAAAAAGCAGCCACAGAATCTAATAAATGTCACTGAATTGTTTCGAAAATACAGTAATTTATCTCAGATTCAATTCGTTTCTTCTTTTTCCTAAAGAATTTTCCTCATATTCTTCCAGTTTTCAACTAGTTTTCTCCCAATGCGGTAAACAACGTCGGAATTATTTCACAATGAATTAACCAATCATATATTGAGCTATGTTTGGAAGGTGTGAGGTTATGCACAGTAGGGGTTAGGTTTGGTATGTTGGGCGTAAGACTACTTTAGTTATTAGATTAGGTTAGGGCATAGTTGTTGTAAGTTTGCCACGGTTGCAGCAGTAGGTATCACATGAATGAAATTCCGTACGGCATGCGGATATTTTAAACAAGAAAATGCCTGATGTATCGTGCTGAACTGCATTGTACCGGTTTCTTTACAATTCAACCTCAGGCAACAAGGAAATAAAAAAAAAAATCGCAAAAGCCCCAAGCCCAAAATCACGGGAAAGAAAAGGGTCATAATAACTACTGTACATTCAATTCCACACGGTTGATATCTTCAGTGGAGACGTAGTTGATGTTGTAAGGAAGTCCAACAGTGGCTCCGAATCTTGTCTTCGTGGAGCCGATTGTAACTGGATCAAAGCCGCAATTGACGTAGAATTTAACATTGTTATCGCTAGTACTCGCGGCCACTTCATCTCGAACTTTTTCGGCCAGTTCTCTAACTTCTGGACGTAAGGAAACCGGGAATCCTTCACTGCAAATTATAAAAGGAAGCGATTATAGAAGTCTCGCAAGTAACCTAAGATGTGACACTGATCACGGCGAGAATAATTGGCTCCTTTTGGATTTTTGGTTACTCTACATACTTCAACAAATGTTGACCAATCATCAGTAGATGAAAATGAGGAAAAATCGGTTAATTTTCAAGTAACTTCTACAGTTTTATGTTGACTTGAAATGAACAGCAGGAAAATATGTTGTACAACTTCATGTCCCCACAATTATAAATGAATCGTCCAAAAAATTAAACGAATGCATCAGGAACTGCATGATGAAATATGTGACGAGGATACTTTTTGTGCAACAAAGGATATCAATTGAAATTTCACTTTTAGAACCGACAGCGTCTTTGGTTCTCGTCAGTTTAAATACTCAAAATGATTCTTCACATCCTGTATAAGTCGGAAACGTCAGGAACGGAAGAATAAAACTGAACAGGTTTCCTCCTGTTTTATAGGCCACAAAAAAGGGCTACATAACATTTCAAAATGTTATGGGTGCAGTGATGACGTTAGAATGATCCACTGATTTTCATCTGCCTCGTCCGAAGAAATTTCGCGGGAGACTCGCAAAACAATTTGGAACCATTTCAGACCACGAATACAAATCAGAAACAATGAGTCCCCCAAAAAAATGAAAAGACTGCTGGACTTACTAGTAGGCTTGAAAAATGCTCGCATACTCCTCGTACAATGGACCGTGAGGAATGATGTGAAGGAGCGCACCCGACACCGAGGCAACCCCGACTAGAGTTCCGGCTGTCCTCCGCCCGGCTTCTGACGCCCAGAAACGCCAAAAATCGGACGCATTCCACCTCATTTCCTCGGGAAATTTTGGAAATCAACTTCAATCACAGTAGGTGAATGGACATCCCGATTTATCTGGGAAAAATTCGAGAAATAATCTGCTTCACGTGGATGACAGCTTGAAGCAACTGCATAGACGCCTTCGCTTTTTCCTTGTACAGTAATTCAACACTGATATTGTCCATTTTATTTTTCAAGTAAGCTTGAGAGCGATACCGGAGTCAGGGATCCGCAAAAATGTGCAGCATTTCATTGGCCCGGCGATTAAATTGACTCTAGTTCACTGAAAAAACGAGGATATCACTAATTATTCATGGTCCAACTCCAACAACTCAGGGAAAATCAAAAAGTCAACCCCGACAAAAATGACATGAAAAAATCCTTGCAACGAATTTTAATTTTCATCCTGCTTCAGGCAGAACAATTCTAAAATCCAAGTTTTTAGAAGTACTATTCCGTGATAAAGGCACAAAAAGAGAACAAGGAAAAAATCAATGATGCGTGATGATCTCAATAATTTTAAAAATTCCATTAAAAGAAAAATTCGGGCGTTCATGTAAGTTCCGGACAATTTCCTGAAAGAAGTCGCGGTTTCACGATAACCACACTTTCAACCTTTCAAATCAAGTTACAAGAATTTTTTCCCTCGAAATTCATACAACATAATTAATGTAAGATCCCGACGCATCATTGATCCAGTTAAACGAAGCCTCAAGCATAGGCTATCGTCTTTTTTTTAAATAATTATTTTGCTAGAACTGTATAATTTAAAATTTTTCATCAATAACACGCCTCAATTCTAAAATTTATTTATTTATAGCAAGTAAAAGTAGAAATGTATGGACAAATAAGAAGTAATTGACCATGAAAAGAAGGGGAGGAGTTTCAACCAATTCACCAAAAAAGTACATCTCGCTCGTTTTCGTTTCTAATCCCTTATAAAACTCATGAATATTTATATATTCAGAAACATTTTGAGCAACGATTATTTTCACTTTTTCATCGCACTCATTACAGAAAAAACTTTAATTTCTATGCTTCCATGCTACGCTATAAAATCGAAGTTTCGGGAATAGCTCATCAGACTACTTCACCAATAAATTACCGGCTCGGCAAATCATCAATAGGACTTATTCTCTGTCAATCCTTGGAGAAAACGCGCGAAAATCTCACTCCTAAAACTTGCGCAGCTTCCTCGTACACAACGTACCTGAAAAATAATCCAAATTGCCTGAATGAAATACCCCGTAAATAAATTGAAAATGAAGAACAAGCAATGCATTTTTTCAAAGATGGAAGGAAACATGGTTTTATTGTCCATTCGTAGCATCCAAAACTTCTCACCACTGCCCGAAAAAAAAGCCGCCGGAGTTTACACAGATGTGAACGTTTCCCGCGACCGGGAAAAGAAAAATCACACCATCATAAAAAAAAACCGCACTCTTCCTATCAAACCAAAAAAAAAAAAAACAGAGATCATCCTATCAAGCACATCGTTAACGAATCCATTTAAATGTCTTACACACACCTTTTCTTTCTCCAACGGCATGAGTGGAAGCCCAAAAACCGAGTAAGAAACAAGGTTTGGACCTGGCAAGATGAACTCTCTCCAACTTATCACTTCCACAAATATAAATGCATCGTCGTTTCTGCTTTTCTTCTTCCAATACATACACCTTCTATGCCGGTAAAACAGGAGTTTCAAGATCTCCCGGGAAAACACTTATTGAACTCATATTACAAGACTTCTGCAACACTTTTCTTCAGGAAGCTTCTACCATTTCAAGCATCTGATATTAAGCGACCTTGAATGTTTGCCTTTCAAAGCATGCATCACCACACACAGTACAGTACCGTAGTTCCATCCAAGAAATGAATGCCTATCAACCATTATATGCATGCAGAATTTTACAAATATTGAAACTTCATGAACAAAGCATCCGTTTTGGGCGATCTACGGCTCAGGACTGTAATTCAAACTGAGGTGGTACAGGATAAGGTGGAATCGAAGAACATCAGGCATTTTAACAATAAAGCCCAGATGAGTCATAACTATTTAATCGATATTTGACTTTTCAGCTTTTCCGAAATGCAAATATGGACAGTTGATATTATTCAACTGTTCAGTTCTTCTCGCAATTATTCATCATCAAGATTAGGCTCTGTTTCTGAAACTGACGTGAATACTCCCTTTCATCAATCTTTCTAGCAATTATAAACATTATTTTACATACCTAAAGAATAATGCCGCGTGCACCTTGTGAAGGAAAGTGTTCCCCCGGAGATCCTTCCCTTTAGCTAAAAAAAAAAGTTGCATCCAACATTTTGATAAATCCAACGAAAGGCCAGAGCGAAGTACAGTATAAAAAAAATTGTAGTACGGGTTGAGCAACCGAACAAAAAAAACATACAACCCCTTGAGAAAAAAATAAAAATCAGAGCTCATTCGCTCTGCAAACACACATTGTACGTATCAACAGGCTCGAGGAATTCTTGGCTGCTCCCAAAGCCGCCATGAGACTCATGCGTTTGCTTTGCTTTCATTGGCACAAAACACCATAAATTCCTGCGGGGGGAATGTGGTCCGATAAAAACAAAAACAGCCAGAATTGCAAACCAAGACAACGGCAAGATTGGACACCCGATAAAAACAAACACAAAATTTGGACAACATTTTCAGAAAAGCACAAATGCTTCCGATCATTTCCTGAATGCATTCAAAAACCAAAACTCTCCCCTCTCACTCGTCCCACGTTTCCGAAGTTTTTTTTCTGAAAAAAAAAGGGATACAAAACTGACCAAATCCGACTGCTTTTGCCCACGGTTTTAGCACAGGTCAGTTGATCAATCAATGCATAATTCGGGTCGTTTCCACTCACGCGACACGAGTAACTTCACACCTCTCATAACTTCCGAGTTTGAAAAGAAACGTACGGTACAATTTCTCTACAACATCTCCAATTTAAGAGAAGTACTGTATTTCCGACTGCAGAAAAAGCGCTCAGAATTTAATACGCTGCTACTTATCTGAATGGAACAAAAATGGGGAACAGAGAAATTCAGAGCGAAGTTCACAGCGCATTTTTCGGAGGGATGGATGTGACAGAATCAGCCGGAACAGGCCAGCACCAGTCACAAGAAAGTATCCTTTCGTTTTAACTCAGCACTCTACCAGCGATGAATACAGGGAACTTTTTCTATAAGTATGGAAAGCTTTTGATGCAAATTTTATTTTTTTCAGCCTCCCGTCTGCAGAAAATGCGAGTGATGGCAAAAAAAAAAAGTTTACGATGAGTGCATAATAGTGTAATACCATTGCTGATTTAATCAAATTTCTGAGGACCTCGGCTCTTAACGCTTCAGAATCCTAGCGTTCTGAAGCTTTCCCGTAAATGCAGCATTGCCTGTAACGTGGATCTCATGAGATTCAGCCAACCATGTAACAAAAAAAAGGGAGCCCATGAAGCTGTTCCTCACAACAAGAATATCGGAAACGTTGTAATACACCGAGCGAATTCATCTTACCGTAATTATAAGCGTGAAAAATTGCAATCATTTTCTTGAAAATAACTAGTATACAGTACTACTGTATACATCGATCTGAAGTGACTGATTCGTTGAATGTTCACCCGAAAATGCTCGTAAATCGTTGAAAAATATTTTTAATCGATAAAATTTTTGAAAACCGAGGACTACACATAAACGGAAAGCATCTAGCAGAGGAAATAGCCACAATTTTTCTTGTTCAGCGCAGAATTAGGATGAATTAAACGAACATTTTATGAATACACCGTTCAGTAGTTAATCAAAAAATCCTCCGGAAGCTTTGTCTTGTCCATCCAAGTGACAGGGATATTTCGATCAAAAACTATCTTACTTGAAGCTCCTCATTGTCAAAAAAAGAGATCAGTTCACCATCCACCCTCGTTCATTATGTTCATTCCTTCCCAAAAATGAGTAAAAGCTGAACTCAAGTTTTAAGTAAGAAAAGCTATAAAAAAGGTCACGCGAAGTGTGCGAATGCACGGCTCCTTCAAGAACTTTATTCTGCGAAAATATCCTTCGTAAATGAAAGATGAGTAGACGACAAGAATCCCTCGCAACAAATTAAGATTCCTGAGACACTGGATGTACTGTACTGTCGTACAATTTATGTTCACGAAAAGAAATGCATTACTGGCTTAGGGGAAATAGGGCAAAACGTTCAAGTTCCAAGTACAAATGCAAAAAAAAAAAAAACGAAGCCCTCTTCTCGCAGGCACTTCTCCCTCTCTCTCCTCCCCGTCGAAAAACTGGACATTTTAAATGAATCGATCCCGCGTCACTCAGTCACCCAAAAAAAATCAATCGCATCATCGGTATTTACACATCACACTCACGAACTTCATTGCCCCATCATGTCAGTGTGTGATTCCATCGGGGCGGCAGAATCGTACAAAGTATCCGTGTCTTGCGTCGGCTCCCCTTGCAGCAAACACACACCGCTCAAACTTCCGGCGCCGCAGTCGCAAAAGAACCGGTCGTGTCGGATAAACTCCACGTCGTGGCCCGCGTGACAGCTTTTGATGCAGTTTAGGCAAATGGCGTTCCGGTCCGTCGTGCGACATGTCCGACACCGATAGAAGTCGTGCATCGGGAACGACGTGTAGGAAGAGATCTTGTAGAGACATAGTCCGCGGGCCACGGCGCCGTTTACGGCGTCCAAGTTGTTGTACATCTCGTTCCCGCCAACGATGAGTGGTTGGACCCCGGACGCCAAACACAGGCCACCGAAACGATTGTTGAAGATGTGATTACGTTCCAGCGTCGCCGAAGCGTTGTTCGTAATTTCTATCCCCGCGGCAAGTCCGTCAAATATTCTGAAAAAAAGTCGGTTGCATCATAAATTTAAAATATCAAAATTGTACCAGATAGATTAATTCATTTTTTTAAATGCAGTATTCTCTCGTTTTATAAAAACTGTGCAACTTTCATTTTCGACCCTGGAAACTCAGTGTAAAATGAAAATTACACAGCAAATGCCAGTGACGTCTACGCACAAAATTATTCTAAATTTTTTTTCCAGTCAGCATCAATATGTTTTCATTGCACAAGAGAAACTAATAAAATAATTTAGGATATAGAAAATGGAACAAGAAGGTCCAAAAATACAAACCTGTTCCTTCGGAGCACCGGATGACTGCCGGTACTTATCAATACACCCGCTTGGGCGTTGCGAAATATATCGTTCTCTTCCAACACGCCCTTCCCATTGGAAAAGATACACACGCCGCCGTCTCGCCCGTCGTATATTTTGTTTCGCCGCAGCGTGGGCGTCGAGTCCGTCTTGATCCACACCCCAGCCATGGCATTTTCAAATATCTCGTTTCCTTCTAGTAGTCCGAGTCCCCCATTGTAAACTAATACACCGCCGTTTTGGCCGCCCCAGATCTTGTTTCGTCGGATCACTGGATTCGACCCCGTTCTGATTTGTACACCACTGTACAGGTGGTTGAAGATGTCGTTGTCCTCGAGACAACCGTGACCGTTGTCGTAGAAGTAGACACCAACCTGGAAAGGCATGGCTCACATGAGATATCCAGCTATTTCGTTAGAAATCCTAGGGTTTAGCCCCAATACAATGCCGTTATTGCCCCGCAATAATACCCAATTCGTCAAAATATTGATTTATACGCTTCTTTCCCGGTAGCCACTTCGAAAAGAAGTAAAAAGTTGAAAAATCAAAATTTTGTAATACATGTACATACATTCATTCGCATCATTTAAATCGAGTTCAACAAGGCGGGGCATTTTGCTTACAGCCGGTTAATCTTCGAATTCCGAACAGGTACAAATACGAAAGAAGAAGAAATTGATATACTGTACAGTACCTGCTTTCCTGAGTGGATCCGATTTCGTCTCAAGACAGGGGTACTCCCGGTAGTGATCCAAACCCCTGCCAAGGTATTTGCGTAAATTTCGTTCTCTTCTATTAAACCTTGACCCTTTTCGTGCACGTAAACACCGCCGTGCTGACCGTGGTGAATTCGGTTGTGTCGTACAATGGGATGAGAATTGGTGCGAATCTGGATACCTGCCAATGAGTTTCCGTGGATGTTGTTGTACTCTATTACTCCTCGCCCATCCCCAAAAATATAAACCCCGCCTTGGTGACCATCATATATTTCGTTTCTTCTGATGGTTGGGTTAGAATGCGACGTGATCCAGACCCCAGCATATGTGTTGGAATGAATTCTGCAAAGAAAAAGGCAGACAATTGTTGACATACAGCGATTTTTCTCGAAGCAGTCATAAATTTATAATTAGTTCTTCGGGAAAAACCGTTAAATAAGTTAAAAGAATCTGAAGGGACGAAATTAAATACTATTTGAAAATCAATTATTACATCATCATTTTTAAACAAATGTATGTCACTCAAAGAGGAAGGACCTGAAAATGTAAAAAAAAACAATAATTTTTGAACACACTCTAAAATAAAATATACAAAATCTAGCTCAGTGTTCCCCAACCTGTGGTCTGCGGAAGTTTTTTGCCAGTCCGCGGGAAATTTTCTCAAGCATAATATATTTATGAAAAATATCGCTGAAGGACATTACAGTATCTGTATTCGCAAGACAATTGCAGTTAAAATCATTTCATGAAAAATTAAAATTGGCTTTTCTCCAAATAACACTTCAGACAAATTTTCACCTGATGAAATAAATTACTGAATTTTAATTTTTCATTCGGAAAAATTTCTGTTCCAGCTAACCTTTCTAATTTTTTGAAGACATTCCCGTATACTTGCTTCATTGATTCTCAACTTAATTTTGTCGCAAAAAAGCAGAAAATTTTTCAATACCAGCCACAAATTATTCCAGGCAAAACATTTTTGATTGTGCAAAAAAAAAAAACCGTTGCCAGTCCGCAGAACTTTTCTTTTTCCAAAATTTGCCTGTCAGCAAAAAATTTCAAGGCAATTCGCCAGTCCGCAGGCCCGAAAAGGTTGGTGAACCCTGATCTAGCTCACTCCTCACATTCAAACGAACTTCATTTCTACAGTTATTATAAATTAACTTTAAAACTGCCGATACTGACCTGTTTTCAACGAATTGTCCGAGCCCATGCTCATGTATATAAACACCGCCGGTTTGTCCGTGATGAATTTCACATCCAACAACGAACGGATCGGCACCGGCCTTCACTTCGAAACCAGCAATGCGATTGTCGTGAATATCATTCCCTTCAAAATACCCTCTACCACCGTCAAAAGTGAACACGCCGACATCTCGTCCGTGATGAATGTGATTGCGTCGCATGATAGGATTCGCCTGGTTTTTAACCCATACACCAGCAAGAGCATTGCGGGAGATTTCATTTCCTTCGTAGAGGCCTTCAGCTGAATCAGTGACGAACAAACCGACGTTTTCGCAGTCGGATATGTCGCAGTTACGGATGACTGGATTCGCGCCCTGGCCAGACACACAGACTGCCGCGCCAGCAACCGACGAACTCCTGATAACGCATTTTTCCAATGTTGGCGAACAATTAGGACCCGTGATTTCAACACAATAGTGACGAGGATTATGAGCTGCAGCAGCTGCCATTGCTCCACCTGCGGGAGCTCCGTTATTATTTTGAGCCTGTAATGAAAAAAAAGGATCAAGTTAGATACGAACAGTAGCTTACGTTTATATCCAGCCGAAATAGATATATAGAGTATATAGTGTAGATTTTTATAATGCGCATACGACGGATTTTCACGTCAAAGGCAAATTATTTCTTGCCATTTTGGGAGATTCAGCAGCAATCATCTCAGACAAATGAGACATTTGCCCAGCCCAATCCAGAAACCTCAATTTATTCTTCCTCGCACTGCACCAGACTTTTAAGGTTAAAGCTCGCAAATAACACCGTAGTAGGCATTTAAAAAATGTAATTTTCACGCATCAAGTGGAAAATGAGCCTCAAAATACTGATTATAAAATATACGCTGACATCCAGCTTGATTAAAACCAAGTGCAGCGATGTTATTTTGATGGATTCCAGACCATTTTGAAATGTTCCAAATATTTCCGTCAAGTCTGCTAAACAGATACCAATGCCGATTGTGGGTATTGTAGGTCATAATTTAAACAATCAGTTTATGCGACACGGGAGATCCCTGGGATTAATGCCAGATTGAGTTGAGAAAATCCAACAGAAAAACCATGCCACTAAATTTTCATCCACCAAGAGTCCAGAAATAATGCTTTGAAATAACAAGCAAGCAAAATCTAATGCGGTCATTCCTCTACTTTTCACGATTTTACATTGTTAAAACCTACACGGAAACGCTCTCTCACGGGAGTTTATGTGGAATAAACCAGTCATGGGCCCAAATCATCCGTGGAAAATCAACGAAAGCAGCCAAGAACGCACGTACCTGATTGCGGTCGGCAACGGCAACAAATGGAGGTGAAGCAGATGCATCGGCATTGAAACGCAGCGTCATGTATCCAATATAAGCATCGCGCGCACCTTCAAGGAATACCACGGTGTAATCGCTATCTCGATCCAAGATTACGTCTGCTGCTGGATCCGGACCGGCACCGATGAGATGAACATCAAAATTAATGACCACTTGCTCGTTCCTGTAAACGCCAGGGTGGACGACGACCAACGGCGGCTTCGAGCCCTGCCGCGATTGGGATTCACAGCTTCTCAATGCTTGCTCGATTGTGTCGAATACAACTAAGTGACTATCTTTCTTCTTCCTGCGCGGCCACACGTGTACCGCGTAACGTAATTGCCTGAAGCTTTCCTTCCAAGCACAGTTCGCTCCGTTTGTAGTCGGTACCCGGGTTGTGGTTTCAGGTGGAAGTCTCTGTCGCTGTCTATAGCCATGATGCAAATGTGCCAGCATATACGCATTCGAATGATGGGTATACGAAGTAGACGTCGTTGTAGTGGTATGTGTTGAATCGCCCAGGAATTCGTATCCAGAGCTTGTTCGGAACAATGGTCGTGAGTATTCAAACACGGATTGGAAAACACGCTTCCATAGATTACTGTCGTTACTGACAGTATGAAATCTTCTACAGACTTGCGCAACATGACAGAGATCTTCTTCTCTGAGGTAAGAAAAAATTTTAAGAAGAACCTCGTCCGGAAGTTTGTAAGAAAAATATGTAGAAGCGCTATTCCGCAGATCTGCTTCTTCACTGCATTCACGCTTCAGTCTCTTAGGAGGAACAGCAGTCATAATTGGCGGCGAACGCTTCGGAAGTGAGACAGTCGTTGTGCGGAAAATACCTGTGGCAAGACACTCATTAGCGTGTATCACAAATCGGCGGAATGCTAACTTTACATTCAACGTTACGATCCCGCTGACTATCAGCTGGAGAGCTGTCGTCTGGTACAAACGCTTCACCCTCCAAATCTTCATCGTCATCCTGGGATAATGGAATGTTGCGGCCTCCTGCAGCCCGAGATCCATGCCTTGGCTCAGAGTCGAACGGCTTTGGTCTATGATGGTGGTGCTGAGGTCGAAGCTGACGACACTGAGACCAATCGTACCTCGTGTTCATTTCACGACTGGTGGAAGGCCCGGGCTCATCCGCTCCGGAACCTTCATCAACAACGGCTTGCGGACATTCGGGTCGATCTTCACGTGGAGGGGATGGGAAGCCCCGACGACGCGATGCAGATGCGCGAATTTTATCGCCGTCTGTCTTGTCGGGCGTCGAGGAACTCCCACATCCGTTCTCCTCGTTGGGATACATCGCGTCGCAGAACGCGAGTGACACACCCAAACTTCGTCTAAAAATTAGGTTAAATCATAGTTTACAACACAAAATAATCCTCCCTTACACTGGGATAGCTCCACTTCAACTCGAGCGACCAACAAATTTCAGCTTTCGACATACCGGTGTTAAAAGCATTAGCCACGTGAAACTTACATTCACACTTAGTATCTTGGCACCTCTGGATTTAACGATGCTGGTCGTAAAAGGAGGAGACCAAGCCCCGACTTCGTTCTGCTCTGTCATTATATTTAAACCCGCGACATCTATAGGCGATAGAGTGGATGGCTTTAACAAGATGAAAATTAAGATACTGCCCCAGTTCTGTAAACGCTTTACTAGCTGTACCTGCACATCAGTCGTAATGATATACAGGACAGTATATCTTTTTCAGTTAGGTGCGGAACAATCGCGGATCCCTTGAGTAAGGCATTCCCATGACTTACAGAGCGACATCTAGCGTAACAGTGTTTTACTAATTATTCTCCTACAGCTCTAGACCTCATATCTCTAGATCAGTAGCACGATGGAGAGGAGCGACGGAGAGCTCCAAGGATGGGCATTCCGGTGTTTGAGCTTGACTTGTACAGTCCTTCTCTTGTTTTAACTCTGACCTTGTGTGTGCCTGTGACGTCGAAGAATAAACTTGTATGTTGAGCCGTGATCAAGGACTTTATTTCCCCAAAACTCTTACTCTTGTCAGGCTGACTTGAAAATTACAGCACTGTATGATCATGAAGCCTCAATATACTTCATTGAAGTAACAATAGAGGTCACACTCACAACGTACAGTAGGCCTGGATGGGTCACTTTCAAAAGAGTGTCTGTTTAGCATGAATTGAACCTCCGAGGTCTCAGATCAACCGCAAATTCAATTAGAATACGAATGACATGATGCAGAATAAATAGAAATACAATTATTTATATATTATGCTTTTGTTCTAAAGATTTTGACTGGTAATATAATATTACCATGTCATATATATTTTGGTTCTCCAGCAGAATATTGTGGTTCGCTCTGTCGTCGTGTAGAGAGGGAGTGTACAATGCCCTCCAGTTATCCAGTATGCTGGATGAGGGAGGGGGTAAGTCCAGGAAGCGATCCATCTTGTGTGATCCTGGTGAGCGCGAAACTCCTCCGACTCATACCACTTTTGGTAGGGATTCAATGTGATTTGACGTTCGTGGCTGCATTTTTTCTGTGCGCTGTTGAATAAGTTGGACTCTTCGGAGGGGATTGGTGTTTTCCACGCAATTCAGTGTGATCTCCGCTCGGAACGTAGCTAGGCAAGGTTAGAATCTGTTCCGCGACGAAATGCTGTTTGGAATCATGTTCGCATTCGTGTTGATTCTACCCTGTTCCGAATTCAGTTTTTAAAGATCCTGATTCCGTGACTTCAAGCTTTACTTCAGTTATACGCGTTCCGCCATTATTTTATTGCCTCACGATGTCGCGTGGATACAGTAATGGAAGGTGAGCAAGACTTGTGGTTCGAAAGTATTGTGCATTCGAAGTCAACCTTTCTCGCTTTTTCTTAAGGGGATCTGGGAGGGACGACCGTGGTGGCGGAGGCCCTATGAGAAGTCGACAGAACGGACGATTTGATTCCAGTTACCGTCCACCTTACGATTTGCGCGAGTCTTCATACAGGAGCGGTGGTGGAGGAGGAGGCGGGAAAAAGGAACTTGGTGAGAACCTCAAGCGTATCAAATGGGATATATCCACATTGATTCCATTTGAGAAGAATTTCTATGCTCCAACTACGAAAGTGAATGCCCGGTACGTAATTTTTTTATTTTTTATCTGTCGTTTCTTCATGATTTATTTGTTGCAGCCCGGTTCCTGAAGTGGATCACTACAGAGCGGAGCATGATATCACCATGGTGGGTCGAGACATTCCAAAGCCGATTATCACCTTCGAAGAAGCAAATTTGCCCGACTTCCTGATGGATGAGTTTCGGAAGCAGAATTACAAGGCTCCAACTCCGATCCAAGCACAAGGCTGGCCTATGGCCCTCTCTGGTCGAGATATGGTTGGAGTTGCACAAACAGGGTCCGGCAAAACACTCGCCTACCTACTTCCTGCGTTCATCCATATAAAGCACCAACCGCGTCTGGAGCGTGGAGATGGGCCAATAGTCGTTTGTTTAGCCCCTACCCGCGAACTTGCCCAGCAAATTCAAGAAGTAGCATCTCAGTTTGGACAGTATTTCGATGTCCGTTCCACTTGCGTTTTTGGCGGTGCTCCGAAAGGACCGCAGCTTCGTCTTTTGTCTCAAGGAGTTGAAATTCTGGTCGCTACGCCGGGAAGGCTGATTGATTTCTTGGAAATGGACCGTACAAACTTCCGCCGAACCACATACCTTGTTCTCGACGAAGCTGATCGCATGTTGGACATGGGATTCGAGCCGCAGATCCGCAAAATCGTAAGCCAGATTCGACCAGATCGGCAAACTTTGATGTGGAGTGCTACATGGCCGAAGGAAGTGCGAAAGCTTGCTGAAGACTTTTTAACGGACTACATCCAGGTGAACATCGGTTCACTCCAGCTTGCCGCTAATCACAATATTCTGCAAATCGTTGACGTTTGTCAGGAATGGGAGAAGGACGAAAAGTAAGTAAAATGTTGACGGAAATTGGGGAATTAGAAAATCGGCGACTATTACCGGTACTTGAGCTTAACCTCTATTATCTTGAAATTTTTTCATCATTTTCAGGTTGTTCCGTCTCTTGGAAGAAATTAGTCAAAACCGAGAACGGAAGACCTTGATCTTCACTGAGACTAAGAAAGGAGCGGATGAATTGACGAGGCGGATGCGTCGACAAGGATATTCAGCTATGACCATTCACGGAGATAAATCGCAACCTGAAAGGGATGCCGTTCTCAATGGTGAGCAACGGAGAGTACTGCAGTATTGAATGTATCACTTGAAGCACAGTTTATGAAATGATCTGTTCATTTGGCAAATTCCCTAACTTCATTAACGTTCAACATTCGATTGCTGGCCTGTGCAGTTGTCTTTTTTGGAATCCCGCTGCACAGTTATTTCAATCTGGGTTGGCAAGATTCAATAGAATCGATTATTTTCCTGTATCCGATGTGATGTGTCATATATATTGTTGTGAGATTTTTAGCCTCACTGTTTCTGAGTCGACATAGAGCATTAATTACTCTTCGTCTTCGCAGATTTCCGCTTTGGTAGGACAACAATTTTGGTAGCAACGGACGTAGCAGCTCGTGGACTCGGTGAGTTGAGGAAGGATTGTAACGCAGTAATTGAATGAGTGGAAAGGACGTGCATTTCAATCAGAATGTGAAATTCGAGGTTTCTCTTGCCGTTTTCCCAGCAGCGAGGCACGGCTGATGTTTCGACGCAAAACACCCGCGGGAGCGAAAGCTGAACCCGCGGATTTTGTGTCCTGTTGCTTAGGCCGTGGTCCTCGGATAAGTTTAAATGATACTGTGACACCGTTGTAAAAGCGTCCGTTTGGCGGGGAGTGGGCGGCCTTTGCGGAATATTCAGTTGGCTCCTGGCCGTGGCATGTTTTCCTCCGGGGTCAAGGTCTCGAGGTTTTACGAGAAATTTTCCGAGACGGGACCCCGCATGTCGAAGCCGTTCCAACGCCTCCGTTATGGGTGTGTTGTCATGCTTGGAAATCGCATGGTTGCACTTTTCGACCCACCCTCCCCCGGCAATATCCGTAAGAGCGTACGCTGTTGTCTCCTTTCTCTGTGCTTTCAACGGTGATCTTCAGTTTCCTCTATTCGTCCCAACTCAGTAATTCAGCTGATGTTCGTGTTTTCCTATTTTACTAATTCGTTTTTATTTTTGTGCCTGTGTCGGGAATCACAGACGTAGACGACGTCAAGTTTGTCATCAACTTTGATTTCCCGAACTGTTCTGAAGACTATGTTCATCGTATTGGTCGAACTGGAAGGTGAGTTGATACTTTGTCGTACTGTATCCCCAGTGAAGGCTGTCTTGCCTTGGCGCGAGAGAAAATATTTATTGCTTATTACGGTGTACCAATTCAAGTACGTGTACTATACATCACTTTCAAGTTTCTTACCCATTGTAAACATTTTCCATCTTTCATTCCAACTAGGCCGAATATCGTCGAACGATGAAACATAATTAGGAATGCTGTGCCATTCTGTCGTTAGCCCAATATTTGGTCATTGTGGGACTGAATATTGAGAAATTTCTCGATTCGTACAAGAGCCAGAAATATAATCTAAATCAAGTATTATCAAGATTGATTGACATATTCTGCAGTGAATTCAAGAAAATATGATTAGGGCGCCAGCCGATAAATCTGGAATTACAAGTTCGCGTGTCGCAAATATTCCCAGCATGTTTAATAGGATTTTTATTGCCGAAAAAGAACCATACAATTTTCTTTAATGTTTGGTGGGAGTGTGCAATTCATCCTGTTTTGCAATATTACAGATCGAACAAGACGGGTACAGCCTACACATTTTTCACGGAGAACAATGCGAAACAGGCCAAAGATCTCGTGGCCATACTGAGGGAAGCCAATCAAGTGGTAAATCCCAAGCTCAACGAGCTGGAAACCAGATCTAGAACCATGGGCAGTGGAACCAGAAGACGTTGGGGAGGCGGAGGTGGTGGCTCTTTCCGCGGCGCCTGTAATGGCTACGGTGGACGCCGGGGTGGTGGCGGCAGTGGTGGATATCGTGGCGGCTACGGATCGTATTAGGATCTTTTTCTATTCGACGGTCGGAATCGTGACATTGCGTGAGCCACTAGCTGTCGGGAGTTAAAAACCGCTCTTTTTTCGATTATTCTGTTTCGCTTGTTTTGTCCGCCGTTTTATTCCTACATTTTGCAACTCGCTTGACGCTGTTGGCTACGCTGTGTTGAGACTTTAATTCGGGTTAAGTATTCGCCGGTGTACACTTGCGGAGACTAGGAGAGAAGGAATTATTCCGCATTGGATCTTGTTCAGTATCTTTCCTGGTTCTCGCAAATTTTGAACTGATTAAGGTCGTTGCTTGGTGACTTCTTTTGATTTTTTGTTGAAGATTTGTCGTAAGCTTTTGAAGTCGCATAAAGAATTAGACCGATATGTTCTGTTTTGTGCACCTTTTTGAATTCTCGCGAAGTTGGGATCAATAATAATTGGTTGTCAATTGGAACCTGTGTTCATTCTGTTCAGCTTCCTGTCAATTCGAAGCATGCGTGATCGAGATCTTCATTATATCGTGTAGGGCATTTGAAATACGAATAGTGATGGCGGCGGTTGAACAGCCGGAACCTACGGTGGAATTGGAATTTTTGCAAGCTATGCGTGATTTCAAGACCATGTTCCCGGATATGGACTCCGATGTCATTGAGGTGTGTGAGTTCGTGTCGTAAATTCTTTAGGATCAGTGGTGATGAGTGGTATTTGTTGCTCAGGCTGTCCTGAGAGCGAATGACGGCTCGGTGGACGCCTCGATAGACGAGCTTCTGACGATGTCATCCGTTGATGGGATGAATAAACTTGTTACGAAAAAGACTGAGCGTCAGCCACCGTGAGTTCCTAGCATTATTTGAAGTTGTAGTCCATAAGTCGCGGTTCTGGAAGGGAATTCCGTCCACGCGCCTTGTTCGTCGATCCTTATCTTTCAGTAGGGATCGATCCGGGATCATCTCGGGTAATCTGCGAAGCATTTTCTTTAATCGCCTCACTTACAAGAGCTTAGTTGAACGATATTCTTTAGCAAAGCCGCCGAACTCAGATGTGGCTGGGGGCCACAAGGTACGAATATTTTAAATATCACATTCAAAAGATTCAGAAATAAAGCTATAATGCTAACACTCATCCAACCAACTAATTATTTAATATGGAAATTCATGGTTTAAAAAAAATGAGCTGGACAGAAGAGCTTTCTGATCAAGAATGTGAGTATTGAGAACATCTATTCTAGGTGATTTACGGCCGTATCTCATTTACCGGATATGGCCACATTTCCGAAGAAGACTTACGACATCTGAAACGTTTTCATGGAGAGGATTTTCGATCTAATGTTCGAAGAATTATGTAGTGTACTTCTACCACCGGAAAACTCATACAATGTTTCTGTGTGGCGCAAAAGCTTGAATATCTTCCTAAAATCCTCCGTTCGTCTTCTCTTGATTTCAGACTAGTTGCTAATGAATAGGAAGTCGACACAGATTACTATGCAAAACTGAGAATGCTTCCCAATGCCGTTCATTCAACGAGAGTAGCACATGCCCGATGAAATTTGATGAATCAATTCTCCAACCATGAAGTTTGTTGAAGCTTCATCGTTCTCCATGTTACCGTAAAAATGAGAGATTAGATCATCTTTTTTACAAAGAAGGAACTAGGATTAATCTAACGTACACCTAGTATTGAAATCTTGATACATTTCTATACTGAATATCAGGCTATGTGTTGATTCAGATTTTAAAATACGAATCACTGGGATCAAGTTCGATCGCCATGCGATGAGCTCTGGTATAATCCATTGGCTTTTTCAACGGAATTTCGATACACAGCTCCCAAGAACATACAAAAAATAAGTTATGCCCTTCATTGCAAAACCTACTCCTGTTTTCTACGAGTAGGGTATATGAAGAGAATAGTTTCAGCGGGTAAGTCAATTAGGAATTGAACAATCCATAAAAAACCGATTTTTGCATGTTTAATGATGATCGACATGTTTTGTTTTCAGGCAAGATGCAGTAGACAGGGAAGGTTATTGGGTTGGTGGTGGTGATCCTAACGGCATTCCACTGCGTTTGATGAGAAACTGGCAACCACAGATGTTGTCCCCGTTGCCGTCGGACTTCCTGAGAATACGTATTCCCAGGACAAGAGTAGAACAGCGTTTGGTAAGATCGATGTTCCTTTTTTCATTCTTTTGACATTGAAGGAATACGTTACACAATTTTTGTTCTTGTCAGTCTGACACAGCTATTTTGTATATCCAGGCCGTATCTGATTGACGCTCAATTTCGTATTTATAATTTACTATGTACAGTATTTCAAATATTCAATTATTATTCCATATTCATAGTAATGTACAGTACAGTATATAAGCAAAAATGTACGGCATGTCTTGTAAATCTTACGATTTCGAACGGAAACAAGCCTTCACAGATCACAGTGCAATCTCTTCTTCCCTGAAATACTTTGACCACATGTAGTGAAGCCATGGCTTCACTATTCGTGGACAAATTACCTAGAACAATAGTTTTTTTTTGCGCAAGGGATTCCTGTAAACTTATCCTCAACTTTTGAACTGGCTCATCCTGACATTTTTTGATGTGAAACCAACAGTTGGAACTACCGTACTATGCCATATTTGAATGAATAAATAAAATGGCTGAAGAAATTGAGAAAATTTCAAGGAATTCACTTGAATATGAAATTGTTCTCTCCAAGTACACCGCCTTAACACTGTAGAAAACTACGGCGGAAAAACTTCCCTATATTGTGTAACGCTATGATGAAATTAAGAGATCAGTCAGAAAATATGGGTCTGAATTTTTTTATCGGGTTTTTCTTGGTTTTTTTTATCGTTTATTTTGTGCCTTTAATTTATTGAAGGGTCTTCAGCTGATGGCATCAAAGCGATTGGGAGCTCGTCTCGCTGACATTGATCGTAGACGAAAAACGACGAATGATCCCGAAATGGTGCAAATGCTGGAAGACGAAAGAATGGCGTTGTACTTGCAAAATGAGGAATTCATGAGAGAACTGAAGGCTGATCCCGAATTCATGGCCGCCTTAGAAAAAGGTTTGCTGAGATAATTCATGTTTCAGCAGTCCCTAAGTATAGTAAATACGTTTTGTTTGTCAACCGTAGAGTCTCCGAGTGATCCGTCCATATCGGAAGGAGGAAAAGCTCGTTCAATGGATGATCTGGAAGCTTTCAGAGAAAGGATTCGAAATATGGGCAAAGGTAAGCCAGAGGGAATTTTTTTTCATTCACGTCAGATTCCGTGATTTAATCTTTATTTTCTAAAAAAGATTTCCCTCGCCTTTCCATCTTCATTTTCCTGCTACTGCATTTGTGTACTGGCAATTATTTTTGTGCAATTGGTTATTTTGACGTCCTAACATTGAAGGAAGCAAGTGTAGGCGTTGGAAAAACTTAAACTTGTGTAGGGGTTGAAGACTTCCATATCGCAGTACTGTGTTCTTAGTTTCTCCCGAATTTCACTTCCTCTACATGGTATCGCTGAGTTTTCCTGACTTCGAGATGGGTGCTGTATGTGATGAACGGGGTTTTCGTTTCAGTTTCCAGGAAAAAATTTTCGCAGATGGCCAAAAAATTTCACATACACAAACGGAAAGCGGGAGGAAAATAGTGAGTAATTGACAAAAATATGAAAATATCTATCGCATCCTTCTTTGTTACGTCACATCTCACTCAGCATTTCACAAGTGGATGTCCCAACGAAGGATAACCTCTTGTTGGCTGCGGAACCGTTGGTTGCCGACGATGACGACGAAGATGAAGATCTTACAGATTTAGACCGAATGCGATCCGGGAATCAACCTGTGAGTACATTTGCTCCAAGGGCCACAGTTGTCCTTCTGTTATTTTGTGAGACTTTTCGAGAGGTATCCTACTATTCACAATTTTTGTGATCCTTTGATCAGAGCGTTCCATTCTCACCCGTACGTAATAAGCATTTAACTTGACATTTTAGTTACCAACTGCAACGCGTTCTGGATATTGCCGTCCAGATGAAAAGAAAAAAAAAAGACCCGCTAGTTAGGGCAATAATCTAGTTCGAAATTGTATGTATCCTGTACGCGGAAGTTGAAAATATTCAAATGACATCGTTTCTTCAGGATCATCATCATGGATCGCACCGCGGTGAGAGTGGAAAGTTCGAACCATTCTGAAGGATCGAAAATTTGATGCTGTGACTGGAAGAGAACAAGCCGTTTTCTTTCGATTTTTCAAAATTGGTTTCGGGGAATCTAGCGTAACGAATCTCATATTTTTGTTGGAGAATCTCCGGATCTCGGTCGAACCTTTTCCCCACCATCGCGAACAATTACTTTTCTCCGGTGCTACGTTCACGTTGAACCTATTGCGAATCATTTGACTTTTTAATGTGTTCAATTTGAGGATTGGCGAGTTTTGGGTTTGAAATGGAATATCTCTATGGTCTTACTGTGCTGACATCCAGTTGGAAAAATATTCATTGTTTGCTTAGCACTCGATTAAAACGTCGAAAGTTTCATGTGATTTCTGCTCGGTGTGAACCGGGAGAGAGTAGTTCAGAGTTGTTGACAAACGATTGTGAACATCGTTAAAATTTATTTTTGGATCTGGAAATTTAAACCACTATATTTGTAAAAAACCAATTCCCGAATTTCGGGCAATCTCGATACGTGCGTTGTTGGTGTTTGGGTGTCGCAGACGTATTTATGCTAGTCTTTGATATATATGTGAATATTGAAAATAAGTTGATTAGTCGCGGTTTACGTTTTATTCCTTCGTGAAGGGTGTCCAAAGGTTCATGTTGAGCTGAAATTTAATTGATTGAACTTTTTTACTTCTGTATCCACGAAAGGGTTTCGGGTCAAAGGATATTATCTATTTGTCGATAGCAGTTATGCAGTAATCGATTTTCAATTTAACAACATATCTGCTGCTGAATTCCTCCTGAAGAGAAGCTAGCGCTTTCTGTATGAACATATGCGATGTACAGTATTCAAACTGAATTGTATGCGCTTTTTCATACATTTTGCTTCATCGGTAATTGAAATATTGTACTGTACATACTGTTACCGCCGTTTCGATTTCACAGTAACGCGTTGGACACCCTATAATTTCGAAGCCAACTTTTTTCACGTGGATTTATTTTATTGAGATGTGGTTGAAATTGTATATCGGAAGGTTTATTATTGATTTATCCGTCTTGCGCTTTACGTATTGTTCGTGGATCTGAGTGCTAATGCCTGGTTTGTGATTATGAATATAGGGAAAATCACGATACTGTGCTCTCATGCTAACCTGTTAAAATCTCTTTTTCGGCGCAGATCAGCAATCAATCCTTGGATGTGAATTTTCCCGCAACAATATGAACCAAATAAATTTTACCTAAAATGAGAAACGACGCATCGTTTGCTCTGGTTTTCGTATATTTTGCTGTCGTTGAATGCTGAAAAAGTTTTCGCTTGAACAGGTTTTTTTTGTTACGTTGATTTCGACTGTGATATGGTAAAGATTGAGTGATGAATGTGGAAGGAATTGAGAGTCCCCCAGTGAAGACCATGAGGTACGCCGAACAGCTTCGTGCCGCTTTGATAGGTAATTTTCTTTCTTTATTTGAATGCTGGAGACGTACTTTTATATTTTGTGTACGATTTATCCGATTTCCGAGCCGTGTTAAGTTTAGAACGGATGACTGAAGCACGTTGGAACTCTTGACGAAAAAAAAAACAGTTTATTGATCACGCTCTTGGAGAGAAGACGAATGTATGTTCGATTTTACTAACCCCACTAAAGCCGGAGAAAGGAATTTGTCTGTCTTCCAACCCTTCATCCCTGTTTTTTATTTGGTCCATCCACAGTTATTTTCGAAACGATGTACAATATTCGTTCTAGTTTCTCGCATTTTATGGATTTGACGTTGAGCTTATTCGAATATGTTGCAGTGTTAAAACTTCTCTTACGAGAAAAACTTGATTTGTCAAGTTTTAGCTGTACTGTATATTGAACTTCTGTGAATCAGTGGCTGAGGTTGGAATCCACGGGGGATAAAGTGAAAGCGTTATTAAAAACTTGAACGTTGATGTTCAATATGAAGTGATAATGAAATACTGTGTCCACGATTAAAGTTTTGAATGTGCTGTAATCATAGTCCTGAAGCCAGATAATGTCCTGTACTGTAACTATGTTTTGACACTAAAAGAGCACATCTAACATGAAACCTCAGGTGCATTTTTTTTTTTTTAAGGATATGTTCTTCGAAACGAACATTTTAGCTGGAATCCAGATGAACTTTAAATGCTTCTTGATAGCGTTGAATTAAGATGCCATCGCCCTGTAAGGGAACGTCTCAGATGTATAGCTGATTTATAAGAATTTTAATGGTTTTCTAGTGACATCAGGAGCCTTCGTCGCCGGCATGGCTTTATCCAGGTCATCACCCGCACTTCCTCAAATCGGCGTAGAGATGGATTTAAGTCAAAGTCAATCGTCTTGGTTGGTTTCTTTGGTTCCTGTCGGTGGTTTGGCTGGTTGCTTCCCGGCTGGTTGGCTCATGACTGTGTATGGGCGACGGGGGGCCTTGATGCGTTTGGGCGTGATGTTTTGCATCGCATGGATGCTTTTGTGCGTGGACTTTTTCCCGTCCGTCATGTTCTTGGGCCGGTTTTTGACAGGGTTCTGTACCGGTGCCTACCTGGTCATCATCCCGACTTTCGTTGCCGAAATAGCCCATCCGTCGCAACGCGGAAAACTTGGTGCTTTAATTCAGGTAATTATTTCACGTAGGCTACAGAAGTTCACTGAACTAATTGAACTTCAAGGGATCAGTGGAAAATTTCGAATTGGAGAGGAAGAATCGGTGATGTTCTGGGCCTTTTATTGCATCATAAACGAATAGACTATATTCTGAACTTGGAGGCAAGGGGTCATGTGCTCAAGTACAGTAGTCATTCGCTTTCTTTCAAAATGCATCGTTATATTTTTGTTGCGCTCCTCTTTCTAGTGTCCATAAAGTAATGGTCAAAAGGCCTGCAGATAATACAGCTTGAGACCTAAGGTACTTATTGCCAATGAAATATCCAGTATTGGACCAAAAGAGTAATTCTCTATACTGAAGATTTTGTTTCGCCTCTTTCTTTCATCAATTACATACATCCAGCAAGGCTGTTGCAAATATTTTAATGTAGAATATTCGACAACGAAATTTCTCAAAACGTGAAAAAGTATCTGTTCAAAACTTCAGCGTGATGAAAGGGATTGAAATTCATATACTGTCCTTTTTTTTTTTCTTCGAAACTGTGACCTGCCGAAGTCTTCATGATTACAGTACGTCGTGAAAGTAAGCCCTGCTACCCACCATACATTAAGCATTTTAAACTAAAACGAATTTTTCATTAGCGGGTGAAAGATGAGGAAATACTGCAGTTTCTGCGAGAATCGGAGACACTCTGACGATGGTTTATTCGCAGGTGATGATTACGCTTGGAGTTCTTGCGACTTTCGTTGTCGGTGCGCTCGTCAGCTGGAGAACTCTGTCATTCTTCTGCTTTCTGGCATCCGTGCTTTCCTGTGCCCTGATGACATTTTTGAGTGAGACGCCTGCTTATTTGATGCAAATCGGTGATGTTGATGGTGCGAGAAGAACGCTGAAAAGCTTGCGGCCTTTCGGATACGACGGGATGAAGCAAGAATTCGCTGATTTGGAGTCCTCCGTGTCCCAAGTCGCCAAGGCGGACAAGGACATTGACTTTTCGAATCCTGAATTCTACCGACCTCTTATGGTTTCCATTGGGTGAGTTTTTCTCCAGTTGTAGAACATTAACTTGTTTGAAGCCATACGTATGACAAGTTTACCCTCTAATCTTCCTGGTTCAAAACGTTCACGGATGGTCTGAAGAATGCGCTGAAATTTAAAAAGCTCTTCCTCTCCCTGAAAATACCAGATGGACAGAAAAATTTACTTCCGAGTACTGTTAATTTTTTAATCATCTTATTTGAGTCTTAACTTTGGTGTTCGCCTCATAATATTTGAAGTACAGTGTTGGACAATAAGTTGAAATTTGTACCTTTTCGAATGTACTGAGCGTTATACCGTTATGATTCTTCAAATTACCACGACAAGCGTATGCAGTACTGATGAAAAGGAATTGATTGTGAAATAATTATATTAGTCTTTCACGAAGTAAAAATTTTCCTATCCGGTACGTACGATTTTGAAGTGCAGTTTTTAAGTGCATCAAATAATGAAGATTGATTCGTTGAATTGTTCGCGCAGAAACAAAGAAAGCATTGCTCCGGGCCATCAAGAATATGAATAAAATGTTTTATTCTCCTGAAAAATTATGCTAGCGTCTACATTATTCATCAGCAAGTTTGATTCAATTCATTTTCCAGTTCCTATTTCTTGGGTCTATTTTATCAAAATCAGAGTCCACTGCTCGAAATATTTATGGAAATTCGAGTTCATCGTGGAATGAATCAATATTGGAGCATCTTTTGTTCAGGATTCCCTGGTTTTTATTCGTAGTATTACTTCTTCTTGCAGATTGATGTTGAACCAGCAGTTGTCAGGGGTGAACAACGTGATATTCTATTCCAGTACTATTCTGAATGCTGGTATGGATTCCGTTAATGAAAACGTTCAATCCATCATGGTGGCCCTGAGCCAGGTTCTGGTTTCGGTGCCTGCGATGATTCTCGTGGAACGACTCGGCCGTCGATCTTTGTTGCTTGTGTCCAACGTAATTTGTTTCGTCGCACTAGGAATAACAGCTTTGTTTTTCTATTGGAAGTCATTCGGCCCGGATAATGTTGAGAACCTTGCATGGATGCCGATGTTTGGTTGCATCGCGTTCATCGTCGGATTTTCTCTCGCCTTGGGACCCGTGCCCTGGCTGATGATGGGAGAGTTGTTTCCTCTTAGGTTCCGGGGTGCAGCTTCCGGAATCGCATCCGCGGTGAATTGGAGTGTCGCGTTTCTCACCACTAAATCGTTTGCTACGTCGATGAATTTGTTTGGATTGCATGGCACATTTTTGACGTATTGTGCCTGTCTGGTGCTTGGGTTAGTGTTTGTGTGGCGATGCGTGCCGGAGACGAAAGGGAAGTCTTTCGCACAGATTGCCTCGTCGTTTGAGGGCGTTGTTCACGTTGCTTGATGAAGAGGAGAAAAGGAAAAAAGTATATTTTGTATATTATCACGTGTTCGCTGCATCGTGCTGAGGTGGTTGTGATTTTTGCACTCAGAAATGGTCGGGAGAATTGTTTTGTGAGGATTCCTGTTGCAAGCGGCTTTATGGTGAAGGCTATGCGATGAATAACCCCAAACTGATTTATTTCTTGAAAATTTATATTTTGTATTCCTGAAATCTAATACTGTACAGTAATAGAGCTTTATACCTGGAATTTCAAGGGAAAAACAAGCAGTATCTACAAAAATGCAGTTGCTTTTGGAATTTTTGAAATCAAGTCCTGATTGCAATCACAGGAATGGCATTCGCCACAAGCGTTGAAGGATTACTGCAATGAATAACATTGTAATAAATGACTTTTGAAAGTTGACTGCGTCTCACTCCAGCGCCTCTGGAAAATTTCCTTGATTATATATTGTACTGTACTCTACGCTGAACTACTGTTATACATTACCATCAAGTACCATTTGTGTCAAAGAAGTCAGACCTTTGTTAAGTTTGTTTAGGTTACTTCAGTGTTGAAGAAAAGTTTTCTAAAGTGAGTATCACATCGTAGAAGGATGACCGATATTAATTTGAAAATGTTCGTTGTTTAATGGATAGTTTTAGGATACTTTTCTCTTGGTTAATCGCCATCTGCTTTCAAATTAATCTTATCCCTTGAATATATTTCTCTTTTTGTAAAAAAGAGAGGCAAAATTATGTCTTCACGTCCCTTGTTTTTGAAAAATCCGTGGAAAAAGACCCGTAACATTGTAGGAAAGAATTTCGCCCCAAATCCCATGCACTTTGCCAAAGTATGTTTTGCTTTCGGTTTTCTTACACTGGTGTAATCAGCGATTTCAAACGTGATCGTTACGGGTGCGCAAGTGATGGAATCATGGAAAGGTTTGAGTCATTTTATTATTGTTGGCACATGAATTATGACTTCGAGTCGTGAAAAATGTATCGATCTATCATGTCTATGAATTTAAAATTTCGCCTTCGCTTACCTTTTTTGTGAACCATTGTATCGCGATAATTTTGTGTGTTGCCGTGTACGATTTTTTTTTTCGTTTCAGCTGTCTTTGTTCCCGACGTTTTCTCAACACGATTTGAATCTAGTCGGATGTCGACTGCAGTATTGAAATTGATTGATTTGTATGTTACTGTATAAATCATCAAAAGGCGTTGTTTGTTTCAGAGACCCAACAATGATCTGAACCCGTAAGCTCGTGCTGGGTTTTGCTGAATGCGCTCCCATGTTCGGATCTGTGATATTTTTGTAGTGTAGTGTGGTTTGTCCGCCTATTTTTCGTTACAAAGAGCTGTGATGGAGGAATCTTTAGATGACGCTCCTATTTTTGTTCCGCTGAGCGGATTTTCTGTCCGGAACCAACTGATTTTGGCCTTCTGTGGTGAGTATGATTTCTCGCTCGTTTTAAAAATTCCTCGAACGAATGTTTTCCTCTTACTATCATGAATGTTTTTATCACTGACATGAAATTTAACGACATTGAATATAATCGTTTATCTGGATAATAATATAATCGAGGGTTGTTGACTCACTCCCCCGTTGTCCTTAGAAATTCTGACTTTGGCCATGACCAGGAAGTTTTCACTTTCCGTCGTGCGATGTCCTGGAAAAAACAGCAAATGATCAGAATCTCGTAAGGAAAAATTTGAAATCTTTTTTTAAATGTTTAATGTTGTCACAATTTCTTGGGTCGTGCTGGATGGGGGCAACCCTCATTTGTCTCGCTGATTTCTGAAAATGTGGTTAATTGCAAATTTACTTCATTTTTATGTCTGTCTCTTGCATCTGTAGCAACTTCCGGATCTTTCGCCGTCGGCATGGCGCTCGCCTGGTCTTCTCCAGTCCTTCCTGTCCTGGAGGCGGAGATGCACTTGTCGCTGGACCAGGTTTCCTGGATAGGCTCCTTGATTGCCTTGGGAGCCCTGTGCGGAGGGATGCCTGCTGGCTGGATGATGGAGCGATATGGGCGACGAACCTCCCTGTTATTCATATCGTTGCCGTTTGCTGTTGGCTGGATCGGCCTGATGTCGGCGTCCTCGGTTTACCTGATGTACTCGGCTCGTTTCTTGATCGGTTTGTGTTGTGCCGGTTGCCTGGTCATCGTACCCACTTACATTGGGGAAACTGCACATTTGTCGTGGAGAGGCAAGCTTGGAGCTTTAATGCAGGTGAGTCACGCACTACTTTTCATATACTGTACTGTATGGTGCATAGAATTATTCAGTAAGATCCCAGTTCTGATTTTGTGTGCCCAATTTATAGCCGTAACATGATTGGAATCAGCTGAAGAAGGGATTGATCGAAAGGTCCATTTCCTTCTTCGAATCGACGCTTATTTGAGTACATCTGCCCTTTTTTAATTGTACTTCTGAGTGCACCCGCCTTTTTTTTAAATGCTGGTAGACCCTATTTGTGACGATTACCTTTGTACAGCATTTTCCACCTCCGAATCATTTCAACATGAGTCATATTCTAATCAAAATTCAGGATTTTGCTTTCAATTATCATTCGATTGAAGACTATTAGTTTTTTTTTAGGAGAAAATAATGATGGATGACGGGTTTGATTTTTCGTGTAAACTCGATGTTGCACTCGAGAAATATTCACACCTTTGAATGAATGTTTTCGTACTCACTCTGATTTCAGGTGATGATAGTTACCGGAGTTCTAGCAAGTTACGTGATCGGTGCCGTACTTCCCTGGCGATGGACTTCCGTTTGTTGCTGCGGCGCAGTCGCCGTCTTCGCGATTCTCATTTCAAGGATGCCAGAGTCTCCTGCATTTCTCTGCAAACACGAACGTCGAACCGAAGCCCGTCGAGTCTTGAAATGGCTCAGGGGTCCGAAGTACGATATTGAGCCTGAGTTGCGTGCGATTGAAAGAGAGGATTACGAATCAAAACTATCCGGAGAATTCGAATGGCGGAACATTGCGGAGCCGGCGTTTTATCGACCGTTATTCGTGTCTGTTGCCTTGATGTTCAATCAGCAGCTGTCGGGGGTGAACAACGTGATTTTTTACTCAGCCGCTATTTTCCGTGCTGCTGGTTCATCAATGAATGAAAATCTTGCAGCTATCTTGGTTGGATTAGCTCAATTCATTGCATGTCTTGGAAGGTAAATTTTTGTCATCACTGTACAATAATTCGCGTGGAATCGATATTGTTGGATTCGATTAACAAAAATTACTTTTGCAAAAAATCAGAATCTCAGTACCCAATTGCATCAGATAAAAAAATATTTCGACCAAAAATTTTATCACATTTTACTTCAAAATGTTCCAAAAACTGAGGGAAATGAGAAAAATGGGTTAAGTTTCACATGTTCAGTCTTTTGAATTTGGGAAAATCAGATACTTGAGAGCAAGAAGTTATGATTACAGTACAGAATTGTATAAAATTCAATTTCATACTACTGTACTCAATTTTGAATTAACAATTTTATCTTGAAAACTACACAAATTTTGAGTTTCATTATGGTCTTTTGTCACTGGCAATTTAATCTTACGGGAAAACCTTTTTCGCATTACGAAAATTCTGCAAAAGGTAATACGTAAAGGAACAGATCACTGTTTTTTTCGCGGAGACCCACTGTATCCTTGAGTGGAAGAGGCTTACTTCCTCTGCCTGGGCCACAAAGAAGAGAGGTCTTAAGCAACATTTTTTTCTGAATTCTTTCTTCCCTTTTTCAGTGCGTCAATCATTGACCATCTGGGCAGGAAGCCATTATTGCTTGCTTCAAATCTGCTGAGTGCAGTTGCCCTTTACGCCATGGGAATCTTCTTCTATTGGAAAGACAATGCGGATCATTTCGGACAGTCTTTCATAGATAGCTGGTCCTGGCTTCCTTTAGTGGCATGTGTTGCATTCATGGTCTTCTTTTCACTCGCACTCGGACCTGTGCCGTGGGTCATGATGGGCGAATTGTTTCCTGTCAAGTACCGAGGAACTGCCAGCGGGATTTCTACCATGATGAATTGGGCAGGCTGCTTTTTGATCACAAAAACGTTTGCATTTTTGCAGGCAAGCATTGGTTTGGGAGGTACTTTTTGGATTTATGGAGGAATAGTTATTGTATTCGCCTTGTTTGACACGTTATTTGTACCGGAAACAAAAGGGAAATCTTCTGCGGAAATCGGTCAATTCTTCGTCCCCGGAAGACTTTACCTAGAGCGAGAGTCATTGAATAGTGATCAGAGTCCTGGAGATTCGTGAAGTGTTGCTAATATTTATGTACCTGTGTAGGTGCTTGTGGAATCCACACATCGCTTGGTGTGCTAATTAATTGTCTTCGGAAGTGTTTTGTTACAGATTGGAAGGTGTTTCGGAATGAAGTGAACGTTTGCTGAATCGAATTCATTTCTTGTTTTTTTTTTTCATTTGTTCACTGTTGAATTGATCCGTAATCCTAAGGACCATGAAAGTTGAATTTACTGGGTAATAACGTTATGACATGGTGCTTGAATTCAGTATTGTTCGGAAAACTGCCGAATTTATTTGCACTTCCTCCATCATCTTGGCCAGAATTTCGTGAGGAAAAAGTTGCGTTGGATTATGTGTTTATGCTGTAATTTTGCATTCTTGATTGATGAGGCAGATCCGATTTTTAAGCGTGGATGCAAATGTAGATTTTGCATTCGTGAATTTTCTTCCAACACATTACCGTTTTCTTTGCGCAGTACATTACACTACTGTATTGTTCTATAGTACTGTGCATTATTGCTCACAGGAAAGTGTTCTGTGCACAAAATTGGGGTAAAGGGGTTCCTGTAGTGCCGTAAAACTATATCAGAGCTGCGGATAAACGGTGAGGAAGATTATCAAGTTCGTTCAACTTTTTTTTTAATGTTTTTACGAATTCAGTATCGATTTTAGATAGCAAAGAGAACAGTGGGAATGATGTCCGCATTCTCCTGGACGAAGCCATCGAACGGTCTCTGAAAGTTGCTCCAGAATATATTGAGGTACCTTCTGCCCTTCCAGCATGGCTGGCGGGCGAACTGGTGCAGATTTGAAAGGCGTGAGCCCCTCACTGAGAGTGATTGAGTGTAAACCAAGTTGAATTTCTTGGCATTCCTCCGATTGACTGTGTGCTTTGTCGATTTCTTATCGTAGTTATTTTCAAAGGTGTTTCTTGATCTTGATAAAATGCCGCCTGTGAGATCAGCAGCGGTTTCGGTGCACAACTCCACCAGCACAATAGGTGCCGTATGTAAGGAACCTCAACAAATTATTGGAGGAAACTTCTGTCGGCAGCTAAGTTTGCGTGTTTTACGCGAACGCCTCCCTTCAAAAGACGCTGCTGTATGCGCGAGCAAACGTATACTCAGTGACAGCGCCTCAGCATTCGGAAGGAAGATGAATGATGCTCGTGTTGTTCTCGGAACAATTTCACAAGTTAGTCGAGCAGTTTCAAATTTCAATTTGATTCTCTGTCTAAAGTTTAGAATCACGCGCAGACGCTGAAACGCACGACTAAAAGAAGAAAACAGCTGGTTGAATCGCCGTGTACTCCAGGAAAACGTAAAAGCCAGCAGAGACGTTCTGTTGATCTCTATTCTCCGTTCGGTATAGAGTCGCCGCTTCGGCGACCTGGACATTCGTCATCATACGTTACTCCGAGAAGGTACAGCTATTTCTTCGGTTCACTTTCTTTCTCGCCAGAATTTTCTCAAAACGGAGGGCTTAAAGTTTTATTCCACAACATGCGATATTAGTTCATCTTTCCGCTCCTCAATAATTACTGTGTTACTGGACACTTGTCCTTTGAACTGATTTCTTCTTTCAGCAGATTTGAATAACTCGTATCCCATGGTTTACTTCAATGTTACATTCATTCCTGTTGTATTTTATATTGAATCTTTCTTTTATTTCTTGGGATATCAAAACTTGTCCAAGGAAATGCACAGCACTAAAATTGCATTGGGATGTTGAGAAAGTACTTATTCATTAATATATTTTTGTGCGATCTGTTCAGGATTATAAACGGTAACTTGACCGATTTTCTGGAAAATAGTTTTCATCTGATAGTCTTTCGGAAATTCTTACGTACATGAAAAAATTCGTTTTGTGTTCTAAGAAAATCTGTTTCTCCGCGGATTTATAGTCACCAACCTTTTGGAAGAATTGCGTTTTTAGAATTTTGATAAAAATGCAGAGCACTATGATTAAATGGTCACTGTATCAAGGATGGCACTCTTCATCAGTTTTTCGGATAAATGTGCGATTGGGGTGCGGAAAATCGTATCTCTCTTATGCTTGTGTTTCTGAAACACATGTACGTTGTTTTAATTCTTGAAGGAGGTATCATGACGCTGCATTGAGCGCTGAACGGCGTGCTACCTTGCGTTCAGCCGCAGCGTACCGGAATGAAGCCTGCATTGTAACTGATTCAACGCCGCGGCAGAAACCCCAGCCTCGACGAACAGCTTATAGCCCTCGTGAAATGGCTGCTGATATCGATGCTATTAATGATGGAATACGAGAACTCCGTGCTGTAGCGAAGCGAGTGTCATCTGGCACCACAAAATCCTCACTCTTCTCACCTCTGCGCTGATGAACTGTTCTGATTTTTGACTTATTTATGATCAAGCCAAACGAAAATGTATTCGTGTTTTTTGTGGACATAATCGGTCGCATCAATCAAAATGTCACATATCTGTGCTTTGAAGCCGTTGAACGGTGTATTGGTTCATATGTATTTTTGCTATTTTCCGCGGAAGATATTTTGCTGTGGATTTTTACTACTTCGTACTTCTGGAAATTGTTTTCTGTCTTTTGCAGAGCGTGACGTCGTGTACGAAGAAAAAAAACTCGTTCCTGATCAGATTGCGCTTATTGTTGAACGTCATCTTTCGCGAATTGTAGAAACTACGAAGTATGTTGCATGTGGAAATATGTCGCTTATTGGAATTCAAGTGTTCTTCAATCAGCATCACGCATTTAAAATGCTGTTATTAACTTTTTGATTTCTGTTTTTTTTGCAGGTTTTTGTGGTGTCGCTTCTTCTCTCACATCCAACGATTTGTGATGGTGATGTATGTGTGGTACAACTGCGAAAAACATTTAAGTCGAAAGTTCTTCATCGGTGAACTTGACATCACAGGAGGTTTCTCCGTGTACGAAGGAGGATAATTATCCCATTGAAACTTCACTAGTGATTTTATTAATCTCTTTACTTGGCAATTTCAGGGATTATGAGAACCAGAACTGATAACGAATTCAGCTGAAAGATTAGTATAAACTTCTTTTTTCTTTGTTACTTTCGCGGTTAGATTGGCTATGTCACTGCAACGAACCCGAGCATGCTATTGCTATATCGAATCATCGCGGTCGTAATGTGACTAACCTTGACTTGTCACAAGTGTTACATCCAAATCTGAATGGGATACCAGTTACAGTTCTGTATTACATTTTTAAGCAGCCGGCTTCGCACAACATTGTGAATGCTGTGAATGGGGTTTCGCTCGAATCGAATGTATCTGTCAGTTCTGAAAACTATGAAAATAAAATCTTACATGTGATGCTTATCCGTTCTCCTTGGATTCCTTACTGTTTAAATCTTTTTATTTGAGTGTATTTCAATACTGCAATTTTTTCAAGTGGGTGTAGAATATTCCGTCAACCTGTACGACTGTACGAGTCTGTATATACATGTTCCGGAAGCTTTTTTATGTACGGTACAATATTCCTCAATTCAGCATTTCAATGCCCATAAATGGAATTTTGTAGCAAGCGGAATAAATGTTGCGAATTAAAATGATCTGATGAATCATAACATTTTAAAATGCTGCTGAAATGTGGGGATACTCCTACGCATGCGGTTTTTCGTGCAAAGCTCTGCACCAGATTTAATATGCGTCTGTTGGGAACCCCTTTTAATGCTGTATTACCAAGAACTTTTCCAGGCTATGTAACTTTTTTTAAACAGTATTTCATCGACTTCGATCAGTTAATTTATACTGAAGGTCATTATTCACAGGTTAGCGAAGCTTTTTGACATTAAGAAGAGCTAAATAAAACGGAATTGAAGGGGTGTAACGCATAGTTTTATCTTCGACTACTTTGAGCACCTGATCCCCTGTATAAGGGCTGATGTCGAAAATGTTGCTTTTTATTGCTTGGAAATGAAGATACGCGGAGTAATTATTGAGCATGTGTCCTCATTGCACCTGTTCGACTCTACATTGAAATGTTCTCGCCTTGCAGTTGCAGTATATTCCATTCCCAGCCTATATGAAATTAAAATTGACTTACGAAAATTTTTATTTCATTAATTGTACAACTCTTATGAAGGTTAATTGTGTTTCAAATGCCGCAGCATTGCAGAAGTTCTAATATCTAGGCTTCGATCTATGTAGTACGACGAAACAGCCGAAAACATTTTAATCTTGGCTATGTGCTAATGTTTTATGGCATTTCCTCCTATTGATTATTTATGATCAGACCTTAATATAAAATTTTAATACTATTGAATTTTGCTACGTCCGTGTATTGCATTCATCATCTTCTGAATTATGTTTCCGATATTTCAAGGACGGCACCACCTAGGCATTCTGTTGGTGACGAGAATTTTTTACAGTATATTACTGAGAATAGAACGGTATTTAGATTTAATCGGAATTTCGGGTGTGGTGATGTAGAGAGATGTAAGATTATTGGTCGAACGTTGCAATGTCATGCTGAGTAGAAAGTGAACTTATAAACGATAGAATTTGATCATGTTCCTAATTCCTATACAGCACGTTACCTGTTGCGAAGAAAACATTCCCCTTTACTGTATTGTCCCCTCGATCGTATGAAAAAAAGGGTACCGTATTCAGTACGATGCGTATTCTATGGAGTTACATAGGCGTTTCGAGGTTCGTAAATTCGGTACTCCAGTAAGATTTACGATCGGTGTGGTGTCTCTGAAGTTGTTTGAGCGTCGTGGTTTCATGTCATGTGGATGATCGTTAACTTGGAGTGAGATCCGATCGATGTACCTAAGGAAAAATTAATCATTATTCGTTCAGTGGCATTCCGTGTTCGTGTGTTCTCCTGTTGACCGTGGACGGAGTACGAATTTTTGTGAAACGTATCACGCTTGGCTAGCTGAGGTCTCTTTCGGGAAAAGGTTTTTTTTTTCGGTAGACCTGTAATCCGGCATCATTCAGTCGCTCAGGTTTCGGTGTGCAACTTTGAAGTTGCATCTGTCTGCTTCAAAGCAATCCGTCCTCCGGAGCATTCGAAACCAGTGCACGTTTTACAGAATGAATGATCGCGAAAAACGGAGAATCTCCATCATCGGATCTGGAAACTGGTATGGAATAAGTTTTTTAGTACTGTAGCTCTGCATCGTTGTTCATTCCTTTTTCGTTTTTTTATTTGTTATAGGGGATCTGCCATAGCACGCATTGTTGGGCTGAACTGTCGCAAACTGGATTACATGGTAGATGAAGTTAAGATGTGGGTCTTCGAAGAAGTCCTGGAGGACGGACGCAAGCTCACGGACGTCATCAACACTGAGCACGAAAATGTCAAGTACCTCAAAGGATTCAAGCTTCCCGACAATGTCGTAAGTGTTTAGTTGGTGTATTCGTGATGAAATATTTCATGAAGACGTGTTAATATCACGAAGGTCGCTGAACCGGACATCCTGAAGTCCACCTTGAATGCTGATTACCTAGTTTTCGTTATGCCTCATCAGTTTCTAGATCGTGCGTGTGCTCCTTTGAAGGGAAATTTGAAGCCTGGAGCCGTTGGAATATCACTAATAAAGGTAAAATTTGTTCGCATTTTATCTAATGCTCGCTATGTGATGTGATATTGGTGTACAGGGATTTGACTTGCAACCGAACGGCAAGGTTCAGCTTATTAGTGAGCTTATTTCGCAAATGCTGAATATACAAGTATGCTGTCTGATGGGTGCAAATTTGGCCCACGAGGTAGCTTCGGAGAAGTTCTGCGAAACCACTGTTGGGGTATACACTGACGAACAAGCTCGCATATTCAAAGACATCTTTGAGACTGACACATTCCGGGTATCAACGGTAAAAGACACGCATACGGTGGAAGTTTGTGGGGCATTGAAGGTGAGCACTCAGTTCCAGAGCTTTAGTACTGCACTTGGCATGTTTTCAGTCTAGATACAGTGCGAATATCGTATTAGTGTTGAACGAATACGTCCTTGGTATGTTGTAGAACATCGTGGCGTGCGGAGCCGGCTTTGTTGATGGACTGGGATACGGGGATAGTACGAAAGCTGCCGTGATTCGTTTGGGGCTGATAGAAATGATGCGATTTGCGGAGCATTTCTACCCTGGTGCAAAGTTCACCACCTTTTTCGAGTCCTGTGGGATCGCTGATCTCGTGGCGTCTTGTTACGGAGGACGAAACAGAAAAGTTTCAGAAGCAGTGGCAAGAACCAGGAAGGTAACGCTCCTTTTATGCATACTGTTAAATATCTTCTCACTTCTGTCAATTACCTGAAATGTATTCAAACTAACGTATCAGCATGTCTTCGCTAAAGAACGAACGCGTGTCACATGCGTGGCTTCAAATTGTAGGCTTCTTTTCAATTGAGAAGACCTTGATGATTTTGTCAATTCAGGAATCCTAAAATGGAGAACTGTTGTCTTGCAGTCCTCAATCTTCACTTTGTTCGAAAACTTGTGGAGTTGTGTATTAGGAAGTGAATGACTCCAGCAGGAAACCAGGAAAACAGTAGATGATTTATCTTTCCAACAGCAGCATGAACAGTTTCAGAGTAAAAGGCTAAAATCAGGGGTCTTCAAAATGCCCCTTCTGGTACAGGCTCAAAAATCGTTCTGACGGAGCTCCGCAAAATTCGCACCACATTCTTTCCTTTTTTTTTTTTCTTCCTGACGCCAAATACACATAAAAAAACAAGAACAGGAACAAGAATTTCGCCAGGCGCGAGCGCCGCATTTTTCCCATTCCTCTCAGGCTTAGAAATTTCCGGTCCCGAAGAAAAAATTGCGCAGGAGACTTCTGTCCCCTCAGCAGCATCCCTTCCCGGTCTCCTTGACCAAAACCTGCTGTAAAAGAAGAAGGCAAGAGAAGGAAAGCACAAGAACACAAACCTGGAGGCACAAAATTCAAAACTTAATATCCCTCCAGGCATACATGCATTTTCTTCCACAGATAGTCGAGGGCTTCTTCGCGCATTTCCTTTTTCTGTAGGGTGTTTAGTGAAATATATGGGAGGATGACGTTCCATCGGGCGATTTTTACCACGTTTTTATGAACTCACTTTTCTTGTCTGTCTGTCTGTTTGTCCTGATCAAATTTTGAAACTCAAATTTCACTCACTTCCAGACTAGCTAGCAAAATGCGTGATGCTGATTGAAGAACACTTGAATTCCAATAAGCGACATATTTCCACATGCAACATACTTCGTAGTTTCTACAATTCGCGAAAGATGACGTTCAACAATAAGCGCAATCTGATCAGGAAGAAGTGAAATACAAATGAAATAGATGGGCACCACATTTAAGGTTATTTTTGGCTTTTTGAAAATGTGGTTTTTTAGATTAATTTTTTAATCTACTATAATTATTTATTAATGTTTGGCGATGTAGTATGATGCGTCAAGTTCCTCTTGAAATCGCCCGGAAAATTTCTGATGAAGAAACTGTTGAAAATGAAGTTTACGTTTTGAAGTTTGAAGGGAATTTCAGTTACAGTATTTTCGAAGGAAAAAAGCAGTTGTGTTCAGCATATTTTCCCTCGATATTCCACTAATCCCCCTTATTTTTGCGGAATGTTGAAAACGCGTTCAAATCTTCTTAACTCGAAGATGAAGAACTGCATGAGGGTGTATCGTGAATTTATTCTCGGCGAATCATTGGTTGTAAGTCATCCAGATGTATTTTCAAAATTAACTTGCAATACTTTTTGGGGGAAAACATTTCCGGAGCACGAACTCGATCGTTACGTGCAATATAACCCTTGTATATAATTAGCTTGAAAACCATAAGCTTGGAATTAAGAACCATAATTTTATTTCTTCGAAGTCCATGAGAGAACTCGAAAAAGAAATGCTTGATGGACAACGTCTTCAAGGACCCGCCACTGCAGCTGAAGTGAATGTTTTACTCAAGGAAAGGAATTTAGAAAATGAGTAAGTTTTTGACCGTCCGTTCGATATGCGTACTGTCTACGATTTTTAATGTGCTCATCTTTGCAGCTTTCCTCTGTTCACGACCGTTCACAAAATTTGCGTTGCCGAGGTCAGCCCTACTGAAATGTTGGACTGTGTTCTCAGTCATCCTGATGCCAGGTCAGATTCTTTTTTCCTCAGGAAAAGGCCCGCAAATAAAATATATGCTGTATTTTATTGCAGATGGTTGAAATCGAAGGGTTTTTCATTGGTGAGAAATGTTGCAGTTCGCAGTTTTGACGAATATTTTGCTCAACGTTTTTCCTATTCTGTAGGGGGTGAAGACGAATGGTTCTGCTGTAAGGTCCGACGACGCTTGAGCATTTTCCAACCTTTCCTTTCTTTCATCGAATATCTCCGCGGCTAATGCATGTCTACCGCGTCATTTCAGAAAAACTGCCATGAGAGACACAGTCTTTTATACCGATGAGATTTTGTTCTTTGTAGTGATCTTTTTGTAGACGTTACCTTCGAAACTTGGCTTCAGGGCTGTGATTATGGAATCACTTAGGTGTTGTGGCTTTTGAGCGCGTCTTCTGCTAGTCTCCGTATATTAAGTTAGTTGATCTCATATCGTGTGACCGGATGCAAGTCAATGATGACAAAAAAGATGTTTTGGTCGCGTTACTCACTCCAAGTAGTTGTGATTCAATCCCGTGATTATTCCTCAGGCGTTATGTGTTGAATTGAAGTGCAATTAAAGTATCTGTTAGGTATCTGTGTCATTTATTTGTTCTGACCCTTTAACCAAACTGTTTCTCACCTGTTCTGATCTCCGGATTTAGGGAAACGAATTGTGAGTGATATTAACTTAATTTGTCCAGTGGAATGGTCGAAGTTCTCACGCGGTACATCTGGGCTAATTTTGGAGCCAATTAATTGTGTCCCGTTGTCAACCACGTTTTTTTTTTTTTTTTTTAACGTCGTTAGGAGTGTGTACGATCATTATGGGTCAGTGCTCTACCCCGATTTTTCGTGTCAAATGTATTCAAAGCTATTCACTACTCCGTCCCGAATAATAGGTCGTAGTGCAGATGAATCGATGTGAATGCAAAATTAAGTGCAATACTTCGAGTAGTGAACTTGATAATCTACGATTCTTACCCTTGAATGTGATTACATTATATAACACCGTCATGTTCAGTAGCTGGAGGGAAAGGCGTGTCCAACAAGAATAGCTCGCCGAGACTGTTGCTCTTTGACTATTCAGAGTGATATTCTATCATTCGCGTGCATGTGGATACCTTGAACTAGGCATTACCTTAAAAGTAGGAACTGTAAATTTTAAAAGATAACTTCCTTAATTTTCGTTTTTACTTTTAACTCGTGGGCTGAAACAAATTTACGTGGTTCCCCAATCCATAAACTGACAAATCTGCCTTCGCCTTTTTTCCGGAATGGGCGACGCCATTGCGATGCGGCTTGCGGGATAAAGGAAGTCTGTTGACCGCCAAAATTGTCGCTCCCGAAATCTGGAGCTTGACAGTCCGGTGGTTCTTGAGAGCATAATGCGTGTAATCGTGGATCCAGATCTTGAGTACAGATAATTTTATTCGTTTGTCTAGTGTGCATTGTAATTTTCTTCGATGGTTATTCAGTATTTCCTCAGTGTACATTCCGATTTTCTTGTTTTCAGCGAATGGTCACGAAAACAGTGGCAGCTCTCGCGGCATGCGGGGCTTTACTGATTTATTTGTCATGGTTATGTTACGTGCGAAGTTGCTTGCCTCCTGTGATACTCATCCCTGGTGATGGTGGAAACCAAATCGAAGGGAAGTTGGATAAGTCGCGCGTTGTCCACTTCTTTTGTCTGAAGCAGACAACTGGCTACGTCAACTTGTGGTTCAATTTAAACTTGCTTCTACCGTTCGTCATTGACTGTTGGGTGGACAACATGCGCTTAATCTATGATAACGTGACACGTACGACGAGCGACTCGCCCGGCGTTACCACCCGGGTCCCGGGCTTCGGAAGTACTGCTGGAATGGAGTTCTTGGACCCTCTTCATACATTTCCGAGCCGATATTTCGTGAATATTGCAGAGAAACTTACAGAATCTGGTTATGAGCGTGGTTCGAATCTTCTTGGTGCTCCGTACGATTTTAGGAAAGCGCCGAATGAACTCGAGGAGTTCTTCCAGAAATTTCGACAGTTGGTGGAGGATGCATTTCAAGCGAGTAACGGATGCAAAGTTGTTCTGGTTGCTCACAGCTATGGGGGCCCACTTATGTTGTATTTTTTTTCGACGGTCAGTCAAGAATGGAAGAACACATATGTTGGCGCGTTGATTTCGCTTTCGGCTGCCTGGGCAGGATGCGTGAAGCCAATCAAAGCAGTTGCGGCTGGTGATAATCTCAACATTTTTTTCCTCGACGAATTTTCGATCCGGAAGGAGCAACGTAGCTCACCGAGCATTCATTTTCTGTTTCCTTCGCCTCATTTTTGGGGCAAAAATGAAATTTTGGTTTCTCGGCCTTCGAAAAATTATTCCTCTGCAGATTACGCAGCTTTTTATGCTGATATAGGTGACCTCGATGGATACGAGATGTATAAAGATGTTAAGGATTTGATTGATCCTAGGATACCTCCGGGAGTTGAGGTTCATTGTCTGTATGGTGTAGGTGTGGATACTTGGGAAAGGATTTTTTACGACGATGATGCGAGTTTCCCAGATGAGCCTTCTGCTCTTGTCAATGGAGATGGTGACGGCACTGTGAATCTCCGCAGTTTGCAAGCCTGCAAATTCTGGGAAGGAAAGCAGAAGCATTCAATATACGCTCTTCCCTTGCGCGGAATAGATCATCTGGAAATACTCAGGAATGAATTCGTTCTCTCTTACGTGGCCAAAGTTGCGAAGCGGTTTCGTTCAAACCTTCTGAGATTTTAGATTTGTGATAATTTTTTTTAATGTACGCACGGCATTATTTTGAGTTTTATTGTGAATGAGGAATGAAAGTACGAAAATCCTTTTGATCTGAACGACTAAAACTTCGTCAATCGTTCCAGAATTCGACTTGTGCTCCTGGTGTTGAATTAAAATGTCCGATGAGGAAAATTCACCCGGTCCTGTGGAGGACGAAATTGAAACGAAGCATGATGACTCTCTTTCAAAAGTGGTAAGATAAGCATTCCATTATTTGGGAGCTTTACGAAGAAGAAAAGTACTGTACCATGTTATTTTAAAATATGAAGAATCCAAGTTAACTGGTTTGATACCTAAATTTTTAGTGAAGTATGATATCGCTGTCATTGCATTTTTTGTATTTGTCCTGCATGATCTAGATTTGCCGATTCCCCTTATATTGCATAAACGTTATCATAATTTTAATAGGCTTCTTTGCATCAATTTAGATTACCGCAGGCCTCAATTAATCAATGAAGTTGGGTTCATTTGCCTGTCGTGGCGACGTCTGTGACATTTGTGCGATAAAAGAACGGTTTAAAATGTTCAAAAAATGTGGATGCTGGCCTCTTACAATGTTCGAGTTCCATTCCGATTTTGAAACAGAAACGTCTTATGTTTGCAGGACAAGAATCGTTCGAAACGGTTCGACTATTTGCTCAAGCAAACAGAAATCTTCGCCCATTTCATGCAGAGTGGGAAGGACAAATCTACTCCAACATCTCCACTGAAAGTAAAGCCGGGTAGGCCGAAAAAGGAAAGGAAACTTTCGGAAGCCGGAGAGTAAGTCAAATCAGTCCTTTGTAAATTTCTTGTTTTTGATGATTTTTGCTTCTTCAGCCACCGACATCGTATGACCGAGCAAGAAGAAGACGAGGAGCTGTTGGCGGATGCGAGCAAAACTGCGACTGCTGTGACCCAGTTCGAGGCTTCTCCACCTTATGTCAAAAATGGTGAAATGCGCGATTACCAAGTTCGAGGATTAAATTGGATGATCTCACTGAGTGAAAATGGTATCAACGGAATTCTGGCCGATGAAATGGGTCTGGGGAAAACGCTTCAAACAATATCGCTACTTGGCTACATGAAGCATTACAAGAACATCGATGGACCTCATATGGTCATTGTTCCTAAATCAACGCTTGCGAATTGGGAAGCAGAATTCAAACGCTGGTGCCCTAGTTTGAAAGCCGTTTGCTTGATTGGTAGCAAGGACGATCGAGCAGCGTTCTTCAGGTGAATATCATTTTATTTTTTGCATTGAAAATGATGCTCGTAATTTTCTCGTAAAAATCGTACTGTAATAAGAGCTCGATTTTTTCATCTCTGCGGTAACTTCGTCGCGAAGATTGGAGGATTGAATACCTATATTGCAGAAAAGAAATCTAATCTTGGTTCCCCCGCAACATTTCCCCATTCTGAAGCACTTCGTAATCATTGTTGAAGTGGGGAAAACGTCTTATGGGGTTTAATAGCATTCATCGCTGGATATTAACTTTTTGAGAAACCTTTTTTTCCCCTCTTCAATCGGTTTTCATCGGGAAATTAAGAGCTGAATAGTATGTCATGTATTTTTGAGCTTTTCGAGCGTTCGTGTACATAATTGTTAATGTTTTCTCCATTTTTCAGGGATGTCCTTCTCCCAGGCGGTTGGAATGTATGCATAACGTCGTATGAAATGGTCATCAGGGAAAAGGCTGTTTTGAAAAAGTTCAATTGGAGATATTTGATCATCGACGAAGCTCATCGAATCAAGAACGAAAAGTCGAAATTGTCGGAGTTCGTGCGCGAATTTAAAACGACAAATCGCCTGCTTTTGACCGGGACTCCGTTGCAAAACAATCTGCATGAGTTATGGGCTTTGTTGAATTTTCTTCTCCCCGATGTTTTCAATTCTTCTGAAGATTTCGATGCTTGGTTCAGCACAACCTCTTGCCTGGGTGATCAAAGCTTGGTTCAGCGACTTCATGGGGTGAGTGGAAATCATTTGAAAGATCAGAGATGATATTTAAAAATCCGTATCTGTGGCACCGTTTAAGGTTTTGAAGCCGTTTGTGTTGCGGCGATTGAAGAGCGAAGTGGAAAAAAGCTTGAAACCGAAGAAAGAACTGAAAGTATACATCGGATTATCGGAGATGCAGCGCGAATGGTATCGGAAGATCCTCATGAAGGATATCGACGTTGTCAATGGAGCCGGAAAGATGGACAAAATGCGTCTTCAAAACATCCTCATGCAGTTGAGAAAGTGCGCGAATCATCCTTATTTGTTTGATGGAGCTGAACCCGGGCCACCCTACACGACTGACCAACATTTGATCGACAATTCCGGTAAAATGGTTCTCTTGGACAAGTTGTTGCCGAAGCTAAAAGAGCAGGGCAGTCGTTGCCTGGTCTTTTCTCAAATGACGAGGATGATGGACATTCTGGAAGACTATTGTCTCTGGAAAGCGATACAGGTTGGTATCAGTGTGCTTGAGTGAATTACTGTTGCATTAAGGTGAAATAATAACTTTTTTTCCTGCTTCGCCATTTCGAGTAGCGCAAATTATATCTTAGATTTTTATTTTAATCTTTAGTTCCATCGTGTACAGTATTCGCATGAGTATTGTTGCAGAAGTTCATTGTGCACTGAAATGACTGGTCGGATTTTTAAACTTCCCGTGACGATCGATTCTCGGCAATTTCATTTTTTAGATTCTTACTTGTTCTACGTCCTATAGAACCTATACAAACCAGAACATTTAGAGGAATTTAAAAAGTTGAATTAAGTATTTGACACATCAATTGCGTTTTCTAGTACTGTCGACTTGATGGACAAACTCCGCACGAGGACCGAACTCGCCAGATTGAGGAATTCAATGCTCCCGACAGCCAGAAGTTTCTTTTTATGCTTTCAACTCGTGCTGGTGGTCTTGGAATCAATCTGGCCACAGCGGATGTTGTAATCTTGTTTGATTCAGACTGGAACCCGCAAGCTGATCTGCAAGCTATGGATCGGGCTCATCGTATTGGTCAGAAGAAACAAGTCCGCGTGTTCCGCTTCATCACCGAAAACACCGTCGAAGAACGGATAATCGAGCGTGCTGACATGAAGCTTCGTTTGGACAGGTTTGGAATTTTCGTCTTTCGGAATACGAAAAGTTTTGAAACAAAGGTTAACATAAATCATCAGGTTATGAATGTCCATGAAAATACGCCAGGACTTATGAATTCATTTTTATGAAGACAATTTGTAGCCACTGGATATTAACCATCACGTACAGCGATTGAAATCATTCAGTATTTTTTCAATGTTTCCCGTTTGTTTTTCAGACTTGTCATCCAGCAAGGACGCTTGGTTGACCAGAAGGGGAAAACGCTTGGCAAGGAGGAAATGCTATCCATGATTCGTCATGGTGCGGATCACATTTTTGCGTCGAAGGTGATTTTCATGTCATTTCTTTTTTCTCAATATTTTGCCAAGCTATGTGTTGTTCGATGAAAGCATCTCAATGATCTCCCAAAACTCGTATTTCAAAGGATTCGGATGTGACCGACGCTGATATTGACGCAATTCTGGATCGTTCTCAAGCCAGAACGGATGAGTTGAATGCCAAATTGGCTCAGCTCGGCGAATCAGAGCTGCAAAGCTTTTCCATGGACGCAGCCGAGGGCTCTTCCGTTTATCAATTCGAAGGCGAGGATTACAGGGCGAAGCAAAAGGCTTTACTCGGACGCTGGATTGAGCCGCCGAAACGAGAGCGGAAGGCCAATTATGCAGTAGACGCGTATTTTAGAGAGGCATTGAGGGTTTCTGAACCGAAAGCCCCGAAGGCTCCGAGGCCTCCGAAACAGCCGCAGATCCAGGATTTCCAGTTTTTCCCTACCAAGCTGTTCGAACTGTTGGAAAAGGAGATTGTTCATTACCGAAAAACCGTGAACTATAGGGTGAGTTTTGGCGAATGCCTAGATGAAACTATTCAATTCCTCTCCAAAAAAAAAAAAAAAAAAACCTCATGATAAATGCAATGAATATATAAATATTCAATATTTGTTGATTCCGTGTGTCTGTTCTCACCTGTAGAAAACATATTAACGTCAATATAAGTCTCCCATTAGTTGGGAGACGCATCTGTTTTTTCTCATTGAATTAAAAGTATTTATGCCTGCGAATATGAGGCTCGTATTCTTGTGTTCAAAGTTGAAGTACTGTATTCAGAATTTTCAGAGTACGATGAATCTGCTCATGCTTCTTTCACTTGGCCATCTACTGGATTAGACGATTAGACTCTCCTGTATGTGTACTGCGAAAAATGTTGATGATACTGTCTGATGCAGTCATTTTTGAGTTTTATTATTCTTCCCGTACTGTATTTACTTGGACATGAGATTTCGAACCAATCTTTATCCCTAGAAATGCGGAGAGTTGTACCTGTGAATTTCAACAAGCCCTTACATTGAAAACGATTTCTATCGAATCTGAAAATTCAATTGATTATACAGTAATTATTAGCCAGTTATCAGCTGAATCACTTGTTACATGACTCTAAATTCCTACTCATGTGTCTCTGGACTGAAAGTGAAAGAAGATATCTGATTCATTTCACGTCAGGCTTTATTTTATGTGTCGATTGTATCTGTTGGAAATAATGTACTGCACGTTACCTACGAATCTGAGAAGCTGTCCCGTTTTTCGTCTGCAGCGAAGGTTTGCGAAGGAGTTGAATTTTGAGTGAATGAGGAATGTGTTTCGGTTCGACCTGAACTTGGTAGATTCTCTGCTCAAATGCGGAATTGATTTAATGGTTGTGTATAGTGTTTCAGAAGAAGCTTTGTTCTTGACAAAATTCAACTACTCGTTTTCGTTAGTAAATTAAAGATGAAGAACGTTTGTTCTGTCGGAAAAAGATGGTAAACAGTCAACGGAAGACCGACTGTTGCATGTTGGTGTGTTTATTTCAAAATATAAAAGATTACCTACATGTTGTTGGTGGTACCTTTTTCTTGCCAAAGTTTATTTTTTCACATCGAAAAAATCCGATACGCTGAATCCGATTTCATCTGAATATTTCCCATTCATTAGTTCATAATTTAATCTGTTTTTAATTTACAGATTCCAAGAACGCCTGATTTGACTCCTGAAGAAATCGCGAGAGTGGATGAAGAGCAGCGTATGATTGACGAAGCAGAACCATTGGATGAGGAGGAAATAGCTCTGAAAGAGAAGTTGTTGCAAGACGGTTTCACAAACTGGAGTCGCCGAGATTTCAATCAGTTCGTGAAAGCCAACGAAAAGCACGGTCGGAATAATTTGGACGCGATTTGTCGCGAGGTTGACGGGAAGACACCGAAAGAGGTCGAGGAATATGCTCAGGTCTTCTGGGAACGCGTGAATGAATTGCAAGATGCCGAGCGGATCTTGGGACAAATTGTCAAGGGAGAAAATAAGATCCAACGTAGGGCTTCAATTAAAAAGTCTCTCGAGGCGAAGGTGCGTCGTTAACCCCTTTCCTGTTCCAAATATTGATGACACTTTCATTCGTGCTATGTTTCGTTTGCAGATCGCCCAGTATCCAGCACCATTCCACCAGTTGCGCATTTCGTACGGAACAAACAAAGGGAAGAACTACGTTGAAGAAGAGGATAGGTTTTTAGTATGCATGCTGCATAAGCTTGGGTTTGACAAGGAAAATGTTTACGAGGATCTTCGCAATTGCATTCGAACAACTTCTCAATTTAGGTACGTAAACGATGCGTGGATTTAGTCTGTCCAAAAATGTCACTGTGACTTGGACGTTTCGTATTCCGTACAAAAAACTTTGTCCATCGCTGCGAGAAATTGTTGTTCTGCGGGTAGATGTGACGAGAAGTTGCATTTTAATTTTACGTCGTCATCTGGAATTCAACTTCTTCTTGTGTTCCAATGATGATTGTTTTTGTTGCATTCACGGGGTCATTGGGTTCCAGGTTGCAATTTTGTTAATACAACTATTGGCCGATTTTTGTCGTCTCAGACAGTTGAAAATGCATTTTAACTTTGTTGAACCATTCGAAGTCTAAGTACCATCTTTTTAAATCCTCTGATATTGACACAAGCGTTGATAGAGTTCTAGGTATTGAAAAAATAATTTAATAGTACTGTAGTTCGATTTTTTTAATACGACTATTTAAACCTCCCTCAAATGCGATGTAAATTTTATAAGCACGCTTAAAACATTGCATTGTTTTGCTGCGGGGATATACAGGAATTGATGTGCAGAATTTTAAAATTCTATTGAAACCTATCGATTAAATATCTATTGAAATCTATTTTAAAATGAAGATGCGTAAACGGTTTGGATTTTATCTGGAATTTCTCTCGAAGTGATGTTGGAACTAATAAAATCTTCAGCAGTATTTGGGAAGGACTGTTCCAAAAAACTATTATACTTCGGGAGCAATATGAATTGAATGTGAGTAAATTTAAATTTTTTCCTCAGGTTCGACTGGTATATTCGATCGAGGACAGCCATGGAGCTTCAACGGCGTTGCAACACATTGATCACATTGATTGAAAAGGAAATCCAAGAATTGGAAGAAAAGGAGGCAAAGACTGAGAAGAAGAAGCGGGGACCGAAACCCAAGTCAGAGAGGGAAGATGCCGCAGGCGGCGGAAAAGATGGGAAGATGGACAAGGAGAATACGGATGATGTGAATCGCAAGAGCCAAAAACGGAAAACGGATATTGCCGAGAAGGAAGGCGGGAAGAAGAAGGGGAAGCGCGGTAACTGAATCTGTATTGAATGTTATTTCTTTCGTGTTTGTTTGTAATTTCATTGTACTTTGCGAAATTCCTTCATTTGTAAGATTCCTGTATGTGTCTCGGTGGGTAGATACAATTACAAAACTTTTTTCAATACTGCGACTGGCCATTCTTCAAACGAAAAAAAAAAAATCGGACAGGACTGTCATGCTTACAGGTGTACCGTATTTTGACATAATTTTTTTTTTTTAGATTGGCACTCGTGTTTGTTTTTAACGATCTGGTTGGTACTACTGCGTGCTTGGAAGACATGCTTGTGTTTGCATTCCATCGCCAGGATGCTAAAGAATACCAGGTATTCACTATACTGTACCAGGAACACAAAATTGCATAATGATAGGCATCTGTCATCCTGAAGTAAAAGTTTCAGATTTCCCAAAATTTTTACCTTTCCGAGTGAAGTATTGAATTTTCCAAGTCATTTGACTGCTGTAACTTGATTTTACTTCATTTATCTCTCCAACTTTTTTGAAGACTGTCCGGATTCAATTTCCCCTTCTGTCCAACAGCGTCAATGTAGATGAAGGTAGAATCTCCCAATGACAAATTCTAGGTACCAAAAATTATTGGGTTGCGATAGAGAACACCCCTTGCATAGGAGAGAAAATTTTTGTGGGCCAGATTTTTTTTGGAGATAGTCCACCGGTATATGCAGCATGTTGTCTACATGTTCGTACAAAACCTTTTTTAAAGCTTTCCCGCATGCAAGTTCGTGAAAAATTTTGCTGTAACACCCATCAGTTTTGAAACCCTGCGTGTAGAAATTTAAATACCTGTAAATTGAGGGTACTGTAATTTATCAGAATTTATTTTCATGTTTATTGAGATCCATAGGATATTGAAGAATAGTATAGGTATTTTCAAAGCATCAAAATGAGGAATTAATTCAACAAACATTTTTACTGCCTTAGAATTAGAAATTTCCAGTATGTTCAAAAACTTTTCAGGAACAACCGCTAAAATTAATTTATGAAATGAATCCAAAATAAATTATTAATTGGTCTGTCCATGTGTGAAGCATTTCAGGTTTCAGAGTGGATTGCCAAACTTGGACTCACCTCACTGGGTGACTTTGAGTTCGGCAGATGACCTAAATATATTTTCTGTTATTTGTAACAAATTGTTATCAATAATTTTGTGAAACCAGCTGAAGCATTGCTCCCCTGCCTGTGTTGCTCGTTTCCTTCCCTTCTCCTTGTGTTCGTACCAGCCCAAGCTGGGGGAGAATTGTGGAATGCTCATTCACCTGTGCTGTGAGCAGTGAGCCGGGCATCCCCTTCTTTGCTATTCCCCCTCTTTGTTTTTATGGATCTGTCAGCAAGTCGAATAACCTGCTGCCAGCCGGTATTATATTCCTTTTGAAGTTGTGCATCATTGTGTGACTAGACAGCATTTGTGTTCAAGAGACTGCTGTGTGGATAACTTGTGTCAATGTGAGTTAATAAACTGTTTGTCTGACTGCCCTGCCCAGCAAATAATTACGTTTTTTGTGAGTAAATAAACCCATGAAAAACTGTCATCTGTAACCATCACAGGTTATGGTCCCTCAAACCATCAATAATGGGTTACAGGACAGTTATTTTCATGGGTTAAATTGGCATTAAAATAATGGGTATGTAATGGACTGGTTGAAGGGGTTATTTTAATGGGTATTTCACCTACTCTTAACCCATCATGAAAAATGATCCAAAATGTAAAAAAAACACACAAAATGGCAGATATTGGTATGCAAATATCCGCCATATTCCGTGCATTCTAAAAAAGGCATTTTTGCACCCTCAGGATTTTTGTACAGCAGAATTTTTGTACCCACTGGCTTTTGGAATCCAAAGGATTTAAAAATCCAGTGAACAAAAACTCTGCCATACAAAAATCCAGAGGGTACAAATACTTACACTGGTATAGAATTTTTTGTTGTTGCGCCCTTGGGATTTGCTGATGTTGAGCCCTGTGCTGAAAACTGTGTCTGAGAATGTGCATATTGTTGGGCATAGTTTTCGACACAAGGCTCCACCAAAAAACCCCCAGGGTACAAAAATCTGTTGGTTAGAAAAATGATGTTTCAAGAAAAAATCCTGCAATTCACTCATTACATTTAAAAAATGGTGCTTGTCTTCTCCTCAATGGATCCACAGCAGTTAAACAGTGTGCGATTCATTGAAAAAAACACTCCTTGAATTAAAAAAAGAAGAGCAGACTATTATCCCCAGCTTGACATTTCAGAAAATAATTCAAAAATGTATCAGACAGTGAGAAATTAGTGATTCAAATCTTGAATTTTTTTTACCTTGGCCCTCACAAAGAAGGTGTACAGTACAACAGTCATTCTGCCCTTTCTTTCAAATCCAAGAATTTTTTACAGATGAAGTTTTATATTTTTCAGGGAAAAAATTTATACTGTTCACCTGTTGAGCAGAAGACAAGCACTATTTTTTATATGTTAAAAATGAATCCAAGAACATTATGCAAGTAATGCTGGATGAATAAAGAGAGTCTAGGAAAATAACTACAAATTTTCCTGGGCTAAAATTTTGAAAAATTAAATGGAAAATATTGAAGATGGAAAAATTGCAGGACTTGTTGCCTTTTGTGAGTTTGCAATTTTCAGGTCATCAACAAAATGGCTTGGATGTTGTTGAGTGGTTGGATTATTCCTAATACTGATGTACTGTTTTTGTAAATTGGTAACATTTGAAGAATGTGTGTTTCAAGCTTTCCATGCAGCTTTCAAAAGACAAAAACCTGTTGATAACATAAACGCAAAAACAAATTAAATTGTTCTTATTAACCAGGTCAACTCTTCAATTAATTAACACTGCCGAAAATTCAAAGGCAATCTTGAGACTTTTCCTGAAATTATGCCATCGTCAAGTCCTGAAAAACATATCATTTTAATCAGAACCCAATGATGCATAATTAATTTTCTGCGTCCAGAATTACTGAAATGTTGCATCAATAGAGTAACATTGCTTCAAGCAAAGCATTTAGGGAGTGAAGCACATTTTTGTGTTTGAAGATCTTGGAGATGATTCCATTTAAAACTAATGTTCAGCATGCTAATATAAATTATTCTTGAAACCCATCATGCTGCTATGGAACTTTGGGTGATGTGGTTTTACAAACTCTGTATACATAATGATTTCTCCCCCTTGCCAAGTTTACATGATAATATTTGTTTGGTATGAAATTATTTAATTCAGCAGAATGCAAATACTGTACTGAATTATGAAATCTGGATATACAGTATTAAAACAAATTCTGTTTTGAATTTGCATGTCAAACATTCATGTTTGTTTGGCTTCCTAAACAAAGTGACTTTAAAAATATCCATGAAAATTTGCCCAAAACTTTCCTTAATCTTCTTAGAGGAACAAATGAATACAGGTGCATGTTATACTTCGAATAAATTCAGTGTTATGTATTCTTCGAAGTTTTGCTAAGTAAATTGAATGTCTCTGCCAACTGCCAAGCACATGTTTTTGCACAAAATTGGCTATGCTTTTCTTGATGCACAACCTCAGTCATTTCTTCCATTAAGTTATAGCAGAAAGCATCATCAGCAATGACTTTTTTCCCCTCATAATAATTGGTTACATTATGCAAAGCACTTCCAGCCCTTTTCTTCTCCTCCACTGTACTAAATACTTCTGTACTACATTCCAAAAATGGCAACAGACTGCCAAATGTGGAAGAAATTGTGCGGTTTTGAATTACTGTGTTTGGATTTCAAAGTTTCCACCCCCGTGTCTCAGCACAATGACCCTGTATGGACAGCACCAGACTGTTTTCTTTCTAAAGACAAGAAAAAAATGTTCCATGACCTGCTCTTTTGCGTTTACCGACGATGCCGAAATCTTCCGAATTTTTTTATATAAAATACTGCAGATTAGATTGTACACTTTTAAAGGCGAAGAAAATCGCAATTAAGATTATCCAAGTACCCTGCTTGTAAATTTATCTGACTAATAATATACATGCGATTGCCTCATTTCAAATCATATGCAGTACAACACAGTATACCGTAAAATGTATACAGAAGATTTCGATATAGAACAGAATTTCGTTTCGTATATTTATTGATTTGTGCTGGGAAGCAAGAAGGATATTTCCTTATCGAAATTCCCTGCATAGCGTTTAAGCATGCATCCTTTCAGCACGAGGTTTCAAAAAGTCGCCTCAAATTTGCGATTGCAGTTGGATTAAATAAACTGGTTCATTTTATTTCCATCATTTTTTCTTCGTTTAAAGAAATGATTATGTTTCTCTGAGTTGAACAGAAGGAAATATTGAATCTGGGAATTTATTTTGTGGCCCACAAGGGATTCTTTGCAGACAACATTATTTGTGTTATTTTTTTGGAGTCTACTGAATAATTGCTGGTTGCCAAAAACCCAAAACAAAAATACCGTTTTTCTCTTTATACGAGTGAAATTTAAACGGACTCCATTTTTAAAAAAATTGAGTGAAATACGGTATAAAAAGAAATATCCGCGAATTTTCCTTCTTGTTGAAACTTTATTCCCAAAATAAATAAAAAATATAAAACTACACGCATCAATAAAACTGATTCAATTTTCCTCCGCGCCTGAAATTTCAAATTTTGTTGCTGGCGACCCCCACTCAGTACTTTTTGATAACCCTTTATTTCATTGGTAGAATAAAAAAACATTCGTATGTGCTTCTGTCCAGAGTGGAAGAATTCAGCAGGAAAAGTCGCAATTCAGGAAATCAAAAAACGAGAGAAAGTTAATTTTTTTTTTTTACTGACGTGGGATGACTCAATGAAAAACGAAAACTGAAGCATGATATTTTGGTGTGGAATTGAATCCCAGTTTCGCATGTTTCAATTCCTCGTGGTGCCTGCGTGTATACTGCTGCTGCTGTCTGTCTTTTAATATTATACATATATTTCTGATACGGGATCATATAATAAATAACATACATATATATACGCATAACAAGGGCTGAAAAGTACATGACCATGGTTATTGTAGCAGCTGGTGCTGCTGCAGATACCAGCAGCATGATTGCTGGTGTAATTCATCACCCTAAGCCCAAAAGGCGCAGCTGGGTGAAGTGGGTCTCCGTGGCCACGCTCACGCTGCAGAATGTGTCCTTCTTGGTACTTTTGCGGTACACCAGGACTAGACCAGGGTCTGGAGAGCGGTTCTCCACAGTGGCTGCAGTTGCCATCGGCGAGATGGTCAAGGCGGTGGCGAGTCTGGTTTTGTTGGCCTGTCATGTGGGGCTCTCCGAGGGCGTCAGTCAGCTCAGGTATACACTTGATTGAATAATAATATTTATTTAAAATTATACTTGCAGAAGAGTACTGTTATTGAGACCCCAAGATACAGACATATCATCCCAAGCGGGGAAATTGGTGCACACTGGGGATTTGTTTGTAATTCTACACAGTGACCCTGCTGTGCATGCACCTGAAGTGTACCAAAGTTCTTATGTTGCACATGCATATCCCCAATGTGCGCCAATTGTGTGTTCACACCAGGATTACTCAGGGTCACATTTGTAAACAAATAAGTTACACCAAGGTTACAGTTGGTGCATTTGTGTGATGCTCCTGTTATTTCACATTTGTGCACAAAGTGTAACCCTGGAATGGTAGCAAAATTTCCTCTACAAGAGTGCACACTTGTACCCACAGAATATAAATAAGTTACACCAAGGTTACAGTTGGTGCATTTGTGTGATGCTCCTGTTATTTCACATTTGTGCACCAAGTGTAACCCTGGAATGGTAGCAAAATTTCCTCTACAGGAGTGCATACTTATTGTACCCCCCAGAATGTCCCATATGCTCCAGTTGTGACCCTGGTGTGCACCATACTGTGGGGTCACAGCAAAAATAGCTCCCCACTTGGGATATATAATTGGTGCATCAATAAGAGTTGTCACAATGTCCTTAAGTGCTTGAGTCTCATTTTCCCTTAGACTTCAATGCTAATGTATTAAATTGGTTCACATTTTTATCAAAAATTGGAAATAAGTCTTTAAAAATGTAATGAAAATTGTTTCCCTCAACTTCAAGTTTCTCCAGTAGGATAGCTCCTATAATTTAAAAATGGGAGTTCAGCAATCATATGTAAGACTGTTCTTGAAATATACATCATATCATGGCTTCACGCGTCACTTCAATGATTACATTTATAATAGGGATGTTTTCACTGTTGACGTTCTGGACACAGTGAAAGTGAGTGTGCCTGCCATCACTTACGCCATCATGAACTGCCTCCTCCTCTTTGCTGGCGGAAACCTCAGCGTCGCCACCTATCAGATCATCTATCAAACAAAGATTCTCACAGCGGCTCTCTTCATGCGGATCCTTCTTCAGCGCCAGCTCTCGCGCACCCAGTGGAGCGGCCTCGGCCTGCTTTCAATAGGTGTCGCCACCGCCGAATACGCCAGGGAAATGGCGACCCCAACTAGTCATGACCCGACCAGCACAGATGCTGGAACCAATTTCAGTGCTGGCGTCTCGGCAGCATTAGCAGCATCCCTGGCTCTCATCCTGGCTGCGGTTTTGTCCGGTTTCAGTGGCGTGTATGTGGAGAAGATCCTCAAGTCAGATGGCTCTGCGGGCCGGTCCTTGTGGCTCCGTAATGTGCAACTGAGTGTGATTGCAATTCCGTTCGCCCTCGCGGTCTTCATGTATTCTGCCGATAGTTCAGCTGACTTGTTCCGAGGGTTCGATGATGTGTTTGCTTGGCTTGTGCCCATCATGCACGGGATTGGGGGTCTCATAGTGGCTGTGGTTGTGAAACATGCGGATAACATTTGGAAGGGCTTCGCGACGTCTGTGGGCATTGTGCTGGGCTTGGTGGTGGATTCCATGTATTTCCGGGATCCGTTTCACCCGTTGTTGCCAGGGAGTGCCACCTTGGTGATTGCGGCAATATTTTTGTACTCGGAAGCGAAAAGCCGGTGTTGTTATTCATCCGAAACCGCTGATGCTGACGTTATTTGAAACGGGGAGAATCTATACATATTGTTTATTGTTGTGTGTTAGTTTTTCTGTGTATACTTTTTTATGTTTGATGTAATTCTATCTTGACATATGTTGGATATGGCAAGATCTGTGTTATGTTGATAACATACAACTGTAAGTGCGCAGTACCTTGCGGTGCAAGCGCAATCGTTTCATGGTGGGCCACATTTGCTGGGAAAAGCTCTTTTATTTTCCTCAACTGCATTTTGCCCGACCGAAAGCATATGATTCTGAATCTTTATTATTCTCCAACAAGTATAGAACGGAATATCACCTCGCTCAGGTTCGTTTTTGTGGCTTACTGTTCACAATCTCACCTAATTTATTTGAATGTATATCTTATATATACAGTATATGTGTATAGCTTGATCACATACATTTCAGTCACACAACTCATGAACTTCTGCACTCAGCATGGCTGTTTATATAGTTTCTTCGCTGCCCGATACTGTAAAAAAAGGCGGATAGAATTATTCTACAAAAGTAAGAAAATTTGAACATTTATAATCATCAAAAAAGCATAATCTTTAGTTCGACCTGCATCGCGCGCCTATCGTTATGACATTTGGAGAGCAACTTTGATCTTGAACATATTGAACATAAAACTGGGTTTGGGTTTCTAAGGATGACAATACACTCATATATGCAGCAACACATATATGCAACACCTTATTGGAAAAGCAAAGAAGGCTTTATTTGTCTGGAATCGCACTTTATACCTTGGGCTCCAGCATTATGATGTACTGCATAATGATTTTAAAAATTTGCTCTAATAAAATGCGCTGAGATTAATACTGTATAATGTTTATAGAACAGTAATTGGCATTATGATATTACTGTATAATGTTTCAGAGTGAAGTACGATAGTAAACGATGAAAATTTTTTTAAAAGACTCAAAAATGTTTTCAAATCCCATGAATAGAACTTAACCAATGACTGAATTTGTACTGTACCTGTTTTATGAGGACAATACAATACAGTATGTACAAAGCATTAATATCTACCTTTGATTATACGTCCCTCCCCTGATGTCACTGAGTCATATACACTTCTGCAGAGACCATTCATGTTAAACTCCGATTGCGCAATCAATATCAACCATAGAATTCCAGTTTAGGAAATGCGATCTTCAATAATATCCAGGATGCTCAACTTTTCATTTCCGCAGCTGGATAACCCACACTCAAGTATTGTACTGTACGCTATTGGGTATCCTGAATTGTGGTAGTATAGTGGTACTCTGATTATTGCCCATCTGGTACAATACCGTACCGCAGTGAAGCTTTTCACGACTCCCGTAGAATAAGGTCGATCTGCAGTTCAGTACCCCGTGAGTGGGTAGAAATGATGCGTCGTCTAATTATGAAACAAAAACTGTCCGATTTTAATTATACCGAACGGTGAAAATTTAATCGCCGTCTTACGAAGATGTGCATTATCTTACGTTTCAATTCTCTCGAATTTTTTGTCATGTGATCAACTTGTGCTGCAATTTCAGGTTTCCTTCTTCCTTTCTAAGTGATACCCTATTTTAACTGCTTCTGAAATTAGTGATGGCGTCTAAATTTATGCACGCCGCGCTCAGTGTGGCTGGGAGATCTCTGAAACCTGTAAGTTTCTTCGTGATTGTCGCATGCCTTGATGTATGATGCTCAATGGAGTGATTTTCCCCGGCGAATCTGCAGGGATTGCGATACCAGTCAACTGCCGCTGCAGCTCAGGCGTTGCAAAGTGCTCCGGTCACAGAAGTTACGAAGCTTGAAAATGGCCTGCAGGTTGCCAGTGAAGATACCGGGTCTAAAACGGCTACTGTTGCTGTATGGATCAACGCAGGAGCTCGATTCGAAAACGACAGCAACAATGGTGTGGCTAATTTTGTGGAACACCTTGCGTTTAAGGTTAGTTGTGATTCAGTTATGCAGTCCTAGATTTCTTCTAACAAAGTGTGTTGTGATTTTCATTTTCAGGGAACTGCGAAAAGATCGCAAGCTGATCTTGAAGCGGAAGTGGAAAGCATCGGCGCAAAGCTTCATGCTCACACAAGTAGGGAACGCACCGTGTTCTATGCGAAGTGTTTGTCAAAAGACGTCCCGAAAGCCGTGGAGATTCTCTCTGATGTTGTTCAGAACGCGAAGTTCAGCGAAGGCGACGTCGAGCGAGAACGGGATGTTATTTTGAAGGAAGCCGATGCAATGGAATCAAATTACCGCGAAGTTGTGTTGGATCACCTTCACTCGATTGCCTATCAGGGAACTCCTCTGCAACGGAGTGTTCTCGGTCCAACAAAGAACATCAAAGCTATGAAGCGGGAGAACATCGTGGACTATGTCGACAACAACTTCAAAGCCCCAAGGATGGTCCTTGCTGCAGCCGGGGGTGTGGACCACAGTGAATTGAGTCAGGTCGCAAAGCAGCACCTGGCCTCGACTTCGATCCATTACAAAGGAGAAATCCCGAAAATTGAGCACTGTCGGTATACGGGTGAGACGTGACTTCATCATTGTATGAATTACCGTACGTGAAGTAGTTGGAGAGATTATTTCAGGTTTCCTGAAACATTTTTGGCTCGATTTAGCTTTCAAGTGATACGGTCATGACTTGGTTACTGCGTTCGGTTTGGTTGGTTATTATTTTTTGTGTAATTAACGATTTAGGTCAGGTTGAGACTTCTTCTTTGTATCAGGGTATGTTCTTAGTTAGTATAATACCGTAGTCGATTTTGTTAGTTACGGCTCAAATATGAAATAGTAGGTGTATGTTATTTTGCTAGTTGTTACGGATACAATGCACGGAAGCGGAATGTTGTCTTCAATAAAGACTCATTCTTTGATAGTAGTGTTTAATGGATGTGCTGAACTATCTACAGTATTTCAGATCATTCAGAAGAGTAGTCGAAGCAATGTGAATAGTTTATTGTTGGTTTGTGTTGGATCATCTTGCATCACTGCAAGGGATTTTGTTTCTGAACTCTCGTTTTGATTGTTTCTTTTCAGGATCGGAGATTCGCGTTAGAAATGACGATCTGCCATTTGTGCATGTTGCCTTGGCGGTGGAATGCCCTGGTTGGTCAAATGAGGACACGTTGCCGCTGCAGCTCGCATCCTCTCTGTTGGGTAGTTGGGATCGCACGCACGGCGGTGGCAAAATCGTAGCCAACCGGCTGGCAGCTCAGTGCCATGAATACAGTTTATGCGACACCTACGAATCTTTTACCATCTCTCACAAGGACACTGGCCTGTGGGGAATTTATTTCGTTGGTGATCATCACATTCAGGATGTGAGTTCAAGGTTCTCTCAGTTGTAAAAACAGCGCCGGATAAAGGGTCAGGAGCAAGCTTGAAAGCCGAAAATGAACAAGTACTGTATCATTAACCTAACGTAATTCTTTGTGCTCACTAGCTACTAGCTTTTTGGTCAACTTTCTCTTTTGCACACTTGCTTTCTTGTTATTATGGGCGGACTCGCTTTCTCTACAACTAAATTCTAACAACGAAAATTTCTGGTCCCTCGAATTCCGTTGTAGAGAACTTTCATACCGTGGGGAGAGAACCCTGTGGTAGTAAATACAGTGTACTGTAAATAAAATATTTGTGGAGAGTCCGTCTGTAGTAGAAAACCAAGACTTTAGACATTACTAATAAAATCGACTACACCACTAGAGTCTAGAGCAAGCTCCAAACCCGAAAATGAACAAGTATCAGGAACTTAACCTCAACTTTTCTGGTTGTCGTTTCGCTATTAACTTTTCAGTTAATTTTCTGCTGTACAATTTTTTTTCTCTGTTTATTGGATTTTTTGATGATAATTCATCTTCAGCGAGTTCTTCACTGACATCGTTGACCTCGGATCATTTGCAGGACATGGTTTTTGCCATCCAACAAGAATGGATGCGCATTTGCACAAATCTGGGCGCCTTCGAAGTCGAGCGTGGAAAGAACCTTCTGAGACATAAGTTGTATTCTCGCTTGGACTCTTCCACCGCGGTATGCGAGGACATTGGTCGTCAACTCCTACTCGCTGGCCGACGAGTACCTCTTGCTGAAATTGAATCACGGATTCAGGTTAATATTTCTTATAGAAAAACTTATCTCTGACGAAAACTTCAAACATTATCAAGAAAATAGGGGATAGGGCAAAGTTCTTCCCCTATCCCATATTTTCTTCAAGACTTGTATTCCAGCGAGCAGAAACACGAGTATTAATTCAAATGCTTGCCATTGTTAAGAAATACCCCATCCCTCTACTCACTTGAAGTAATATTCTATGTTCTCGCCACCGATTTCAACGAATTTCTGGAAATCTGTCGTTAAAAAGGCAATGCTGAAGATGGAACTGTCCAAAGGATTCTTCGGTTTCCCGGTCCAAAGGAAAGCGTTAATGAGATCCTCCAAAATTACTTTCCTTATTTGGTCTGACAATAAGCATTGAACTTACCCGATCAGCATAAACTTCGTAACGGCGCTGCTTGATCGAAAAACATTTTCTTCTCCTACGCAGTTCTGTCAATGTAGTTTATTATCTTCGAAATTTTTTTCTGAATATTTCATATTAGCCAAATCATCTACGAAGTCATGCAAATCGGTACTTTTTAATTTCACACCGAGACGGAGTGCGCTCTAATCCGTCTTCAATCCGCATTTTCAAACCTTTCGAAGCAAAAATTGTAGCCAAAGTCAAATGTTTAGAAAAGCACCATATAGGTATCCTGTGTGGCAGTGCACGACTGCATCCTTCGAAGCAGCATTGAAAATAATTTATCATAAATATTCCTAACTTGAACGGTAAGGTGAACCCGCGTTTGTAATTATCGTAGAGAAACTCCCGCTTTCACATGTACACGCACAGTGCTGAAATACATTTTTCTCTTTTTTTATTCAGGCTCTGACGGTCAATGACGTGAAAAGCGCGATGATGAAGTATATCTACGATCGTTGTCCTGTCGTTGCTGGCGTTGGGCCGACGGAAAACCTTCCCGACTACAACGTGGTGCGATCTTCAATGTACTGGCTTCGGCTATAGGTTTTTTTTTGAGGCCAAAATCGGGATAAGCAGTCATTTCTCGAAATTTTGATTTGTTGTCTCTGTGAGTGCTCTGGCCGGTTATTCCTTCGTTTATCACGAATTAGCTTGGAAAACCTCCGTTTATTGCGGATTAAAAAAAATCATTGTCGCATTCACTCGCTCATCTTGCCATTGCAATGGGAATGATGATCATGTTTTGGTTGTTCCTGTCAGGAAATTTTGTTGATAGAAGATAGTAGTGCGCCATGTTTCTCACGCGTTCCGAGTATGACCGTGGTGTGAATACCTTCTCGCCAGAAGGCCGGCTTTTCCAGGTGAGCATTCACCCACGATTTACGATTATTTATTTTTTGTATATGTTGATTTTTCAAATTTCTAGGTCGAATATGCTATCGAAGCTATCAAACTTGGCTCAACAGCAATAGGAATCCAAACGAATGAAAGTGTGATCTTGGCTGTTGAGAAGCGCATCACATCTTCACTCATGGAGCCAACGACAATCGAGAAAGTTGTGGAAATCGACAAGCACATTGGTGAGTCGTATGTCCACGAATATCTGGAGACTCATAGTATGTGTACGATGAACTTCTGGATGGAAAAAAAAAGAAAACCTTTCGGGTTGTATCTACACTTGTCCTCGAAAGGCGTACTGGATTTTTGAAATTTTGCGAATCCGGCATTTTTGTTGAAATTATCTGATTTTCGAGGGTTAGGATGGTTGGGATAACTTTCGTGATACTCAGTTAGGTAAGAATTTTGGGGTTCTCAGAATACACGGAATACTACACAGTACTGTACATTGTATTCGAGCCTTGTTTTTTGTGACCAAATAGTATTTGTTGATGTGTTGAAGGTTGCGCTGTAAGCGGTCTCACTGCAGACGCTCGTACCATGATAGAAGAAGCGAGGTTAGTTGCACAGAACCATTGGTTCGTGTACAACGAGAACATGACTGTGGAAAGTGTGGCGCAGTCTGTTTCGAACCTCGCGATCCTCTTCGGCAACTCTGACGACGACTCGGGAATGGCCATGAGTCGGCCGTACGGCGTCGCCATCCTTTTCGCCGGGATCGACGAGAAAGGCCCCCAGTTGTATCACCTTGATCCGTCCGGAACATTTGTCCAGTACAACGCGAAAGCCATTGGTTCTGGTTCTGAAGGCGCTCAACAGAGTTTGAAAGAAGCCTACCACAAGGTAGGGTTTTTGTACTCTTTCCAACGCAGGATTTGTTGTTTTTTTCCTGAGTGACTGCAGCATTATCAAATCGCTTTTAGCATCGTCCATTCCAGAATTTCGTGCGATATGTGCAGGTTACCTCTTTTCATTGCTAAAAGACTAATTGAATAATGGGATTTTGGGTCATCTTTCGCAAGTCTTGTTCAGCGGGTGCATCTGTAATCAAGGAGGACAGAATATCGGATCAGTTCATGTAATTAATTTTATTAGATGGTGCCAAACCTTCCTTGAAAAAAGGCTTTTGAATATCTGTTTTTTCTCTTCTCAAGCAAGCTTGAAAAATGTGGGTGATCGGAAATAGTCTGTGTATTGCATTTCGAAATTTTCCAGGATTTTCTGCTTATATTTAGCGAAACATTGCTGGCGGCGTTTGGATACGTGTGACGAAAAAATCAGAAAAACAGAAAAACGTGTTTTAGCAGTGTACTGTATTTTCATACAGTAATGTTGAATTTCTTTTTATTGCAACTGTGACCTTGCTCTAGTGAATAGCCGGCAGGTGTCGCCTTTATTAGTTGCTTGGCTAAAATGAACGATCTCCTTAGATTATCTTGCCGAACCTATGCCCGACAAACTAGCATAATTGGGGTACGAAGTACGTACGGTAGTACTTCTCGAGAATATTTTGGTGTATTTGACTACAGGCGATAAGATGCCAAGAAATTATGTTCTTTCGGAGAATTTATGAAATACAGGAATTTATTCATCCTGTGTACCTTACAGTCGATGACCAGAGGCGAAGCTTTGAAACAGGCGCTGTCAATCCTCAAGCAAGTTATGGAGGAAAAGCTTAGTTCTACCAACGTTGAAGTTGGAGAAGTTGGCCGCGACAAGGAATTCCATCTTTTAACAAAAGAAGAAGTTGAAGAGATCATCAAGGACATCTGAGAAGTACTATTGAATTCCGAGCCCCATTTTTTCGTGTCCCCCGCAAGTTGAAGGGCAGTTCCGTTCTCACTTATTCTGATGTCTGAATGAAGTCCAGCTTTGCCCTGACGCCCGAGTTCTTCTTCATTACTTGATTTTTTTCGATTTGATCTTGTTCATCTGAATCTTGTTCCATCGTTCTTCAGGCATGTTGAGATCATTCCATTTTCTTAAATTGAGTGGCAATCTACAGTAGCTCCGTACTTATCTCTTCCAGATAGGAGCCAGACCCGTAAGAGCCTTATTTTACCGCCCATGATATCAAAGTTTGATCGATTCACTCTGAGCACTCGCCTGTAGTAGGAGCATTTACTGTATTTATTCGAAATTTAATTTGTATTCAGTGCGTGATACCGTATATTGGAGCCATCACTTTTTTGCGATTTGCAAATACGAATAATTGGAGATTTGAGTTTTGTTTCAGCTTTTCAGCGCTCTTAGCATTTTTATATCGGAAACATCGTATTTGGACCATAACTTCGAAGTTACCTTCTTGAAAACCCATGCGAACAAACCCGAATTCGACTTTCCGCAATCAAATATTTTGAAGTTGTGTAGAAGTCGCAATTTTTCGGTATCGTCTAGCATTTGAAATGGTTGCGTAACCCATGTTGAAACGAAGGATGTCATCACACGATTTAGTTCAGGGGAAATATTTATCACGGGCAGTTTTTAGCGTAATACGGCGTTCCTTTCGTCTCCATATATTTTTTTGAACGTGTTTTCTCCTGAGTCTTCATTTTCGCTGATAGACGATGCGACTGCAGCTGGTGGTTGCGGTATTTCTCGCGTGTTCTTTCGGGAATTGTGTGAAGAAGAGCTGGGTCGACCCGAAGTCGGTTCGCGCGACTGCTCCGGCTCCGGACAAGTCAGGGTGGGTTTCTTCGGATGCAAAAAGAAGGGACACCAAAGGTTTGCCTGCGGAAAGAATATGTCATCCTTCCTCGAAGGCACCTGCCCTGTTTGCTCGTTTAGTCAAGCGAATCCTGTTCCTCTTCGAGGAATATTCGGTAAGTTATTACATTTTCTTTGAGATCAACACAACGAATAAAAATACGGATTGGGTTTCTTTGATAGAAAAAAGGAAAGATTCTGTGCAGTGGTTTGGTTTTATGCCGCTGTATTCATTGACCCATTCATGAACTCCGCTTCCACCGGCTACATTTATCCAAGTCATATGAAGTTCTACCAGACTCTGACAAGTGTTGTATAACTTCAAGTTAAAGCCAATTTACAGTATTTTTTACGGATTGAGTACCGTTACTTCGATTCTGACACGCGCACAAAACGTTTAGCCTCTCTATATTGAAATTACTGTAGTCGAGGTCGAATCCGATTCTTTGTTCGCAGTCGTTTAATCCTTCAGCCGTCATGACTTTCATTCGGAAACTAGTGATTGCTGGTTGATGATGGAAGAAATCTTAGGAAAATTGGATTCGCTCGAAGAGAATAATATTTTTTTTTCGATTGGAAGCTCAATTGATTTTCAAGACGGCTGAATGCTCAAAAAAAAATTGCTCCGTTCATTGCCGTATCTACGAAATGACCTTGGTCTGCTGAAAACCGTTGCTAGGTGCTTCACTGCGCCAGTGCCTTGAATTTTCAGCTTTATATTTTCAGCTCGGAAGGTTTTTCATGTACAGAATCCTTGTTGGTGGAGAGCTTTTGAAAGAGTTAATGAGATTTCATCCTTTGCATTGATGCACATTTTAGACGGACCGAAATAATTGCATGTTGCAGGAGATCCGAACTTGAGTATTCCTAATTTTTGTGTCACCCGAATTTGGGCTTTATATTTGTATGAATGTCGTTTTTAATTTTTTTTTTTTGAAGTCACATCCATGAAACATGGATAATGCGAACCGGGAAAATGATCCTGTCGTAGAATCGTTGTTCGTTCTCCTAAAGTGTCCCCACTAACGACGAATGGATGCGATTGAAAGCTGACTGCTATGACCGATGAAAATACAGTAAGTCAGTTTCTTTTTTTCAGGAAAAAAGCGGATCATCAATCAAAACCCGGGAATTCGTACTTAAGATGCAGATGAGTTCAGAAGCCGAAGAATTTCTGGAGCGTTTCACATCGGACGGCACCGAAATCGAAGACTACCATAGAATCCACGAAGTTCTTGATTCTTTGTTGGATCCTAATAACGTTGTTCGGAAACCATCATTGAAAGAAATGGATGAAATAGATCATGAATCTGGTTGGTTGCGTCTCGTGGCAGACGTCATCTCTGTATGTTCTGCTTTCATCGCGACAATCGTTTCATTGATCCTTGCCAACATCAATATGGGGGTGAGTACGTTTTTGTTTCTCATATTATAATACGACTTGTAATACATTATTCTCAAGGCCGTTGATCAGGCGCCCCTCGTCCGAGTTTGAGCTAGAAAAAGGAAGATACATTTCTGAACCGGCCATCTCCCATTTACGCATTCGAGTGGAAGTTCATGGGGTGGTACAAGAATGTACACCCATCCGAATGAGCAGCAGTCATTCAATATATTTCTACCTCTGAGGAATAATTTTAACTATAATTGAAAAATACAAGTACAATAAAAAGAGCAAGTGCAGTTCTGTACTTCACTGAATATAAATAAATTTCAAAATTTGAAGGGGGAGTGGGAAGGAATTTCCGGTAAATTTTAATCCAAATGCAAGAATTTTTGGAAGGTCACATTATAGTCGTGGCGTTGCTAGCTTGCTTTATTATTCATTGAGAAAAATTTGAATTTAAACTTGGTTTACATTCCTCATTGCATGAAGTTTAAAGTCTGTTCTTATCTTGAAATCTGTGTATTTCTTAGTCTACCCTGTTCAGCTCAGTATAGCATGATGCGAAGCAAAAGACCGTACACCGTGATTTTCTTCAGTTTAACAGATTGAAAATTCTTCAGGTACCGTACATTATACAGTGCCGTATATCTTGGAGATGATTTCTCGAACTTCACACAGATGTCGTTTCATTTCGAAGTGCATCACAATTTTAATTACATCTCAACAGATCATAATGAAGTGTCCATATTGCAGAGGTTTCTTTTTATGTGGAGAAACGGGTTGCTCATTTCTTCTTTTAGGTTCTCCTTGGCATCTGCGGAATTATGATGACGTACGCGGTCTACAAAGTATTTCTTGGCCACTGGCACTTGTCCAGGTTTCTGGTTGCCGTGTTCCTCATCACTTTCTTTTGGCAAGGATTTCGACAATACGAGGTTCGATATACTGTACAGTATCTTAGCCAAAACCGATATGGTTTTCAGTAATAGCAATTTATTAATTTTTTTTCTGCAGAGCTTATTAAACAAAAGAAATGGAGTACTGAGAATGGGAGAACAGCTCAGATGTGATGAAAAAGCCCGTCAGTATATTCAACATATTCCATGGTATAATTTTTGGAGTGAGAGACCTTCGCTGAATGACTCGACGTGCGAAGAGTATTTCGTGGCTGTTGAGAAAGCTGTTTGGTTCGAAATGGACCCTGGAAAAATGCTCGTTGATGTGGTGGCACTCGGTTTTCCATTAGTGAATCAATACTACGCTGCGCTTGTTGGTGAGAATCTTCCTATTTCCCAAAGGATTTATTTTGTCTCATGGGTCTAGTTTAATGGGATGTCTTGTCGCAACTTTGGGACACTTATGTGATGATTTCATTCATGCTTCAAGTTTCAACCTTCCCCACCTTCTTCGATTTTTTTAATACAGTACAGTATTGGACTTCTCCGGGTCTAAAACTGTTTCCAGCTCTCAACAAAACGTGCATCCAATTGAAGTTGAGTCGGCATTTTAAAGATTCTTGAGAACAATCGACGGAACTCATGGGAATCAAAACTTAGGACGAGTCCTGGTACAGCTGGTTGTACTATGAGTTGTAACTGATGAAGCACGGATGTTTTAATGACCCTAATAGGCAGCATGTACGATATTTAGTATGAGTATATCAAGGAGCAAAAATATATCATTTGCCCATTTATGAAGACTGTTTGTCCTAACGTTTGGTTCTGTTCAAAACTGTCGTACAGTACTTCGAATCTTGTTTGACGTTTACTGTTCTTGGTCAAGTGAAGGCTTTTTGTCATCATTATACCGTACTTTTTATACAGTATTTTCACCGCACCGCACGATGCTGAAATTTTTCGCAGGTATAATTTTTTTGCAACTTTTTTGCAGAGGGAACCTCGTGGACAAGTTATTTTGGATCATTGGTATTCGGTTCATTGGTGCCGATCGTGGTTTTATTTTTCTGCTGTGGATACGAGTTCTCGCTGCTGCCGTTCGTGGGTGTCATACGTCCCGGAGCGCACAGATATGCTGCTTATGAAGAACCTCCGCCACGTCCAGGGCCTTCTGTGGCGGCTCGGGAGCGTCCCATGGTTGAGGAGGATCCCGGTCGTTGGCCGGTAAGACTCGATCTTGTCGTTGATACAAAATTGCTAATCTCTCACCCTGATGATTTGAATACTATTAGATCCCGTGTATTAGGCATTGCACCGCTTTACAATTTTTTGCGTTTTCATCAACAGGTTTTGCAGTCTATGTCGACCGACGAGTTGATCTCGCACCAGCATTTAGTTCGTGCCCTTCTCCAGGTACGCGTTGGGCTTCCAATCAAACGGCGGGTTTCTGCGCCCGTCATCAACCGGGTTCCATCTCCGCCTCGAAGGAGTTTATCTGAACCCGACGCACGGAGTGTGCCTCTTCCATCGATTCGTGGTGTGAGATCGATTTTTGAGAAAGTCGCCGAAGTGAACGAATCCGAGACAGAGTCGACGGGCGGCGGCAGTGAAAATTCAGTGTTTGTGGTTTCGGAATGGGGCGCTGAAGATTCCGCGAATTTCGATCTTGATGATTTTCACTTTGAATCTGACGATTTCTGGGATGATGCGCAACAGGAATCGTCTTGAAAAATTGAGTCAATATTGTGTGACCTCCGTGGATAACGTGAGTACAAGAGCAGGGAATCTTGGACGACATTGGGATTTTATTCAATTCTCCTGTTCATTTTCAAGTTTGTTCGAATTTTTGTTCGTGAATGATGTGAACGTGGGGTGGCCCTTAAGTTTTGAGACCGACAGTCGCTGACACTCACTTTCTTTCATTGGAGATGGTCGCAATTTTTTCTCATCTATTCCATTAAACAAAAACAAAAAAGCATACTGTAGATGAGTAAAAAAAAGAGCTTGGGGTTTTTCCACAATGTCAGGAATTGAAGGTCATAAGAAGGCAGGCGTAGACATTCATTTCATAGGACAGTGAGTCCACGCATAACGAAAGATTCGTGCAACGGAAAATTGCAATGTGATCTCGAGGAAGAATGCGTTTCACAAATCGAAAGTTTTGCATAACAAAACTCATCCAAGAAAAGATCAGTTTCAGGGATTCCGAAGACCCACTGCATTTCTAAAATGAATTGAGTTTGCCACAATTTTGTTAAACTCCGTTCATTGGTCTCCGAGTGAAGAGTTAATGTATGTTTAAACATTTCTTATGAATTCACGAAGTCCATGTTCCAGAATAATCCTAAAAATATGGACCATACCGCGGGAATGACCTACGAAGTGTTTCCTGAGTACGAAACTCTGATCGAAAAGCTCTAGTATTTTCAGAACCTATCGTAAATAAGACTCTACCCAAATATTGAACCTGTAAAATGTTGTTGATAAAATTCATATTTTCCCCCTCTGAAGCAAGTTAGCTGCCCTCTCCTAATATCATCTTTAAATCCTGATACGTAAGTGTCCTTGTTATTTTTTTCTACGTGTGAAAATCACAGTATGTATTAACTCATTTTTAGGATGCTAAAATAATTTGAAATGTCTCACTGTACTTTTGGGGCAGCGGTACTGTAACACTGTACCATACATTTTGTCGACTTTCTCCGTTGAGCGGAAGGCAAGTTTCTTGAGAAGCGTAGATGTCGCTTGTCGTATCGACTTTATGTTTTTGTTGAATAATTTCCAATGTCAGTCTTTGTCTGTCCTCTCGATGTTGGCCTACCTCCTTAAATGAGCCGTTAGTATTGATGGAAGGGAAATTGGATACAATCTATCCCAAAACCTAATTTTGACGGGGTTGTTAACCAGGACTTGGGATAAACGCAACGTTTGACTAACCAACTGCCGAAAAAGCCACCGTTTTTGGGCACAACGATTTCTAGGCGGGTAAATTGTGCATTTATTGGGGACGCAAATATTATTTTGTGTATGTTTATTTGAAAGGAATATTTTCATGATTCGTGCCGCTCGAGGCTTTATTGCCCTAAACGCGGGTTGAGTCACATGTGGATTTATGTTCTCGAATTTCACTCTTTCTCGAAGTACTGTATTTTCGAATAATTCAACAGAGCTAAAAGTACTTGAGTACCGTTTCTTGAAGTGGAAGCGAAGCTTTTCTTCGGTGTTGTCTTTGCGTTGAACTCACAGGCTAGAAGCCGTGATAAATTTGAAAGTCTTCTGAGGTTATTTTTATTATTCTCCCAGGATACCTTTTTTGAAAATTTCTGGATCAAAAATAAATTCTCTAATCTATGAAACTCTTCTCTCATCTGGATTTTCAGCTGCTTGAGCCACACGCTTGGTAATGCTGCTTTGTGTTGTGCTGTGCTAAGGAGTGATTCGGGTTAGATTAATACTAAATCACCAGTTGATTTGAGTTCAATCTTGTCAGTTTCGGCGTGGTGGAGTATTTTTGGGGCTGACGATTCAGACGACACTTCAAGATGCAATGTTATATGCAGGTAGAAAGTGACTCCCACTTTTCTGGAGTGCGGTAGTGTACCTTGATATTTCGAGGAATCAAAATAATTCTTGATTTTCATGTTGCACAGTGAATATAATATTTTATTGCAGAAAAGCCGCTTGTGCATTTATGGAAAGTCTGCCGAGTTCATAAAAATAATTTCGTGGAGAATATTGCTGTAAACATCGTACTGTATTATGTATGTCCCAATAGGCGTTGTTTTCGAAACTCAGTACTCGAATAATTGCTTTCAATCAGAAACCTGATGTAATAAGTTCAGAGAGGAATATGTGACAGATTCTACGTTTCATGTCTCTCATGACCGAGCAATCGCATGTGATTTAGAATTTATATATCATTGGTACATCATTTTGTCAGTTCTGGGGCAGGAGATGAGGAAAATTCATCATCGAATTTCCATTCCGGTATTCTTTTGAATGTGATTTGCTGTGTGCCGATGACGATTGCTCTTTGTCGAGTGTGAAGCGATTTTTGTATTCTTACACACACGCTGGAAAATTAAAGGCATCCAAAATCGGGTGAAAAGAGAACTGTTAATTTTTGACACCATTTTATTTTTTTTTAGCTCACTTCACGTGGATGAAGGGAATTTTTAGGTCGTTCCGCCGCGATTGCGTTTTCATCTGAGCTGTGATGAAGCTGGGTTAATCCTGTGTGACACGAGCGCGGTTTGGGTTCGGTTGCCTTCTTGACACGGATTTCTAAGTAAAGCGAGTCGTCGTGGGTTCCACGGTTTTTCTCTCCCGTTGTGATGGTAAGTCATCTAGATTTTCTAGTAATCATGCTCCATATACTGCACACTTCCGCGATTCGTACCGTGTTCACATGCAAAGGAAACTCAACTCTTTTTTTTCGATCTACCGTATGTTTTAATTCATATTTTTCTTCAAGTACGGAGTCGTCAGAAAATTGCTGTATAGTGAAAACGGTCTAAATTAAGAAGATGATTAAGAAGATTAGATCTAGCAAGTACAGTAATGTATTGCTGTAAGGAAAACCGTAGTTTTTTCCTATCTAAAAAATTTTCTTCCATCAGCAGTGTTGGCCACATTTTTGCCCGGATTTCGAACAGTGCAGTACTATTGATTTTGGGAATCTTATTGTTGCCTCTACAGTTCAGACCAAGTTCCAGCAATGTTCATACATAGGGTATGCATATACTGTAATAGACATATTTCATAGTAGTATGTTCACCGTGTCCATTTTAAAAGTAAATCTACAATTTGTTTCATCGGGTTGCCAGCCTTTCTTGAGATACATCTCATCGATTGAAGCCGTTTACAGCAGTGTTCCCCAACCATTTTGGGCCAGCAAATTTTCATAGAATTTTTTGCAGACCGGCAAATTTGCATGAAGTTTTTGCTGACTTGAAAAAGTTTTGCTTGAAGACTTCATGGACAGTATTAAAAATTTTCAGCTTCTTTGCAAAAATTAAGTTGAGAACCAATGAAGCAGCTTTGGTGGAATGTCTTCAAAAAATTAGAAAGATGGGCTTGAAGAAAGGTTTCTCAGAATG